CTTCATTGGGTTCGTGATATGGAGCATCGTTTCTCAGAATCGCATCCAGCTCCATCAATCAATATAAGTCATTATCAAACTTACTTCAAAACCGGATCCACATTCTCAGTACTAGTAGATTCCCCAACCAGATATCTGAGCGAGGCGTCGACGTTCGCGTTCTCCACAATGCTAAAGTGCATTATCTCCGGTGGGATCATCACCGTCTCGCCTTCTGTACAATCGATTGCTAGGAAATGGCCTACAATCACACAAAAAAACGCATTGTAGCTAGCATATATTTTACATATATCAGAAATAAGACGTCAAAATAAAAAAACCTAACCACTTTGGACCGTTCTTAAGCCGCTTTTGTATTTATCTGACGTGACGTGTCGTGATGCGCTCTGACGTTATGGCTAGCGTTCACATCTATATGTAGTGTCCTCACGCCTACTGACGATATTTTGAAACAATACCGTCGCGGCTCTCTCAGAGTTCATACTGCGCTGCGCTGCCCGCCCCCGCCTCACCCGTCCTGACGCAGATCGGGATCGCTTCTGATGCGACACAACACAAGCCGTCACGTCAGATTGGGACACAGTGATACACATAACCATATTAAATGTATGAAACCGATACCGTTCTGACGCATCAAGACACGTCAGATAAATGTAAAACCGGCTTCATGGTAAGCGGTATAAATTGGAATTTGAATATTATATGTCGAGCTTGACGTGCACTTGACCTTGTACCTGATTGGTTAATTTTTGACATTGACATTTTATTTCTTTGAAGAATAAAAGTATTAAAAAAATTAAAAATAGTTGTGTTTATACAAATTGAATATTTTTATATCCCTACGCTTTTATAAATATAACATAATACTAATGCTTGTTAAAACACGTAACCGCTTTGGTGATTTGTAGAGCTGTGTGAATGTGGTAGCACGATGAGTGAGCAAGACCACACACAATGACATGTGCATAAAGATTTTATTACACAATATATCTATCTAGAGGAGTAAAAAAACAACTGCAAGCCAAAAAGACTATAAAATACAATTAAATTAAGAATATGTAATGAAAATGGTAAAACTATAAGATTATAAATAAATTTATGATAAACTACCCCTTCTTATGTTATGCCAATTGGAAAAATTCTTTCTTCGATTGAAAAAATGATGACGGAAAGAAAAAATCTAAAAAATATATTATATCATTCTATATGTATAAAAAAATAAACTTTTCAACTTGCTAGTGGGCCGGCCGTAGTCAATTTTCGCATGTAAAATTGAATAGTATTATTTTATAAATATGTACATAGGTCTAATTTAATGTGAATAAAACTTTACTTTTTATAAATTTTAACACAACAGTACTAGCAATTATGTCTCTTGCACACAATTGAAAAGATCTGCATTGTTATTTGTTATAATAATTTAAATTTCTGAGACCATATAACCATAGTATATGACAAGTAGTGTAAATTCATACAAAACAAACACAGCAGCGCGGCTTCTAGGCACGCCCGTCGCGCACGGGCGCGCACATTCACATAATCTCTCAGTGTACTCGAGTTGTACATCCCGCGGGTCGCACGCGCTAATAATTACAAAGTTGAAGCGTTCGCTCGGTGGTTAACGTACAATTCTGTGTTAATTTTTTTTTATGTATAAATGTATTATTACGTATGTATATACAAACTCACATTTCATTTATATTTCATGATCCTACTCTTTTAATGGAGATACTAATGCGCTATGCTAGTATAAAAATATGAACATGTAAGTATTATAAGTATAAGTATTTGACAAAGATTATTTCAATATAGCACGAGAACACCATCATGAATGCTTTAATTTCTTCAAATTTTGTTTTGCAACCTGTGTGTACAACTAACATATTATTGTGACAACCCTACGCGTATAGCAGCGTGTAAGCATTGACACGCCGAATAGGCGCGGGTTGCACTATATATTACAAATGTTTTCCAACAAAAAAGTTCCATAAATTTAATGTACTTAAGTATGCTTACCAGTAATCATCAATATCCAATGTAAATCTTCGAAGAGGCTGACAAGCTGTTCTCCTCCGCTGACTGGCAGTTTGCCCATATGCATGAGTTGCAGTTGGCTTTCCAGTCTACGAAACGACAAAAGATTATGGATATCCTTTGTTCGTTTTCTAATATTGGCATCAGTATATGTATAAACCTTAATAGCTCGTAACATGACAATTCTGTCAACCGCGTTAGCGTTATTTATTTAAAAAATTAACAAACGACCTAAATTACATATTAGAAGTGTACTCTATTACGACCAGTTGCAGATTTTCTATGTAGATTATGTTATGGTAAGATAAATAGCAATAGGAATATGCGAAAGGTGAAAACAAAACAAATAAAATAACACTTATTGTGTCGTTTTGAGATTGTTAGAGCCGTAAGGCACGCCTACCTCCCGACGCCGCCGAAGCATTCCTCCAGTTCCCAGAAACCTACGCGTCTGGAGGGATCGAAGAATGTCTAACTCATTCTCTACTAGCTCTCCGTGTAGCGGAGATGTCGGTCACAGTGTCCTGCGACAACATCCGGACGTAGATGCCAACGTAAAGGGCAATTCACGTGCCCCCGTCAGACGCCCGTGAAGGTTTATAACTGGCGGAGGGCTTGGCCCGGACGCCTGCTGTACCCTCGTCTACAGGCGAGCCCGTAGTCTCCCCTATCTCTCGGGTCAGTAGATAAGGATAGTCGGTTAAACAGTTAAAACTCACCTCTTACTCCGATCCTGCAGTAAGGTGAACAACACATGTGAGCAATGTGCTGGCGCCTTTCTAGCAATAGCGCCAATGGTCAAGAGAACGTTAGCATGCAGTTTTCTCTCGTCCTCCTCAATGTCATCTTTGATATCATCCGCGCATCCGTCGCTGCTTTCCGTTCCTCTGTAAGAAAATAAAATTTTAATCAAAACTGCTGCTTTCTGTGTGGGACACGGACTACGTAGTGCCTTAGCTCCTGTAAAGTTCAGAACTGTTCACGCAACGAGTGTGATGACGATGAATAGCGTTACGTATTGATATGATATGATATTCTACTAATTTGATGTATCTCTTTTGGTTTAGCCATCGTAAGATAATATAACAACATAATCTCAGTACAGAGTACTAAAAAAAACCGACCTCAAAAGTACGTGGAATTACGTCTATTTCCTAAGTTTCATTGAAATATCCCCTAGTTCGCCACTATACAGGACTGGTACTGGAGATAATAAAAATAGGTTCTCACTACAACACTACTCAAAGTATATCGAGATAAAAACGCCTTGAATTGGAGAAATAGCAGAATCAACTAAATAATTGCTAAAAGTAATTGCTCCTAAATTAAAGTTAGGCGCTATTTATAAAAATGAATCTTCATGCGTGAACAGCCACCCTTTGAGGTGGATGATTTTCTTCAAAATGAAATGGGACCACTACGGAAATACCCCCTTTCCAACAAAAAAAGAATCATGAAAATCGGTTCACAAATACCAGAGTTATCGCGTAACATACATACAAAAAAAAAAACAAACAAAAAAAAGAACATACGGTCGAATTGAGAACCTCCTCCTTTTTTGAAGTCGGTTAAAAAAAGAAACTACCCCCACCACATTATTTTGATTATTTTTTAAAGTCTATGGACTCTCCCACAATCAAGACCAATCTAACAACACCTCATATATCAAAATCCATCAAGTTTAGGCTGTACAGCGTGAAAAAGAAATGGACATACATACATACACTTGAAAAACATAACCCTCCTTCTCACGCAGTCGGTTAATAAACCTTAAGTAAATGAAACATACTGTAACTTGTCTTTACTACTAAAATGTTATTGCTATGTTTCGTTTACCTAGTCCCATCTGGCGGCGCCAACCGGCATTGCAAATAGGTATTGAAGATTTCTATGCACGGATTAACCAGCGTTTCGTTAGAGTATCCATCCGTGTCGTGAACTAATGAGCTCCAAGTGTGCAAGAACTTGTTTAAAGATTCTCTCCAAACTGTGTCATCGTTGACCTGAAGAAAATATATTTGTATTACTCATATTATTTCATTAACGTATTGTAAGACAAAGAACAGACATGAATAAATAAAATGTAAAGTAGTTCTTTTTTGTTGCCTAGTAATATTTATAATTTTTAAATGTCACGATGTTTTACTATCATGATATTCAATTATTTTCTGTGAAATTACTCCACTACTTTGTTATAATTATTATAACAAAGATCGAATTTTTCTTAGTGTTTACTAACAAAAATTCTTTCGATCTGGCTGGATTTTAACCAGCAATAGTAATATTTAACTAAGAGCACTGTCAGAACAGAAGCTATTTGATATTGTTGCTATCTCTTTCAATCGTGACGCGAGACAGGGTGAGACAGCACTCTTATTGCAATGTTTTTCGCACTCATGTGCAAATTATTAATATCAATTACTTTAAATGAGGAAGGAAAACATATTACGTGAATGTTGACATATCTGCCTATATGTAGAGATATAACGTCATAAAGCTAATTTTAGAGGTAAACATATATTTGTAGAACTGAGAAGATCCTGATTATGAAGTTTTAAACTGCCTGCCTGACCAGGCCACTCAGTTAGGCATTTTGCCGTTTGATGCTCATATAAATAATATGATAGATCAAACTTTACAATGCAATTGATTTATTACTTATTTATATCTATTGAATTTTTTTTTCAGTGTTACTATCTTGCATAGTTAACAAGAACTTCGGTTTATTTTGGCAGAAAATTACGAATGTATGAGCCTAAATATAAACTTTATATGCATAAAATATATAAATAACAATACATTTGTAAGTAATTAATAACAATAATTTAAACAAAATTCGGTTTCTAGATTGTGTCTCCAAACATTGCAGCTTGATAAGTAAATATGCAAAATATGATCTGATGTTTGTGTGGAGTGTAATTGCTAAGCCATTCTCACATGTTAAGTCAACAATTTTTAAAAACTTACTCCTTCCTCGATAACAGCACCTCTGATACAATGACAAGTCAATGTCTTCAAATTCTGCAAAAATGCTGGTGGTGTGGCTGCAATCATCGAAGGCGAAAAGAACTGTACCAACTTTCGATATATATCAGATATTCCCAGCATTTCTCTTTCAACTGGCTGAATGTATGCCATCATGTTCAAGAAGCTATTCACATAGTTCTCCAAATATTGTTGTTTCAGGTTACTGGCTGATACAACTACACCACACAAGCTGGCCAGCTGCACTAAACAGGTCAATGAAGGACTCGCTAAATCTGGATTGGACCTCACGTACATGTGAATCTCAAAGAACAGCGCTATCAATTCTGGTTGCATTATAGTGTCCCTCCAATTTAGACTTAAACGTAAAGCTGGAGTGTCACTTTCGAAAATAGCCTCAAAAGCGCCTATTAGCCGCTTAGACAGCAGGGGTGATACATGGCTCCAGCACAGTACAGTTTCTACAATAGTCAACAGTTGTTTGGTCAACATAGCCTGCTCTCCCTCGGGACGGTGACCTGAACGGACAATTTGTTCCAACACTCCTACAGTAAATCGAAATATCCTCTTTAAATCTAGAGCCTCAAATGATTTCTTTAGTCTGAAATGAACTTCCCATATCATACCAACATCAGCCGACTTTACAGTAATTGCGTATTCTTGCATTATAGCTAAAATCAAGGAACAGGCCAATTTCTGTTGATTTATTGGTGAGCTGAGAATAATCTTTTCTAATTCAGTAAGCAAAGCTTTTCTCTCTCTCCCTCCATCATCTACACTACCCCTCTTGATTATTATAGCAATGGTCTGAAAAACACATTATTTTATTTATTTACAAATAGAGTCGCCTCCAAGGAACTTTTAATTGTTTAACTATTACTTTGTTTTTAGTAATCTTAGTACAACATTAACATGTATATCTCAATCCATAAAGATTAAATATGTCTCATCATCATCATGACAAGGTTAATGAAAAGAAAAAATATAACAAGGGTTTGCTCAGTTTTTATTCCTCTAATAAGTAATTGATTTGGGGACTAGTCTTACCTGCAAAAGCTTCTCTCTCAAAAATGGAGGTGTATCTTTTCTCAGAAGATAATTTAGTAAGTATTCCCTGAGTGAAGAAATGTCACTTTCAGATAGTAAGCTCCACTCCCTGATAAGTGCTGATTTTAGTAAGCCAGCTGCTTCAAAAAGCACATAGTCCGATGTAGACTTTTCTAAAATTTCTCTACAAAGTTGATAAGGGTTTTTGGTGCTCCTGAACTCCAAGAACACGCTCTCCGCATGGTGCCGCTGCTGCGAGTTCACCAGATTAGGTGGCGCCTACGAAAACGACACGATACGTTTTGGAGAATAATTTTATATGACACAAAAGTAGAATTTTAAGACACAGAGATGGTTTACTAATAGCTAAGAGTAAATAAATTCTAAGTAAATGTAATTATCGTTGCATTTACATTCACAAAGAAAATTTTGAACATTGAAATCTTTGTCTTACCAAAAGCATTTGAGCAGCGGCCTCCAGTGTTTGTATAGCGGAGTTATCCATTGTCAATGACGATTGTAGAAACTTTCACACCAAAAAGATGAATTAGATAATATACACGTGCTACCACTTAATTATATTTTATGTTAAACTGACCCAAAAGTCACATAATTAAAGAAAAAAACGACCAAAATATTACACGAATTTTCGATAATTTTACGTCGCCCATCGCGATGACAACCAAATTGACACAGACTATAAAATTTCAACATCAGATGATTGTCAAGAAAAACTTTTTTACATGGTAACATCACAGTACCTATTTCATTTCACGACTTTCTTGACGGATTTTATAAGTGATTTTTGCGCGGCGTGGTCGAAAGTTGTCGAAAGTCGTAGTATAATTTACCAAAATATGTAAATTTTTTTGTAACCAAGTATACTGAAATCTTTCATTAAAAAAGACCGACTGAAAATAAAACTGCATAAGTCAATATTTATTTTAAATGTGATGAACCTTTTTTTTGTTAGTCCGGTGGAATCTGCTTACAAATACCCCGGCCCCGCGGGGGCAGAGCTGGGGTGATATGGGAATGGACTGAACCCTGAAGGGGAGTAGCCCGACCGCACTAAACCCCCGGAGTGTTCCTCCTCTCCGCTGTAGGTGGGGGTACGGGTACGCTAACGCTATTGCACTCGTCCGCGCCCCCACCAACGATGGCCGCGCGCTGCGCAGCCCCTCCTCGGGAAGGGAGACACATCGGTCCCCCGACTCCGAATGTGAGGCTCGCCGAACCCCAGACGAGTCTTCCCGGGCCCCTCCATGCTGGGCAACGCACTCCCCCGAGTCCGCTGCCCAAGGGCCACGGGGGGGCCAGGACAGCATCCACTCAACCGTGAAGTTCAGCTGCTCTCCTAGCTCCCGTGGCGGATCTGATGGCAGGCTCCGCCGCAACACCTAACGCGCATCCACGCGGACGTAGGTACATGACATTGTAACTCCAGAGATATTTATTTATGTTTATGTGTTGGATTTTTTGATTATCTAAGAGATTAGACTTTAAGAACCGTTTGGAACATAATATGACTCATTTTTTGATAATTTTGTGGATTGGATCCTTTTTGCTTAACTACGTCCAATTGATTATGGTTACAAGCGCGTATAGGGCCTAGAAACTTAGGGTCGTATTTTAGAACTCTATTCAATGCTCAAGTCAGGATTGCACTGGCAACACAAGCACTGGAAATACGACCCTAATGGCAGGGACTGGAGTATGATATCAAGTGCTTTAAACCATACTCAAATCCTAACTTGAGCATTGAGTAGAGTTCTAGAATACGACCCTTAAACGTATCACATTATGTACTTCCTCACACAGGCGAAGATTGCAATACCTAATTTGATAAAAATTAATACATTGTATATGTATAAATTTGGTTATCCGGCGAGCAGGCCGCCCCACTACAGCGAGGATTGTTCCGGTCTTTGCATTCTAGTTACTGTCATACATTCTAGTTACTAGAACAGCTTAGAACTTTGCCATTTCACTAGGCCTCACGTAATTGGTAAAACAACGTGCGTTGATGAGTGACAAAGTCCGACCTCAGTCTCAGACTCCACTTGGAATACCGTGTCAAAGCGGCTATGGTATAGGTATATGAATTAAGAGACTGCGATGAGATTCGTATTTATTTATTTATTTATTCATTTGCATTAGTAGACACGTTACATTTAAAATGTTACATGCACCCAATAAGGGTATAACAAAATGATTAGTCTTATAAAATAAAATTAAAATTAATAATATAATTTGAATAAAAGAATTAAAATTAAAAATACAATTTGAATACAAGAATTAAAATTATTAATAGGTAATACAATTTGAATACAAGAATTAAAATTAATAATACAATTTATTGAATGCAAGTTAATGGTTTACACAAGGGAAGCAATATTACTTACTTGAAAGTATCTTCAAAATATTCATTAACTGAGTAATAGCATTTCTGATTTAGTAATAATTTGGGTTTATTACAAAATGTATAGTTTCTTTCTATTGTTTTTAATGTGTCAGGTAATTTGTTATATATTTTTACTGCTCTATAATGTGAGCTATTTCGATACATTTCGACACGGTGTGTTAGTAAATCTAAGTTGGTATTTCGGCGATCACTTTTAACAAATTCAAAATTATTAATATTTTTCCTTAAAAATTTTATTGTTTCCATTAAATATATTCAAGTAAGTGTGAGTACATGTTCTTTTACAAAAATTGTTTTGCAGCTATTTCTGGGTCGGATATTATAGATTATACGAATACACTTTTTTGTATAATAAAAAGATCTTTGGCGTCAGTACTGTGGCCCCATAACAAAATACCGTACCGGAGCCAAGCAAACGCATAGGTGTAATAGGCTGTCTGGGCACACTCTACTTGTGCGTTACATTTTAATACAGATAGTGCATATAGATAAACTGTGATAATTTGGTCTTTATGTTTTCAATATGTTTTTTCCAGTTTAGAGGAGTATCTATTGTCAATCCTAATAATGTGAAATGTTCTACTTCTTCAATATGTAAATAAGTTGTTATTGGGGGTGTGTTAGTTGTTCCACCTCCACGCGTGCGAAGTTCTTGAGTAGTCTGTGATGACATGTTGTCACAGAATGCCCAAGGATGTAGCCGTTACACCCTGGGGCCAACACTGACAACTCTCGGCTTCAGTCCGAGTCGTACCATTGAGGGAAGTGATCAACACGGCCCGGCCATGCGTTTATGAGGATGGACCATGGCAAGTGGTGGGTCGGTCTTAATTTACACCCTCCTGCGTTCATGCCTACGCAGTTGAGCGACGTACGCAGGGATGAAGGAATCCTGGGGGGGCTGAGCCCGAGCGGGGTGGGGACCCCGGCAAGCAATACGCCTTCTTCGGCCCTGATTTCCTGCTAAACGGTAGCCCTGTGACTAGCCAACACAGGGAAACGGCAATGGGAAATGGTGGGAAATCAGGAGAGTGAACACAAGAACACTGCAACATGGATTCTGCAGATCAACTAAAATCATTCAATCACCCAAAACCGGTGGTACTGGAGAGGAAACCCAAAAGTGCCCCATCAAGCACAAATTTAAACGTACAGCAGCGCCCTACGGTGATTCGTAGGCCAAAGGGGAAACCCCAAGGCCAACCGCGTACCGATGCCAGTGCTGGCCCTACACCAGCGGTAATGGCCCGAGCCTTGTGCTCCGTGGTCCCCGCTCAGACACCTGGCTCTGCATCGCAGAACTCAACACATACAGCCCTTGAGGCAAGCCCAAAACCACGGCACCCATCCACAAGGAAGGGGAAAGTGGCCAGGGCGAGCGAGCACCTCTCACTCCCCGCACGCACCGCATTCCCTGTGAGAGCAGGGTACGGACGCCCTTTTTTTTTTTTTTTTGACGGGGGGGAAATCTTTATGGATACCCCTGAGCCCAGGGAGACTCAGGGGCTATGTGGGGACTCTCCCTCCAGACTGGAGGGCCTACCCCACTAAAACCCCCCCGGGTTTCCCTCTCGCCGGTTGAGTCGGCGCCGTGGGATCAGTGAACATTCACCACGACGCCGCCCGGCAGGGGTCGGACGCCCTACCCGAAAGAACAAACGGGGTCGACTCCGAGAGTGTGAGCGCCGCAATATGAAGGAAAATCCGAAAGAGGGAGAGGCGCGGCCCCCAGCGGTTGACGGGAATGATGCAGAGGCCGCGTTAGTGCGGCCCACTGGACCGAACTCGCACGCTCCTGGAAGGGCCCCCCTCCCTCCAAGAAACAAACAAACACACAAGGCACAGAGGTCCTCGACCTATGCCAAATGTGCCCGTCTCGACGAGACATTTTCTCCAAGAGGCGAGCACAAAAGGCAAAAAGTCGAGAAGCCTGCCCCGTCCAGAACGTATGATCACTTCGGTCAAGACTGGTTATATAAGGATTGTGGTGGTAAGCCTACCTGAAGACTGGTATTCCGTGGGGCATGGCCGGCGCTTTACTTTTTAGTTGGGCACGGTCTACCTCCGATTCAGGTCAAGAAGAGGATTATACACGGATGTGCTGCCTGAGAAGGCGAGCACATCGAGCAATAAAACGGATGAAAAGGGCCCTCCCTGACCCCCGTCCTTGTGGATGTCGCCAGCCATACGGTGGCGTCCAATAGTGAGGACGAGTGTGTGTCGGCGATGGGAGGCATCTGTCTGAGCGAGGATAAGGACGACGAACTGCTATCGGCTGATGGCGGTGTCCCCCTCGCCCAATAATTGTACTGTCATCCAGTGCAACCTCCACCACAGTCAGACCGCAACGGTTCAGGTTAGGAAGTGGTTGGAGGCAAACGACACAGCCGTGGCGCTGATTCAGGAACCGTGGATCGGCGCCCGCGGCCAAATAAATGGACTCTTACATCTGAGAGGTAAGCTATTATCCACTACTATCTCAGATAAACCACGGACATGTATATATTACTCAAACAATTTATACATACAGCCACTAATACAATTCTGTTCCAGAAACCTGTGCGCCGTAAAGCTTTTAGCTGACGCGGCCACGGGCCTGCCTGAAGTGGTGTTCGCTTCTTGTCTATATGGCGGAGACTGATGTGCTACCACCACAGGAAATGGTACAGCTAATCAACCACTGCGAGCAGAACGGCCAGCACATTGTCGTGACAATGACATGACAATCACGAAAATTTAAAATTACAGTAAAATTATTATTTGTTTTATAGATAGTCATAATCGTAACTCCCATAATAAAAATAACCCACTTAGTGTTTTATTAAATCAATTATAACAATCGGTCGCTTTATCTCCTGATTTGCCACCATTGTACATACGTACTTTTACCTGTCTCTCGATGGCCAGAAATTTTCATCGAATGAAGAAATCGTAACCGCAGCAAATAATTTACAAATTTCAAAATTTACATAAACTTACTATCTTTATAAAATTAAAAACATACACAGAAAAATTAATGAAGAAGTCGAAGGAGCAGTAAATTAGTATTTTGAAGACCTTATAGAATTTATTTAAAAACGATGTAGAACCTTTCGAAAGCAGTTGAAGAAATACTTACAGCTAGATAGAGCTTAACATCGAAAACTATTTTTTGGGTATTTTATTTTCTTATTAGACCGCGAACTTTTTAATCCCCTGTCACACCATTGTTTAATTCATAAATTACCTCTGCAAAGTAATCTCTTACTAATATCTTCCGCGTCTTGGCCACAGTACTTGCCATCCAAGTACTTATACATATTTTAAATATTGAAAATAGGAAATTCCACCTAAAGAAAACTTCACTTTATTTGTAACCTTTATTTGTAAAAAAGTAACCCTAAGATTTTTAAGTATTTTATGGGAATCGGGACTAGAAATGAGAATAAAAAGAAGAGTGCATTTGACCGATGAGCATATATGAAAGTACGTGTTGATGTGTGTCAGGACCGTAGCAAATGGAAGACTGTTGTCTCTGCCTACTCCGACATATTCCTCTATTTTATTTTACTTTCACATCTAACAAGATACTTTATAAAGGCATTTCTATGAAAAGTAATAATATAATTATGTGCTAGACAACCACACTAATTACCTAATTTCAAACTAAGGAATCTACTCTGAGGCACATCCCAGAACACCCAGACCAGAACTAATTCAGAAAACTTCCGTTTTCCAAATTGGTCGAATCGAAAATCGAACCCAGGAAGCGTCCACTATGCAAAACATCGAGTCGTCAATAAAAAAATTCGCAAAGAAAGTTACGATAATCGTTTTCTTGAGAAAACTATTTAGTAATATCTAAGGTCAGGTATTAGGTACTAACAGTGTACTCCTAGTTATAGCTCTTTAAACAATGAAGGGCTCAGAATGGTAATTGTGCCTCAGGTTTAGTTTTCTTTTTCCCCTTTATAAATTTCAAATTAACAAGTGTGTCAACTATTTATGTTAAGTTACAATTAACTTACAATTGTTGTATAAAAAAGTAATTTGTAAGTAATTTTCTGTTTGTTGTAAGTTTTTGTAGAAGAATTGAAAATCTTCTATTTCAGTTGAAATCTCCTCTGAAGCTCCTCAGTAGTAATCCACTACGATCAGAAACTGCACTCATTTGAACTATAACTTTAAATACAAATACAGTCTTCAAAAATGTTTGCAATAACTACCAATCACAAAATATGCCTACCAGTGGTTAAGTACGTGCTTAGAGTAAAACTGGTTTCTAATACCAGCCATCTTAGCATAAAATTATAAAAAGTCAACAAGTAGATTACAAACATACTGGAAAATAATTTTGTTATTCACTATCCATTGCAAATTTTTCTTTCATGTTCTAGTTTTTCAAGTCTCCTCTCAAATATATCTTTGTTCAGTTTATGCATGCACAAAAATTGCCCATTCAGAAATAGAACTGGAATATCATGCCTATAAAGTCTTAACCATCTCAAGTTTTCTTTCTTTGTAATATCAACCTTTTCTATGAGTATTCTGTCTTTATAAGGTTTTAGTTCATCCATCACTAAGTCACACAATGAACATGGATCTTTGGTATAGAAAGTCAAAACAGATGGCCCATTAAAATCTTCTGTCCTGCAAAGAAAATTGGTAATGACAGAAAAACTACTTAAAAACATTTTGTAGCCGATTTATTGACCAACCAAACCATAAAATACAAAACAAAAAATGTTATCATGTAGGATTTATTATTTACATAATCTGTCTTATATAAATCTTTTATATATTATTACAACAATTGAGCTTAAAGCTATGGAATCTTATAAAATGTTCACTGTTATACAGCAAATAAGTAAAAAGGCACCACAGGTAAGACTACATCATACAAGAGTGCTACTGTTATGAACACATTTATCTTCCTTCTATTTTACAAAGTAAGATTATTAAATGAGTTACATTATAAAGTGGTAAATACGATTAAAAAATCTTTCATGAGCTATTATATTATGCCCTGGTAGAATTTATTTTAAAGTAGAAGGAAAACTCAAATAATAAATTTGCCGAGAAAAACCTACTTACAATTTTTCAAGCATAATAGATGAAGCTCCACCACCACCATTACAAATAGCTGCTACTCCTTTTTCACCCTTCTTCAGTGCATGGCACAAATGTACTACAAGTCTGGCTCCCGACATGCCAATAGGGTGTCCCAAACTCACAGCTCCTCCATGTACATTTAATTTCGCAGGGTCTAATCCAAGGATTTTCTGATTTGCAACTGCTACAACACTGAATGCTTCATTGATTTCCCAGAGAGCTACATCCTCTTTCTTTACCCCAGTTTGTTTGAGTAGTTTTGGGATAGCAACTGCAGGAGCAATAGGGAAGTCAATGGGGTCACATTCTCCATCTGCAAACCCTACTATCCTAGCTAGAGGTTTGATTTTTAGTCTCTCTGCTGCATCAGCTGTCATTAGTATTAAAGCTGCAGCACCATCATTCAACGTTGAGGCATTTCCAGCAGTGACTGTACCATTTTCCTTTTGGAATACTGTTGCAAGTTTATTGAATTTTTCAAAGTTCACTTTTTTGTATTCTTCATCCTCAGTAAATAACACTGGTGCACCTCTTTTTTGTGGCACTGGGACTGGTACAATTTCATCAGCAAAAACTTTAGCTTGGTATGCTGCTTCACTTCTCTTGTAGCTAGAAATAGCATATTCATCTTGTTGCAATCTTGATATTTCTAGTTTTTTAGCTGTGTTCTCAGCACAATTTCCCATGTGGAACTTATTGTAAACATCAGTGAGGCCATCAAAAACTATGCCATCAACAAGTTGCATGCCACCATATGTGGTCTCACCTCTCTTCAAATAGAATGGTACATTTGACATAGATTCCATTCCTCCAGCTAAGATGATATCCTGGGCTCCAGTTTGGAGGCCTTGGGCTGCTAACATGACAGATTTCATGCCTGATGAGCAAACTTTGTTCACTGTTGTGCAAATAGTGCTTTTTGGAAGACCAGCAAATATAACAGCTTGGCGGGCAGGAGCTTGCCCAAGGTTGGCACCACACACATTGCCAATGTATACCTAAAGAAAAATTAAAATATTTAATAACAAACCAATTTTAAGAGTATGTTCAGTTACACAATGTTCAATTTACATGATGAGTAAGTAGAAAATACATTTGTAAAATAAATTACCATTTAATACTTTTTTAATTAGTTTTACATCTCGAAACGTTAATTTTGTGTAATTGGGTATGTAGCAAATTTTTTTTATTTATCAAACATTCTTTCTTATCTAAACTAATTAATCATATGATAAGAAAATCAAGGTGGTATTGAATTTTAAACAAGGGACAGCTGAGTTCAAAGCTAAGTGGAATAAACACTATGGAATCCAATAACTGTTTAACTGTGAAATAACTGTAAATCAACGGTGAAAGTAGCCAGCATCAATTAACCTCTTTAATTTCTTCCATAGGAATGCCGGCTCTTTCGATGGCTCCTTTAACGGCAACAGCGCCCAGTTCAGTGGCTGAAAGGCTCGCTAGGCTGTTCCTGAAGGATCCGATGGGTGTCCTCACTGCCGACGCGATCACCACCTCGTTGAGGGAAACCTTCGACGAGTACGCCATCGCTTTCAGAAACTATCAAACAAAAAATCTTATATTAAGTCAATTTATTTGTTCTTTAGCCAATTATTGGAAATGTAATAAGCAAACTGGTTCGCTGAACCTGCTGTTATGAGTCCGCGTGAACGACTGCCGACGGAAGCACACGAAAACAATGTTTATAGTACCACGAACCTGCGTTGGGTGCATTTTCATGCTAATTATCCTAGTTCCTTTCAAGAAAATCATGATTTAAAATTTAGAAAGCAACACAACACATGAAATATACACTACAAGCGCAAACGGAGACGATAAATGGACAAATAAGTCTATCTTATCTCAATAAATTACAAATATGACGATTTACATAAACTAATCTTTATAAAATTAAAAATATACACAGAAAAATAGACTTTAACACTACGGAGTAAAATAGATTTTAGTACTAAGAATGGCACAAAACGTATTGTTTAATCTTGACCCTTACTTCGATATTTTTAATAAACTCTTTAGTTAATAAGTTAAAAAGAGCCAGCACTAGTCAAAATAAAATGTATATTTTCTTTCTATCTCATATTGTGATGTTATTATTCACTTGTTTTATCCTCAAAAACGTTTACTATAAGTTCGGAAGCTCATTGGCGGTTTTTCCAAGGTCGCCATGTTTTGGACCAATGAACAAAGAAATTCCCAAATGTCAATATCAGCTGTCAACTGTACAACCAATCACAGAAATTCTCAAATGTCAATGTCAGCTGTCAACTGTACAACCAATCACAATAAATGTTTAGTGCTGCCATCTCTCGCTACATTTGTTAGTTTCCGAGGAGCATTTACATTACTTGCCTGTAACACTCTACTTGACTACTTAGTTGCAACTTAACTGAATTCATGGGCAACATGTACGGTACATATACTGTTGGATAATTTTCCGAAAAATTTCAAACGATGGAAATTTTTCCGAAAATATTCCCAAAAATTGAAAAAAAAATTCGAAGGCACATATTACGTTCTACGTTTAGAAAATATCCTTTGAAGTTTTTTTTTGCGTGAATTATAAATTAAACTTGTATAGCTTAAAGTCACTTAGAGAAATACGAGATTTAAAATGACAACAGCGAAAAAACCTTCAACAACCACACTACCACCACCACCACCACCTGTTGTTGACTCCATCGTTTCCGTTCAGTAACTTTAACTTTTGACAGGTGTCAACGTCAAATGTGGAAAATTACAGGAAAAATATTGGAAAACATTACATTTTCTGTAAATATGATTTTTTGAAAGTGGAAATTTTTCTATGACCAAACACTAGGTACAGAGCACATCAACCATCACACTTTAGTCTGTTTTATATTCCATCCGGTATAGACTTCAATTTCGTCCTAAGGAGTCACCTCACTTATCGACACGGAATCCCATTTAGGCGTGTCCGCTTAGACTCCAGAATCTCCCGAAACAGCAGCGTGAAATAAGCATGGGTGGCGACGACGACGCGATGGCCGAACGACTACGAAGGTGCAAGTGCCACATTTCGCACCCCGCTATCTAAGACGATGTCTAAACCACCCTAACGACCACTCAATGCCCTAACAGGTACCATGTCCCATCGGCCCGATCAACCGCGTTGACTCCAGATTGGCTGTGCTACAAACGGTTAAACATGATTTCTTCAAGCCGAAGCTACGTCGATAAGTTGGTCAATTATTCATCAATTCTAAGACATAGCTAGATGTATACTTAATGTTATTTTGCTTTAAAATTTTGCTTGTATCTACACGCCCGCGCCGGCACCGTCTAGTGTTGGATCACGGAAAAGCTTCCATTTCGAAAAGATCACATTTTTTAGAAAAATAAATATTTTTCTGGATATTTTTTAATTATTTTTTCTTTATTTTTCCACATTTGACGTTGACACCTGTCCTGTTAAAAGTCAAAGTTACTGAACGAAAACTATGTAGTCAACAATAGGTCGTGGTAGGGTGGGTGTTGGAGATTTTTTTCGCTGTTGTAAAATCATTTTAAGTCTTATTTTTCTTTATGTGGTATTTAGCTATACAAGTTTATTTTATAATTCGTGCTAAATGAAACTTCAAAAGATATTTTTAAACGCAGAACATAATAATTATGAGCCTTCCAAATTACAATTTTCCAACTTTTCAAATTTTTCGGAAAAATTTCCACTATTTGAAATTTTTCGGAAAATTATTCAACAGTGACACCGTCATCATTTATAATTATATCATGTTATACTATATACCTAGGTAAACACGATATTTTACATGTAACTTTCTTAATATAATATGATATGATATATCTTTACGGGGTGGCATAATTATTCTCGGCAACGTTTACACACAAAAAGTACATACAATGAAACAAACGTACCTATCATACATCTTGCCTGCTGTACTAAATACAATAACAATGATTGTATAAACGAGGCTTCGTGATTGTGAGAAAAATAAATCTTATAGGATCGTGCATGAAGGATGGTTTTGTACGCTGCTCGTGTTTTCATTTGATGTTTTGCTAAACGGCAATTTAAAACAAATGAAAATCAATCTAATAAATTAAAATTTTGTCGTGTTACGTAGTGCTGTGAAGGAAATGAGTTAGAGCGTGTTTACTGTTTTTGTGGCGCAAGAAATAAAAAATCAGGTTAGTGTTTTAGATTTCTTTCGTCAATTTTATGTTTATGTACCGTTTCGGCTTCTCGTGCTACAAATTAATAGATGTTTTTGGAATCCTTTCACTGGCAACAATAGCCTCATCAGTAAAGTATGCAGGATGTACTCAGGTGGGGGTCATGAGACTATAATGAAAAGTCCTGGGAATTGTGTATATTCTGTGTAATTCTGTAGTCGTAACCATTTTTAATATGTAAAATTACTAACTGAATCAAGTGTAAAGTAGAAATTAATAAGTGTGTCATATTTGGTATGCCGATTTTTACAGTTACAATTTCGTGTGAAGTACGTATAAGCGTTTCTATAGGCTACCTTCGAGTTTCGTTAAAAACCGTATAAAAAACCGTGACTAATGGCACTAAACATGCTCTAGATAGCGAAAATAAAAAGCATGCAGATTATCTTGCATTTTATTTTAAAAAAATTCACTGTAATATTGACGATCAACACAGCCTATAGGCCTATAGGCCGTGTTGATCGTCGTTCTATAGCACTGCGAACCCGGGTACGATTGCCGGTAGGAACAATCGGGAAACAATATTTTTGAACTTGGTTCTGGTTTAATGATTCTGGGTAGTGCCTCGGAATGAATTTCATTGCACTGGCCTAAGTAAACAATCACAAATGTGTAAGACAATAACATCAATTACCTTATCTTGAACTAGGAAATACATTGATTTAAAAAATATCTTGGGTACCACTTAAAACTGTGATGATTTCATATGTGGATCAAACCTAAGACCTGATCATGAAGTCAGCAGTGTATATAACTACTGAACATGGTCATGAAGTAAAACATCTTGTTTGTGCTCTATTATTATTTAATTTAAAGATAAAAAAAACTGGTGTTTAAATTATTTCCTAAGTTATTTGTTGTGATAGTCTGGCACATTATTATATTAATAATAAATAATTTGCCAGTGTCATTGTTAACATTGTATACACTTTACATAGTTTTCTCCATTTATTGAATTCTTGATTTCTTACTTACTGTTAGATGTCTAGAACAATTAATATTAAAATTGAGATATAGATTGAAAAATGCAGAAAAAAAAAAGTTTTCACAATTATTATATTCTCACAGGACATTGGCGCAATCGCCATTTTTTGTATAATTTTTATAATAATATTAAACTACCGTACATAGTTATTTTTACTTGACATTGGCAAAATCATTGATTATTTCGATGGAGCCATAACATTTAAAAGAAGAAGAAGATAAGAACAATGGCTATTATGTATAATAAATTTATTTTCATAACTTTTATCCATTTATTTGGCTAGACCTAGATTTTTCCATACTGCCTCTTCATACATTAGTATCTATATTATGTAAAAAACTAGCTGCTGCCCACAACATATTCTGTGTAGAATAAGTTCTTAGTAGCCTATTGTACTTATACTATTTTTCATAGTTTTATTGGTTCTACATTGCAAACTGTCATCCTCAATTCATGCCCCTTAAAAATTCATTTTTGTGACAAAAAGTAGCCTATGTCCTTCTAGTACCCATCTATCTATCTCTATACCAAAATTCATCAATATTGGTTCTAAGGATCAGGTGTTAAAATGTAACAGACAAGGGAAAGGACAGAGCCCGTAGTCCCAGTCGTCACCACTGGCTTTATTCCTATTATATATACATATATTGGTCATATTATTGTGGTGTTCCATTGTTCCGTTATACATTAACACAAAATCACTCTGTCATACGATAAAAAGAATAATTTTCAAAATAGATGCCCCATCAACCTCTCACTTATTGCCAAACACCAGCATTGTGTGGAAACAATTAAATTGACTTATCTATCAACATGAAACTGTTACTCAATTGATCTGATAAGTAATTATCACTAGTAGATAGTTAATTTTAAACACCAGTTTTTTATTATCTTTTAATTACATAATAATAGAGCTTGAACAAGATGTTTTACTTTCATGACTGATGGCTCAATGATCATACACTTTATTTATACTCAGGTCTTAGGTTCAATCCATGTTAGAAATAATACAGGAAACTAATTTTTCTGAATTGTTTGTGATTCTGGGGTGTGAATTTCCTAGTTTGAAATAAGGTAATCGATGCGATTGTCTTGCACATTTCTTATTGTTTACATAAGGCCAGACAGTAGGTAAATATATTTAAATTATGTATGAATGTATATATTCTTATGTTATGTCATAAAACTTATATTTTAAAATCTTTGGCATGAAGATTGCTGACAAATTGCTTGTGCTTTTGTATTACAAGTTTGTTGTTACAACACAAAAAGAGATATTCTCTTTATGGCAAAAATGAAATGGGTTGCTGGGACATGATTCACATGACTATGACAAAGTTTTATCTCTTCTTTGTTTACTAGTTTAATATAAATTTCTTAAAAATGACCATGATTTCCATGATATGAATTTTGTATAGGACGATTCTTATTTCCTCTTTTTAGATTTTGTAACTACTTAACATCTTCTGCTACATTTTTATCTAATTGATATATTAATTAATGATTTAACGTCCTGAATGAATGGCAATGATAGGAAGTTGGGCAGGCAAAGTCTCTTTGAAAATATGATTGCCATAGAAATCATTGAGCAGTGATTGTTCCAATTGTTTTAATACAAGGCTAGGTAGATAGCAATACTCATTCATGGTCAGTTATATCAACATGCTCATGAATATGACTCATGTCCTCCATAAGTTACAGCTCATGTAACACAAACTTGCCAGTAAACTGCTAACAGTGTCTTTCATCGGATGCTGTACTAATTACTATTTATTAGTCAGCTAATTCATATGTTAATATATACCTACTCTGACCACAAACGTCGCCTGCTATGTACAAACTGTGGAAAATTGTTTCTCCTAAATATTGTATGTTTCTTAATTGACTGTGCTAAATAGTGTAGTTTGATCAAGGAGCTTGTTTATTTCGAGGCTTGTTACAGGGTTGTCGCCGAGACGAGCGGGCTATGAGTTGGGTCATGCAATAAACATGGAAGTGGTAAACACAAGTGAAGGTCTATATGAGCAAAGAGAGAATATACCAGGAAGTAGTACCGACAGCGACGCTTCCAGCACGGTGGAGAGCAGTGAACAACTGAGCGAAGAGATAGACCAATCAGACGATGATGACGATCTAAGAGAAGACCTTCAAAAGACTATTCCCGAATGCTACAAATCCGACTCAAACATTACATCACATGCATCCAGTGACATCACAAACGATGAAGAATTTCAAGCAACGGCCCTTTGCCAGTTTATGGATATTTTAAACGATCTAGATGAGGTTTTAGACAAGTCTTTATTAGCTTGCCTTGATGATCCGAGCAACTTTGACAGTGACGAAGAAGATCTCATCTGTAAAATAAAAGAATGTATTGGTCATTCCGAAGCGTCTCATTCTGAAGATCTAAGTTCTATAGACGATAATACTCAAGTAGTATGTGGTGCCCATCCTTCAGCGTCAGTTTTAGAAGACGATGTCACAGAAGTAATTTCTGAAAGGCCACATTTGACATTAGGTCGATCCAAAAGTTTTGTTGATCTATCTGAAACCCAAAGACAAAGCATGGTAACTTCATTAGAGAGAGCGAGCACAATGAATGATCACTTACGTAATTCAATGCGTCGATTGGACCCTATAATGCTGCCAGCTATATCAACAGAGAATGTGGAGCCTTTAACACTCCCAGTTATATTATTTTTAGAGCATCATGCTAATTTGCGGCCTACAAGTGCGCCTATACAATTGCAATTGACCGCTGCTAACTTGAGTAATAATGGTGCGTCCGGGCCCCTGATCGTGGGTCGCAGAGCTCTGCTAATGAATCGAGCCTTGTCACTGCCATCACCAGGGGAGAGCGACGTGACAGGAGAGTGGACTGGGCGGAACACAGCTCGAAGTACTGCTCGAAGTTCTACAACAAGTTCGTCAGACGAATCACTAGCAGGAGTCATGCCAATGAACCAAATTACCGCCCCTGCTGACGAGAGGTAAGTGACGTAATGTTATGTAAACAGATTTTTCGAACGAAACCGAAAGGTAGTCCAAACAATAGCTTTTTTGTTCTCATTGTGATATGGCCTTTGGAGTTCTAAATCAACTTGACGGCCATTTAAGATTATGTTTGCCAATAAACGAAACAATTATACGATAACTTTTGGATGGCATATCAGAGACACAAACTATAAAAATTGCTTTATCAAATAAAATAAAAATATTTGTGGTCCTATATATCTGAAAGTAAACTTTCGCAAAATGTCGGTGCAACTCAAACTTTCTAATATTTATTATCGGCCCACGATCTTTACATTATACTCTTTCCAGACTCGAAGAAACTGACGATCCACCGTTCGGTGTATGGCCACATCGCATGAGTGCTATGCTGGCGTGCCTCAGCTGCACCGTGGGAATATTTAACATTTCGCGATTTGCCATATTCAGTGTTCATTTTGGAGGTAAGAATCCTGAAAAGTATTTAGTATTTAAACATGAAAAATTATGAAACATCCATTTACAAAATTTGTAAATAGATGGTTTTGTAATGGTTGTAGCGACATCGATTGTTATAGTCACAGCTTATGACTTGTCCTTTAGGAAAAATCCTTCAGGTAATTTTAGTTCGTTGCTTATGCATATAGCATGTCAATCTTGCTTTACTCGCCTACGCTCATTACGCACTTGAATGACAGCACTTAATGACTCAGTTGAACACGTCACCGTGATACAAAATTAATGTTGGTCATTAATTTGAAAATTTCCATCTCGGAGAAGACCACAAAAGTTTTTCGTTGACAAAATGTTCATACTTGGGAATGCAACTACGCAAACAAAAACCACATGTTCTTGGAATTTATTATTGTTTCCAGCAAGCTTCATAATACAGTTCGTGATGCTATCGCTGTTGATCGGAATCCCATTGTTTACACTATACTTATGTCTGGGACAAGTACTAGAATCCGGGCCGGTGGATATGTGGAGGATATCCCCTATATTCCAAGGAGTGGGAGTGTCAATACTCATCACGCAGGCTGTCATAGGGATGTACAGTATCATTGGCCTATCTTGGATTTTTGTTTATTTCCGAGATTCATTCATATCTACCGATGATAGATACAAATGGGCATTACCACATGAATACAATTTCGAAGGTGAGTTTCAAATTACACTAAAATGTTTGTCATTTGCGCTAATGTTCGAGCTCAAAACGAATCAGTAAATAATACAGGAAAACGATTACGAGACTGGAGAAGGTCGCTAAAATGGCGGTCTTTTAGTGAATTATTTTTTTCATTAAGCATCATGATGAGAAAAGTGAGATGACGCGTTTGTTGATCGAATCGATTTGATTTTACAGACGGGGCTATAAAAAACGGTACATTTAAGATACAAGAGACGTTACCTCAGTACTTCAATAGCGAAGTATTACAAAGAAATTTGGGGGCCAGCAATTCGTACTTTGGAACAATAAAGTTTCAAGTTGCATTTAACTTAGCCGTAGTGTGGATGATTGTCTTCGTCGCGCTCAGCAAAGGATTGAGGTCTTACGGCAAGGTGAGATAAACTTATCCTTGAATATAATTAAAATTACACATTAAAATATATCTGGCATTCCAGCCGCTGTTTTAGACATTTTTATATATTCTTTCATTATATTTTGGTGTTATTATAAAAATATTGTGATATTAGGGGTTAAAGTATCAAATTCCTAGGATCCTAGTCTCTTCGAAATTAATACGAGTTTTTGAGTCAGGGACTGAGGCATGAGTGTAAATTTGTAATCATTCAAACTTATCTACGGCATTTGCGTAAAGATTTTTATTTAGATCCTAATTATATACCCATAAGGTTTAAATTAAAATCTTAACGCAAACGTGATTAAGTTTACATATTTCAAAACTTACACTAAGGCCCCTGCTACACTCGTTCTCCGTCCGACATCCATTCGAAACAATTGCTGTCAAGTAAATAATACTCGACCAAAAGAAGACGCATGATGCGAATGAAGCTTCATATTTGACATTATTTTTTAATTTGGTCGAGTGTTATTTATTTGACAGCAATTGTTTCGGAAGGATGTCGGATGGAGAACGGAAGTAGGCCCAGATTCCGAGGCGAAATTTTTTCAAATAAAATTCTAAGGATTCTGAATTTAAAATTTTGGTTTTTAAAAATTTGTCTTCGTTTTGGTTAATTTTGCATTTGCTCTCAAGTAGAACGTAAAGCTGCTGAAATACGTGTAATTTTTGAACGCGAGTTCCGAGGAATTCCAAACATGAACTACTTGTATGGAGCGGATACAAGTAATAAATCCTTTCGCGCTATTGATTGAGTGATAATGAATTTTAAATCTGGTAAACGAACTTTGAGGACGACCATAGCTCAAAGTAACAATGACGAGTTGCGGCTATTGTTGAAGTCGATCCATCGGAAAGTACGGCGAAATTAGCAGCATGGTTTGATGTAATTATGCCAACAATACGGTGTGAAATCGGTAAGAAGGAGAAAAATCTAGAAAATTGTCTGCAATATTCGAAAAGGACCATTACTGTGCGTTCCAGTTGTGAAGGGTAATAGTGCTGTTGAAATTACAGACACATGGGACTTGTCAATGTCTCAAGGTGACGGACGCAGTGGTACTGCCCCCCGATCTTTGCAATTTAAAGCTCTGAGCGACACTGCAACTGTTACGGATGCAGATGCACGACTTGTTCGTCCCGTCTTGAAAAAAAACTGTAACGGGCAACGGTTGTCTACGCTCGTCACAGCTACTTTACTGCCTCCGTGGCCGAACGGTTACCAAGCTGATCTGCCACGCAGAGGTCCAGGGTTCGATTCTCGTAACGGAAGAAAGATTTGTACGGCCTACATTTTTTTCTCTCGAGAATTTGGGTGTAATCTGCGTGTTTCCATGGAACCTACGACACGATGTATGTACACTACAATGCCAGAGCGCATACTGCCGAACAAACCATCTTCCTTTATCTGGAGTTGCAGATTAAAGTTCTTTACCACCCTTCATGCTCACCAGTGTTGCTCCTACCTATCCTATCACCACTCCACAATTCAGTTAATCTACAAGGAAAATAGTTTGATTCCTCTGAAGCCGCCGAAAATATACATATCAAAATATACATAATAAGTGATGCAGACCCTGACAGTATTATTTCTAAGGTCAAGTAAACGCCCAGTGTACATTATAATGAAAATATCGTATTCAAATTTAGCTCTATATATATTCTAATGATTCTGTATGACCATGGGGTGGGTAACTAAAATACTTATACTGCGTCTTTCATACAAAACTGACGGGGTGCTTGCTTGGGCTTATAATATTTAGTATATTTTAATGTACAATGGGCGCTCAGCGCTTTTCCCATTGTAGTTTTTGAAAATTTGTAAAATGTATATCGTGTACTACTACGTACTCGTGTTCTATTTAGTTCAGTTGATATAAAAAATATCATTGGTACCTATTGAATGCAGCGGTTTTCTTATAAAATTTCAAGGTAGGTAAGTTTGTTGATTCCATTTCTCCACTATTTTGCCGCAAAGGTATAAATGACCTTTCAGCAAATCTCTAAGTGTATTTATAGTGAAAGGGTAGAATTTTGTGTAAACAAGTGCGATTTTCTAAAAAAATTGTTTCAATTATATAGAACGGCAATTTCATATTTTAACTTTAATGCGATTGTAAAGTCAAAGCCAAAACGAAGTTTATTTATAAAGTTTACGCAACAGTTTTCTCTTTATAACAAAATATTTATCACAATTTTAAAAAGCAAACAAATTAACACGTTACGCAAATGGCAAATACTTATTAATAATAATAATGCACATATGTATTTCATAACAGGCAGTGTACATGTTGATATTTCTACCCATATGTGGCACTTTGGTGTTATGTACCAAGCTACTGACGCTCATACCGTACGACACAGTGACTAATATTTTCTCCGAGACTGAGTGGAGCGAATTCTTCATTAACAGTAACGTAAGTTATTTATTATTACGTATGTTACATTTTATAATTGCTTTTGTCCCACATAGGCATGGTAAATTTTAATTTTCTTTTGTTCGTATAATACCAACAGATTGTTTTGTTAAACGATTAAAAACAGGTGTTTTGTCATTGAAAGAATTATGATATTTCGCGATCCAAGTCTTTTGTTTGTTAATATACAAAGATACCAAACATGGGTACAATTAATTGGTTCAATTCATCGAGTTCCTTTCAGTACTACTACTACTAGTTGTATTGTTTGGAAAAAGGAAAATAAACGTTCCTTCCCTATTGTCCTTGAAATTCTACACGTTGACGGCACCGTAAGGTCACATTGTCTGTAATCATGACCGTTATTTAATCTTATAAAAAATGCTCTCATAAACTTTTCCAGAGTTGGGCGGCGGCAACACAAGAGACGTTTCTAACATGGGGCTTGCTTGGAGCGTGTATAATGCAGTTGACGTCACATAAGAATGCCAAAAATAAGACAAATGTAATGTTGCAAAGGGAGAGTGCCTATATTGCAGTGTTTACATTCGCAGTGCTTCTTCTTGGATCGTTCCTAGCGAACGCCTGCGTGCTTATATTGAAAAACTATGGCTTCAATTACCTACCTGGTAGTTACGGTGAGTACAATTTGATTTCCTATAAAAAGTTACCGTAGAAAATCAGTTGGCGTGAAAATTGTACAATCAGCGTAATAAAAGATCTGAACGGTCAAACCAACTATAATAGATTGATTACACATCCAATGTTGTCAATTGTATCTATACGTGCAAAGTGCTCATAACATCTGCACATTAGACAAAAATGATCATTATGTCAATGATATCAAGATGCATTTATCGTTTGTTGTGAATTTGAGTCGCGAATGTATCTTAAATTAATTTATAGATATGAAATTGAGCTTTGTCAAATTTGTAGATGTTTTGTGCGCTGATAAAATTAAATTTGTAAATAGTTTTGAATGGTTCATTCGTTCACATTGTTAGTGACTAAAAATCTTTTTTTCATTTGCTTTGCATAAGGAAAACAATTAAGTACGTAATTCTGTGTAGTTTTGAAGCGAAATTGTAAAAAAGTTAAAATTTTTGAAATAGTTGTTTTCATCGTTGTTATTTCGTTTTATTGTTGTTGGAGTATTCAAGTGTTATCAGAGACCTAGACAAACAACAATAGGCAATATAATAATATATCAATGTATTGATAAAACATTCTTGAAACTATAATAGTAGTTTTTCCTGGTCACTACATAATGTTATTCATTATTTCCCATTCCCATACAATTTTGAAACGTGTACCCTACTATGCACATAGCGAAAGACTGATTCCGAAACTAAGTAGACCTTGTGTCTTGGTACACCTCTCAAATATAGGGTGTTAACATATTTGAATTTTACTCAAAGAGCGATGATACTACCCATTGATATGAATAACTGATTTTACGGGATTATCTGAAATTACGGAAGAAAACAGTTCCATATAACATTATTATGGTACAGTGGTTTTTCGCAGTTTTAAGGGGGCTCTGTAGTAAATGTGTAAATAATTTCGTCTCTAACGAAGGTTCTATCGAAATCGAACGAATGATCTATCGAATAAATGTTCAACCAAACGAAGAGTGGGAAGAGAGTGGGAAGGCGAACCGTGTCGTGGTTGGGGACTTCACGTGAGAGTGAACGAAACAACAATAATATTATCAGTTCGAGATGGAGTGTTATATACATTGTTAAATAGTCTCGGTTTTCCTCTGCTACTTACCTTCGGTCTTCCCTTCTATGATTCTTCTAAGAAAACTGTCGTGACGTATCTTATGCCCAAACATCTTTCCTTAACTAATCGAGGGATAAAATTTTCAGAAACAATAAAATCATCGCAATTCCTATGGCCAACATCAGAACCGCTGCCAGGCAATCAAGTATCAACTCCAGTACGATTCATGGGCCATTACGGAAGCTTAGTTGGTGTGACTGTGTGGAAGAATGGCAACAACCCACGCGCGTTGAGCGGTTGGCAACCGTTACAATTGGCCACACAACTTGTGCCAGCCACGCTAGCTGTTCTACCTGCTAATTTGGTAAGTCACTATTGCTGGTACTGTATTTAAAGAACTTTTAAAGAATCATATTTCGCTAGGATCGACGTTGATATTATTTATTGTAGAAACAAAAGGAAAAAATCACATACGTTACTGTGATGAAGATTTACTTAAAATACTAGCAGTGTTCTTCCTTTGTATGATGTCTGACGGCCTCGGTGGTGGAGTGGCTTGCACTCCGGTTTTCATGGTGTCGCCATCTCTGAGGTTCCAGGTTCGATCCCCGGTCGGGTCAATGTAGAAAACTTTTCTATATTGTCTCGGGTCCTCGGGGTCTGTTCGTGGTACCGTTGTTGTTTCCGATTTCCATAACACAAGTGCTTTAGCTACTTACTTTTTGGACCAGAGTAACGTGTGTGATGTTGTTAATATTTGTATGACTACCCTTAAGCTGGGTATCTATTAATCTCCGCGCATCTGCAAGTGCTCCACTAATAGATACGTTGCTTACGTTACCGCGAACTCATTGCTATGGACCACTCCATCTCCCCATCCCCACCATCTCGGAAGATAAATGTTTAGCTTTGCAGACGCGCGGAACAGAGTCGATGTGCGAACCTAATGGAGCACTCGGTTTTCTTGTAGTGATATGCGTAACGTCTCCATTTGAGCTGTTATAAATGCGCGGAGTAAAATTGGTGCGCAAACCTAATGGAATGTATAAACCCACCTTTGTACATTATTAATAATAATAACGCACACATTCAACATAGCCCCGCACTAGGGAAACCCTGTCGCGGGTGCCGACCACAAATTACACCCAAACTCACGAGAGAAATAAATGTAGGCCATATAAATATTTCTCCCGGCCCGGGAATCGAACCTGGGACCGCTGCGTGGCAGTCTGGCATGGTAACCGTTCGACCACGGAGGCAGTTACTTGACTAATTGACATTGACTTAGGTTAGCCATTCGGACCTTACATTTTTGTTTATATAATATGATTTTGTAGAATGAGCCCAGTGAGAGCCACGGACCTAGAATCTAAACTCTGAAGGGAAGGGAACCGAATAAGTAGTCGGAGTCGAGTTCGAATTTTCGCTTTTTTTTTCTTTTTCTTTTATAACATCAAGTGACGGGACGAGCAAGTCGTGGGCCTGATAGTAAGCTACACGCCTGTCCATAACAGTTACACTCAGAGTTTTAAATTGCAAAGATCTGAGGGGCACTACCACTGCGCCCCTCACCCTGAGACATAAGTTGACAAGTCCCATGTGCCTGTAATTTCACCAGCACCCTTACCCTTCAAAACCGGAACGCAGCAGTGCTCACATTACTGTTTGGAGGCAGAAATAGGTAAGGTGGCAGTACTACCCTGGACGAACTCTTTCACAAGGAGCTCTACTGCAACTAATTCCCGTGTCGTGGAGATGGGATTTTAGTTAGTAATCGAGCGGTTTGGGCACCTCTACCATGGGGACTCCATTTCATCCTTTTAGTCAAGTTCTCGTCCTTATAATGAAGCCTATAATATATTTACACCTTTAAAAGTACTCTATATCTTCGTATTAGCAGTATAATTATTTGATGATCATATTTGAAACTGCATATTAATAATGTGTAAAATACCTTTATTGAAACGATCGAGTATATAACCAGAAATAGAGACGAAATAAGAGTCATACATTCCTGGTAACTCATCACTTATAAATATCAACTCTCTTTTGCACTGAAATTACAAATTAGAAAGCTGAAATAGTACAGCACCAACAATATTGACCTGTGTATACGTATGACCGTATATTCCAAAAATATTCTGTATTTATTGTAATAAAGAAACACTGGTGCGCTGTTTCTTTCGGTGGTGTGGGTAAAAACAGCAAAACATCTAATAACAAGTCACGCGGAATCAAATATCATCGGTAATTAAATATGTAATTTTGCAATTTTCGTCCATTATAGCAAAGCTCAAGTTACCTGGTCGATTTGAAGTGAAACAGTTTACGACACCCATTGACGACACCCGTCAATTGTTTCGAACACGGGCTAGCCAATCGGAGCGCAGTTGTTACAGTAATGATATGGCAGCATAGTTTTCAAACAAATTAATTGATATTTCGTCTCTATTTCTGGTTATATACTCGATGATAGAAACAGAGTACCTTCATATATGTATGTATAAAATTACAAATACTTTTTCAGCTCTCTCCAGCCTGGGCAGTTATATTCTACTTCATCTTGATAATGTTCGGGCTGGCACAACAACTGGCAATATGGCACTGCGTCATCACAGGCATTCTGGCCATCGATGCGAGATCACTTCGCGTCTGGGAGACCACAATAACATTCCTGAGTTGCGTCTTTGGATTGGCTATGGGGCTTTTGCTCACTACTGATGTAAGTTTTAAAATTTACTTTTCTTCAGCCTAGTAGTCGGGTAAAGTAGATGTTACTGTATAAATTTTAATTTGTTATGTTTTTGCAACACTTAACAAATGTATTTTTGCAACACTTTTAGCAAACTATATTATTGTAACACTTTTAGCAAACTGGCGCACTTTTTAAGCATTTCATGATACAATGTGTTTTCATGATAACAAACATATTTTATTATAGGGGTTACCTTAGATATATTGAGTAAATAAAATGAAGTATTTTTTTCGGACCAACTAAATTCTTACACAATTATAATATTAAAAATTTTAATCACATACATTAATAAATAAATATAACTGACAATAAAAATGAGCTATAAATAACATAAATGAAAAAAAAGGCAAATTTCATTACCATGAAAATTTAAATTTGAAAAATTTAAATATAAAATTTAAAAAATAAAATAAATTTAATTAAATGTAGCATGCAATGTAACAAATAGTATCTTAATCTAAACTGCCAATATAAAGCTGCATTCGGTGGGTCTGGATGGGACAGTCTATTTTGTTTGCTACAACAGTTAGAATACTACACTACAATACTACACAAATCGCCAAAGTGAGGTTACCCGCTTTCTCAGAATGGCATGAAAGCCGTCTAAGGAAGCATAATTTATAAATATTTTGCTTTATTATTCTGCCCTGATAAGCCGAAAAGCGCTATCTCAATCGGAGTAAGTTTTGAGAAAATCGACTTTTTGTACATACATATATTTTCGCTCCTTCAAAAATAAAACTTTTTGAAAATGTTAAAACTTATTTATACGTATTTTTGACTGATAAATTTATTGACATACCTAAATTATCCACAAATTGTACCATTATACCTATTTTGTGAGATACCGCTATTTTGATTATAAAGAAAGGTTTCAAAAATTGAGATATAAAAATACTTCTTAATGGTTTTTTAAATGTTTTCAGTTAGATAGCGCTATTTCTATTATACCATTAGAAGCGAAATTATTATAGCTATTGAATGGTATAAAAAAACTAAAATCTCAGAGATAGCGCCTTTCGGCTTAGCAGGCCAGTATTTGCACATTAATAATTTCGAAATATTTTGTTTTATTATTGCACACTTTGTAATGTGAAAATTTTCTACAATTATCAGGCCTCATTCACTCCACTCGCTCATTTATTCTAGTTTTATTATTAGCTTAAGCTAAGAATAAAATTAGAATAAATGGGCGAGGCAAAACCAACATAAAGTCCATTCAGCTGAATGCTCTGTTAAATAACATGACGTCTCAAGGTTTACGAAGTGTAGCGTAGTGTATGTATATTATAATTATGGTCCAACAATGCCGAGTGTCTACATTACTAGAAGAAGCGCATCGGCATTATGATTAATAATCATACTAAAAACTAGTGGAGTTATTTCACAAAATAATATCTCATTAACACAATCGTAATATTTATTAAATATCATACTGTTTTTACTATTTAAAATTTTTGTAAAAATACTCCATGCTTTGTTTCTTTAAACAAAGATCCGCAACAATAGAGAAATTTGTAAGATCTTTTGGCTCGATCCGTAGCTCAGTTGGTAAGAGCGGCAGCCACATTGTGGCAGATCCAGTTAGATCGTAGAAATTGTTCTTTGTGTTTGTTCGATCTTGGTATCAATAATAATAATTTTCGACGCTGCGTCATATGACCTTCATTACGCCTTGCGTTCATAGTAAAACCTGTTTCATATCAAGGGAAACTAGTTCACTAGGCTCGATCAGTACCTTTACTACAATTTGAAAACACACGGCACGGTTTATCGCAAATTACGTCTCTCCTTGTACAAATAATTTACACGACCGATAGAGAATTCGACTTTAATCTCATGGTAAGGGTACGGAATATAGCAAAGATACATTTTATAGTAAATCGAGCCGATTTCTCTTGCACCTACTGGGTGCTCCTACTGGTAGGACCAAAAGGATAATTATAATCCTCGTGCTCCTACTAATGTAGTTAATGTTATCTATACTTATATGTAACTGTCTAATTACAATTAATCGATTTAAATAAATATGAATACTTTCAGATATAGAAACTGCGAGGCTGATTTTCTTCAGTTACTTCCATAGTTAAATATGTCCCATTTATTGTGTCACTATCACTACAGCCACTTGGTGGCTTTTTCGTAAGAACTAAAGGCGCTTTCCGGTAGTTTGTTCGTCCCGTTACTTCATATTATAAAAAATAAAAAAAGGTCCTGGTCTGAGCTTTCTCAAGAATAATTAAATTACGTTCAATGTTGCTAGGTTTTAGTATCATACCTAAAATTGATACGGTAATACTATAGAATTTGTACAGGTATTGCACATTATTATTACAGATGGAAAGAAATTCTTATAAATTTTAAACTTAAAACGTACTTTCTTAAACGTGCTTATAATGAGACTTTTCACTAAAACGCTTCTTAGTTTGAAGCTTATAAAATCATTAATTAGGAAAACGTTTAAGTCCATAGACAGGTTTTACTATGAACGCAAGGCGTAATGAAGGTCATATGACGCAGCGTCGAAAATGATTATTATTGATGCAAAGATCGAACAAACATAAAGAACAATTTCTACGATCCCACTGGATCTGCCACAACGTGGCTGCTTCTCTTACCAACTGAGCTAACAGATCTTACAAATTTCTCTATTGTTGCGGATTTTTGTTTAAAGAAACAAAGCGTGGAGTATTTTTACAAAAATTTGAAATAGTAAAAACAGTATGATATTTAATAAATATTACGATTGTGTTAATGATATATTTTTTTGTGAAATAACTCCACTAGTTTTTATTATGATTATTAATCATAATGCCGATGCTGTGAAGTGGGTCCTAAAATCTCTCACTAGATGTCATTAGCGGTTCAGAATGCCGAAAAATCCAGTACAAAGACCTTTAACAAATACACATAGGACAGTTTCAATTAGCTTAGTTGGTAAGAGCAGTTCTACGGTGCAGTATGGTCGTGGGTTCACGTCCCATCGGGGCGAAATAGTTGTTCTATGTGTTCGATATTTGTATCTATTAATAATCATAATATTACGATTACTTTAATTTGGTAACTCGCTTTTTGTGACCTAAAATGTATGCTAACTTTCAATCTCCAGGCGGGCATCAGAATAGTCCACTTCATAGACTACGTATGGGTGGGATCGTGGTGGCAGTGCGCAGTACAAGTGTCGCTTGCGTGTGGCGTGTTCGTAGTACGCGGTCGACCTTATTCACCGGACGTCGTAGTGGGCGCTCTCTACGATTCCCGCTCCAGATTGTCCGCCACTTTAGCTGCATTGCTCAGTTTTACCTGGACCGTTATATTGCCTGTTTTGTTGTGTGTAAGTATCATTATAGATTCCAAGACTTTCGTGGTTATTCACTAAGTGATTATCACTAATTACAGGTTTCTTTCCACGATATTATTTCTTTTATTTTTCCGATATTTCGGAACGGTTACAGGCTCCATGGTTGCGGGTTGACTCAGTAATTAGTAGATGTGATTTATTGTAACAAAACTACAAAAAAATATTGATATAAAAATAAATCAAGGCCTACGTTTACCCACAATCACACCGTTTAGGATTTGACGTGATAACGATAGTATCGAAATTTGACATCACCATTCGCCTTGTCCAAGTTGAATCAGTTTTTTCTAAAACTCGATTTCGTGCGTAATTTAACTTCTTCCTAAGTTTAAGTGTAAACCTTAAACGTTTATGTGGTTTTTGCTGAATAAAAACATCGCTAAGAATCATATTAGAGAAGGTTCTCAACACTCTTCGAAGTCTGTAATATTCATCGAGCACAAAATTTTATCCATATCATATCATCGTCGCATCGTACGTACGTTTTTTGAAGTAATGCCTATTTTTAACTGTGCAAAACACTTGGTCTATTTCAGTACAATCATAAGATCATATCAAACTTGATAACTATCAAGTTTGATATTTGAGGACATCAAACTTGATAGTTACAATCGAAAATCACCCGTAATAGAACTGAATAAGGTACGCCACTGCGTGCTTCATTTGATCTTGGTTAGATGTTATAAAAAAGACAAAGTTAATGGTGCACTTGTTCCAGGCAATATGCGTAATGGATTTCCGTATTGGACAACAACGACAACTTTATAGTTGGAGGAAACCTGCAGGGTAAGCTTACTTAACCTTACACACAAATGTGAAATTTAGATTACACGGAATTGCGAAACAAAATTGTCAATAAATTGTACGCGATTTGTATCGTGCATCTGCACTGCTGCACCCGCGAAGACATCCTAAAGGCAACAGATAGCGGTAAAGAGGTGGCTGCTTACTGGGCCAAAGAAATAAGAACACAGGATTCCTACTGGTTTTTGTCATTGACTCATCAAGAACAAGAATCGGGCGTCAATTTTAGTCGATTACTTTTCCTTTGTAGAAGAGGGTGTGTAATGTATCAGATAAATATAATGAATCGTTAGGTTGCTAATATAATGAGCGTTAGCTCATTTAATGTAATTTTATTTAAATAATAATTCACTTTTCACATAACAATCACTGAATATAACGAACGTTTAACTTTAACTTACATTCTATAATTTCATTTTTGATACTAATCATTAACCCTAACCCTCATAAGTTATAAACCTCATCATAACTAAATAGATAAACTGCAATAAAATTGTCATAAAACATATTCCGAAACGCAAACAAATTCGGGTTTGACCTTTTCATAACCTACCTTTAAAAGGAGTGGCAGTTCTTATATAAAAAGAGATGTATGTAAAATATTGTCATAAAATGTGAACATTATACTAAATTAAGTTATAGGAACTGTATTTAGTTCAAGTGAAAATTGTATTAAATGAACGTTGCATCTAAATTAGTTTATTTAATTTTCACACAAACGAGATGCACCCTTAAAGGGACATAATCTCTTTGAATTGAAGTTTGAAAGCAGTAGAGCTCCTTGTAGAGGGTTCGTCCGGGATAGTACTGCCACCTTATCTATTTCTGCCGCCAAGCAGTAATGCCAGCATTACTGTGTTTCGGTTTGGAAGGGTAAGGGTGCTGGTAAAATTACAGGCACATGAGACTTGTCTACTTATTTCTCAGGGTGACGGACGCAGTGGCGTTGCCCTTCAGATCTTTGCTATTAAAGCTGAGTAACACTGCAACTGTTATGGACAGGCGTGTAGCTAACCATCAGGCGCACGACTTGTTCGTCCCGTCACTTGATATTATAAATAAAATATATATATATATATTCACTATACTAATATGTCTCCAGATACTGGCCAATATGGGCGCGGCAACTGGCCGTGTTATTGCAACAGGGCGCGCTGCTGATTGTACCAGTCGGTGCCTTCATACAGACATGGCGGTACATGAGTAAAGGGCCGCCTGATATATTGGAGGTAAGTTGCAGGAACAAATTAAATGTAAATGACAACAAAATAATATAGAATGCTCAGTATTGCTAGGAAGGGTAAAGTTTTGTACTGTGTACAGTCATCATCAAAATGATCCGAGCGCTGAAATTTCTTTTTCAAACGCATTTTACTTTAAAAGGGCATTTTAAATTTATTGGGAGATAAGGTGTATATGTATATTAAATGTTGTGAGTTTGCACTGTTTGAAAAGGTCCTGGTTGAGAGATAAGGTGTATATGTTTATTAAATATTGTGAGTTTGCACTGTTTGAAAAGGTCCTGCGTTCAATTCCCAGTAGGAACAATTTTGGAAATGTTCTCTCCTATATTGGTTCTGGTCGAGTTGTTGTTGAATGCCATATAAGCATTTAACAATGCATCAAATATATGTATACAGCAAACAATCGATAGGTGTGATTGCTTGGCACGATATGGTTACTCTATCTCGTGTAATAGATATTTTAAAATTAATTGTTTGATTAGTGCGATTGCTCTGGTAATTTTAATGCTGACTGTACATACTACAATACATACTAATAACTAACACTCGCTAACGTAATCGTGTTTAATTAACCTCATTCGTTTCGATTCGACAACGTACAATCAATTGAATTATATAAATTAACTTACGTAACAAAGAGAACTTAGTACTAGATTGTCTGTATTTACTAAAAATTTCGTTACCTATTTGAACTTTAGTGTTAAAAACTTGAATGCGTACGAAATTGAATATAAACAGTGTTTGAATGCTGAGGCAAGTAGTGAAGAGCCCAATGCACAACAGAGGGAGACGGGAAACTTGTGTAAAATAATTAATAAATCGGCTGTTTACAGACCACGACGCCATGTTATACCACATATAATATATTCAATATCGCACACAAGCAAAGATTTGAGCAATTCTTATTGATTTTAAAATGATAATGAATATGTCATCATTGGATTTTACGCGTTAATTTTTCTATACGCGATATTCGAAACAAAAAAAAGTTTTTTATTGGAAAGGTAATATACCTATACATAAAAGCAGCCGCAGTAGCGAAAATGTTGATTTCATTTTGTGTGGAAATTAACCGTAACGATCAGCCTTAAAGCAAATAAATATCGCAATAATTCTTTCACTTGTGAAACAGCTTGTTACAAATTTTTAACCCCAAAATACAAAGACTTAATATAACATGCACTACTTGAAATTGTAACATTGTTTCGTATCTAATTAATAAACATAAGAGCGTTGACGCTTCCATTAAATTATCATACGAATTCTGGAGTCCTATAACGTCGCAGTGCTAGCTTTACGTCTGAATTGTAAGTTGAAAACCTTCACGGAAATTAACTTTATGACTATTATGATACTGTGATGAAAGTGAGCAATTTGGTGGTGTAAGTGATACCTTGTAGAATATTTAAGAGTGTAATTTTTGCACAACTGTCATTTTGCTCTTGTAATAAACAACATTTTTGGATATGTCCCGTCTTTGGTGTGAATACATTGCTACGCTTAATGCTGTATGTCAAGGTTCTTAGCTTTGAATTGTACCTTAAGTCGTCCATAAAGCGTACATTTGCAATTAAAATATTTGTCAAGTTTTCATAGCTTATCTCGTGGCGTAGATTTGATTTGTTTTAAAATTTTGATAAAACGTAGGTAACGAAAATTTCTGTTTTAAAATATGTTTTGTGTATATCCGGCATAAGCAAACCATTTCAGGTAGATTTCACCAAAGTCGAACATATCTTCTTCCAAGAATAAGACGCGAGAAATTAACGTTTTATTCTTGGAATATGACGCTAGACTTCTAATGTAAGGTTTTTGTGCTTACGCGCTACAAGGATTACGGGTCTAGTGACTGTACAGAAGAATTGGTAAGATTATTGTTGTTTCTATTGTTCGATGCATTTTTTTTTTATTATTATGTATGTTCATGTTGTTACATTTGCTTTATGTTTTATAGATCCCTTATTTAGTGTGCGATTGTTTTGCTTTGACGATTTTAAATACAGTAGCTCTACCATAATTTTACGGTTTATAATCTTGTATATTTGTAAGTCAATGTCTTGTATAGATAATTTTATGTTAGTAATTGTACATTTATGTACTTCTTTAGAATGAGGATGGTTACACTTGGAAATACGTATGCAACCGGGTATATATTATTGACAACCAAGTATCTCCTAATCTTAACCTAGCTCAGTCACTTGAACTGGAAAGCGCAACTTATATTGGTTGTCATAATTTCCAGCGCATCCAAAACCTATATCGGCCTCGCATGGGCCCGAATAGCTCGGGTCGTCCGTCGTCGGCTCCGCCGCGCGATGCTCGGCCGCCGTCCGCCACTGCGCCCGCGCCAGACCCCCCGCCCAAGTACACTCCCCCGCCGTCGTACTCTACTGCTACTGGTGCTAGGTTGCTGAATACGCTTAGACGGAGTTTTAGAACGCTCAGGAGGTGAGTTGGGATTTATTTTTGATGTAACAGTCGAACTTTCATTTAGCATTTGTCGAAAATAAAAAATACACGTCTGGCATGAGAATATCGATACTGACGAAAGCGAATAATATAGGTATTATGTCAAACGTCGCTGAATTCAATGTTTAGTGGAAAAAGTGTCCTGCTTGACCCAAAGGTATCGATATGACGAATGATTTCTGAGGGTATTTGAAACCATAAAGGGATGTGGAGTTAACATCGAAATGATCTGTGCAGTTAAAAGTACCAAAAATATATATTTACGGTGAGTTTAATTTTATCTATGTCTAAATTTACAGTGTGCTCAAAATATCTGACATCATTTGACAAATATCAATCTAAGCCAATGATTTCAAGATACAAATAAGTGCACATATCGATGGCTTTCTAGAATAGCGGTTTATCTCAAAACAACCTAATTCGTAAGAAAAATGGTTTAAAAACAACTGAAGGATATTTAACGTGCATAGCCGACGAATTATACGCCGTCCATGTTGCCACGTGTTTGTTTTAACCAACAAAAAGTACAGTGCTTTTTCACAATAAAATTTAGCACACCCTAAATACAACTGTGTTACAAAGACAATTGGTTTGAGCCACTGTTCTTGAACACCAGTGATATAGATAAAATTGAGTACTATAATATATGTATGTGTAAATATTGTTGGTTAGTTCAGATCATATTGATGTTAGCAAGATTTATACACAGAGTTGACTTTACGGTCACAAGTTTGAAGACTTTATTCGTGTGATGATTTGTTTTCTTCCCAGAATAACATCGGCGCGTACGGAGCAATCACAATCCGACGAAACAATGAACACGCCGATCACGCTAAGCGAAACGGTTGACCGCGAACAGCAGGCTCGAGAATCTCAACCTCCGGAATATAGCGGCGTTTTTGCCACGCCTTCTATCACAATCACAGATGAGACTGACTCCAGATCTAATCGTCCAAGGTCATCGACCTCCAGGAACTCCCTATCTCTAACCCGCAACTATTTAAGAAGGTCCTTCGTCCGCAAAAGCGACTCAGTAAAAAGCATCCGATCAAGTTTGCGACGAAGTTTCAAATATGGTGGTGCCTTAACAAGCAGCCATGAGCAGCTGGTGCGAGGGGCTGAACCGATGTCCAGCACAGTGGCCATGTCCGCGATGTTGGATAGCGATGGCTCCCCGCACGCGCGTAGCCTCGCCTCTGTGATATGATTCTCGTAACCTTATTTTTCCGGTCTCGACCAAACTTTTTTGTAAATTCATATAGATTGTTGTGCAGGGTCCATTCGAGCTGGAAATTATTTTCGGAACTGACCTGTACCATGAGTGAAAATGTTACTTCGTGCATCGCTTGGGGCGCTGTACAACTTGCCATACAAAATTGATAAATATTTGACGTGGACGCTAGCCACAACTCGCTGTAAACTCATGGTAGAGGCAAAGTATCTATACCACGAAATGGTAGTGTTAAGTCACTACAAGAATGATTCTCGCAATAAAAATATTTAACATTTCGTAAATCATATTTTAAGCGATCGCTAGGAATTTACAAACTGTAATCTCAATGTGGAGATACAGTACTGTAGTAAAAATGAGTTAAACAAGTGTTTCGAATACTAGTGATATTATTTAATTAAATATAATAGTTGTTAATAACAATAATTGCAGTGAAAAGTGACATTATTGTATTCATCTGTTGACTTGTTTTTGGTCTTGACTGTATTTTTTCATGTCATTGTACTTCCAATGTACAAATATTTCTGGCAAGTCAAATGTCAGAATATTATACATTGGTACATTTCTCAGTAAAGTAGCCAAAATGGACTTTGTATCGAATCCGGACATCACTAACTTTTAGTTTTAAGAAAAATTAACAACCTACGAGTTTACGTAAGCACAATAAGCCATTTAGGTGCTAGTTATACAATGAAAATTAAATGTACTTATGTATTACATTTAATTCGTATACTTAACAAAGAAAAATAATAACCTCAGAGCTTAGTTGTTTTTAGGATATAAAAAAGAATTTAGCAATTAATTTGAAATAGTTTTGGTAATTGTCAGACTAGAAATGTGTTCTCGTTAGGCTTAAGTTATTGTGTTATTGGAAGAAAACAAGACAATTAAGTAAGATATTTTATGGGGTATTTGAGTTGAACGTATTGCATCGCATAACTCGAACGTTGACTGTTCAGGATTTTTTTAATCATAATATTATTTTTTTCTCTATCCAGTAAGTTCCATTCATATAATACATCACACCATTACGACCTACTATGGTCAGTGTAAACTAAGAACTATCTAAAAAATATAGGATGATCCCTGTTACAGTTCATAAAACTCTACATAATATAACATTGTAACGACGTGCACTAATCGAGTTCTTAGGTTTTCGCGATTGTAACACATAGTAAACGAAACTATTTTTCCGGATTTAAATCGCGTATATTTGTTTTTGCAAACAAGTTGGTTTGTCCGAAAAAACAAATATACGCGATTTAAATCCGGCAAAATAGTTTCATTTCCGAAGTGCACTAATTTAAATATTTCATAAACTATTTTTATATGGCTCGCTTTTAAATGAGTAGGTTTTGTTAAGTAAATACAACACCAAATCAGTGTTTATTTGTGAGAAATAAGCGCAAAAACATTTGTTTCAAAAGTTCATTATTTTTTTTACGACAACTTGCAACGGTTACTTCGTTACACTGCATTTGCTAGAGATCAGGTATGTCGATAAAGTTTTCGATAATTTAATGAATAAATATATAGTGCAGTTATTCATTCCTAAAGTATGAATTTTAATCATAAACAATGAATTAACATGTCAGTGTTATTAATTATTGAAATTTTCTAAAATATCTATTGAAATTGCGTTTGAATTATAGTTGTCTTTTATGCCTTCAATATAATACAAGGCACTTCACGCATCAGTACATATAAAATTTCAGAGTTCAGAATACGTTATAAAAATTCAAGATATACTACTATAAGGCAGATATTTTGCTTCAAAAATCAAATTCACTGAAAATCTATCGACTTTACCTCATCCCAATGACAGACGTCAAGTGAAGTGGATCATCCTAGTTTGCATTTAGTTTAAGGCCCATTATATTCCGAAATGGAGCCGAGAAGAGCAGTGTACGCACGTGGGGAAAACATGTCAATAACTGTACACTATTGACTGAGGGAGACTTACTGTACGAGTCTTCGTATATTTTAGCATCACAATAAATAAAATCACATAACTAGGCAGTGAACGAGTTGTGTAGTGTTAAGTGATTTTAAGTGAAGTACAATGAACTTTTAAGCAAAATAGGTTGTTCAAATATTGTTTTATGATTAGGTTAGTTCGTATTAGTTCCTTCCTTGCATTTATGTGTGCTATGCGAGTGTTCTTATATTTTTAGTTCTTTTAGGCTCTAGTCACACGCTTCCACATTATGATTTTTATTTCAAACATCACGTTTTATCAAAGTTTTATTGTAGCTATTGCACATTTTTATCGCACGTGTATTTTTTTTAGTTTATTCTATCTTCATTTTCTTTTTACATTCCATTTTGTTGCAATATTTACAAGATAGTTATTGTAATAAACATTTTTTACAAGTATTCGTTGTTTTAATGAAAATACTCGTAATAAGGAATTAAATTCTTTATTCATCAGAAAAATTCATCAAACTTATTTTTTTTAAATTCAAAACAAGGAAGTCGAGGCAATGAAATGTTTTAAAGCTAAAAACTAGAGGATGAAATGAAAAGTTAGAATAGAATTAAGAAGTAACTTAATTTAAAAGTTAATAATAGATAGTAGTGTCTACATTTTACTACCTCAACTTCTCCGTTTGTCAAAAATTAATAAGGTGTCTAAAATAAATTCACATATTGTCACACAATAGAGCATGCTTAAATCAAACTAGAATGTCTAGATTAACAATAGATAATTTTTCATGACAGTTGATCATTGTTAAGCGCATGTCACACCGCGAGCGAAGCTAAGTTACCTCGGCTGCCGTAGTGGCATGCAACCAACTATGCGACCTTAGCTCGCGGTGTGGCCAGCGCTTAACAGTGCCAGAAGTAGAACAATCACAGACCATTCAATAGAATTAACTTAGTGAATCAGGAATTCAAATACCTATTTGTAACATATAATTAGGCCTAGTATCTATTGTTTTATTGGGAAAAGTAACACTATTTCAAATTACATATTATGTCTAAAATAAACTTCGGAATATGTTACTTTCTCTCAATAAAGCAATCGAGTGTTCAAATTGACTATTACATAATTATTTACTAGTAAAGATCACAAATATCAGTCAAAAACTTTAAATTATATCATGGTCATAAAAGTGTTTAATTTTAACAAATTATCTTATCAAAGAATTAAGGTTCAACAGAGATTTGGCTGCCTTGGTATCGGTGGGTTGTTTCTTTTTAGCTGGGTCCTGCATGAAGCACTTCCAAAGTCTGTGAATATAATAAATAATCAAAATATCAATAAGTAGAAAAATATTTCAATAGAAAAACTAAGTAAACCCAAAAAAATGAAATGCCAGTAAGAAGCGAGATTACTTCATAATAACTAAGTTTCACATATACAATATTACGATAAAAAGATAAAATAAACCTTTAAGTTAGAGAGAGTTTTTTTGGAAGTTGTCATTCTTATTAAGAAAAGTAAACCAAAAGTTAATATGAGAGAGAAATGAAATTATAAAGTTGAAATTATTTGGCATCAGATTGCCTCATATTAACAAACGTTCTATCTGAATAATATTAATGTATCTTTTGAATCTGGTTTTTAACTTTAAGTTACATACCCATTTCAATCTCAATTCATGATTGAGGGAATTTAAATTTTATTTGATTAAATATCATATTCACGTTATCGTAAGTTAGAGAAAAAAGTTTGTCTTAAATCCTGTAAAATGCCTAAAACCTATGGCTAAAGTTCGAAATTGCTTATGAAATACGATATAGCAGCGTTTTCTAAACTGGGACACAATGACCGTAAGGCTGCGAGCTACAAGTCTTTTACCACTGTATTTTTGTTATTACAATTAGGCTCAATTATAATTCGTATTCGCGAGAATCCGCAGCTGCCGTCGGCTACTTGCGTGAAGGCAGGCGCAATGTAACGTCAAACATCGACGAAATTACTATAGCTTCAACGCGCAGTTCCGTTCCATTCCGTTCCGCCGCAATGTAAATTGTGCCTTAGGAACCGCTATGATGTACGACTTGTGAAAATTGAAAGCATGAAAAGAAAGTGACCTTATTGTCTCATCGGCGCCCGCCGACACGACGGACTGTCCGTCGGGCGACATGGCCAAGTGCAGCACGCGCGCCAGGTGGCCCGTCAGCTCGCACACGCGCGTCATCAGCGGGTACTTCCAGATTATCAGCTGATTGTTCGCGTAGCCGTGCGCTGACACCAGCTCGCGGTAGTGTGTGCTCCACAGGATCGAGCACACCTGTAAGCGAAATATCGTGCAAACATTACTTCAAATATCGATGGCTTTTATTTTTTTTAGTTTATTGATCAAAATGCAGAAAAAATACTTATTTACTAATTCCTCACGCATCACTTCGACCTCCGCGTAAACTCCGATTTGGGAAGATTTCAATGGCTTGCCTCACTTTATCACCACGTATTGCGTAAAGTCGCACCATCTCAGTCAATTCGACGTTAGAATAAATATCCATTTTGCGGCGATCGGGCGAGCGGAAATACAAATAATTTACGTGTCTTCGTTAGATCAAGGTTGCGCGTATGCGCCCTCGCCCTCACTCCCGACCTGTGTTTTGTTTTTCGCCACCGTGCCGCCACCCGCCGCTGCGTCGGAGCAATAATAGTGATGTGCATAGATTTCGATAACTAATGTTGTTCTCAAGTAGTAGTCGATAAAAAAAAAAATATTTTTTGTAAAGTTTAAGTTCATTAGTTTATTATTTCTTTGGGTTCAGCGTCAGGAATATAACGCACTCTATAAGTATGTCTCACTTTCAAATATACAGCCAGTATATATATTTCTCCTATTGTTACATTCTTAATTAGTTTATTACTGCTGCGTTCAAAGTAAAACTTAATACATCTAAGACATAACTGTACTGAAAAAATATTTATTCAATCATACCTGTGACTTGGTATCAACAGTGTTAAGGTTGGCTCCAGTGTTAACGTTCCAGATGCGAATGGTCCTGTCGGCCGTGCCGCCTCCCGACGCTAGGATGCCGGAGCTCCAAGGGCACCACGCTAGTCCTTTAACAGCTGCCAAGTGCTGGCTAAACATAGACAAGTTCCTTTTTTATAGTCATCGAGTATATAACCAGAAATAGAGACGAAATAATCTATCCCTGTCAACTCATCAGGCAAATGCGCCTTATATCACTTTTAAATATCAACTCTCGTTTGCGCTGAAATCACAAATTAGAAAACTGAAATAATACAGTGTCAACAACTGACTGATATTCTGTATTTATTGCAATAAAGATAATAATAATTTAACAATGGGGCTGTTCCATTCGGTGGTGTAGGAAAAACAGCAAAACATCTAATTACAAAACAAACGTAATCACGTTTCATCGATAATTAAATATGAAATATGTAATTTTGCAATTTTGTCCATTATAGCAAAGCTCAAGTTAAACTGGTCGTTTTGCAGTGTGACTATTGACGACACTCGTCAATTGTTTTAAATTCAGACTGCCCAATCAGAGCGCTGTTGTCATCGTAATGATTTGGTAGAATAGTTTTCAAAGAAATTAATTGACATTTCATCTTTATTCCTCGTTATAATTCGATGCAGGTAAATTTAAACTGTGTTTACGGATAACTTAGAGAGAAAACTGTTTCTAATAAAATAAATAAAAATTAAATCTATTATGCAGAAACAGTAAAATGTGAGCTATAATGTCATTAATTACAAGCAATTGTGAATAGTGTAGTGATCGTAGAGAGACGTAGGGTCGTATTCTAGAACTCTACTCAATGCCCAAGTCAGGTCTTGAGTATGATTCAAAGCACTAGAAATCATACTCAAATCCTTGCCATTAGGGTAGTATTTCCAGTGCTTGAAATCATACTCAAGTCCTGACTTGAGTAGTGAGTAGAGTTCTAGAATACGACCCGTAAAATGCTTAAGTCATGTAATTTTGGAATGGGAGTAATAATAATAGTTTATTTCTTTAACAGTTATACTTTTCAACACAGTAACAGTGACAGTAAAAGTAGACTCCGCTCTTTTATACAGGGTTATTTGTTAAACACTAACAACCTAGTATGACTATATTACTAATATCATAAACAATAACTTCGATACCATGACTTTTTACAAAAACGTAATAGATTTATCAAAAATAAACTTTTTGTAGTACTATCTGACACATTTTAGATCTGTATCTGGTAGTAACCCGCGCTTCTGCGTTTTGCATAGAGTTCTGACCGTTGAGAGCGATCTATTTAAATATTACCCGTATAAGTTAAACTGAATGTTATTTGTACAAAAACTATTTAAATAATCTTAAATTTAAAAATTTAGGTTTTTAAACAAGTTAACAGGTAAGTTAAAACTTTTGATATACTATTTTGAATTTATTATGCAGATTAGACAGCACGACGCAAAAAAGTGTAAGGATAATGTCTAAGTAGTTACAGACTAGAATCTTTTCAACACACAAGTAGCTTACTTGAAAGAGTGAATGTATTGTGGCTGCGAATAATGTTCTCCTTGCGCAATGGGCCAGATGTTCAGCAGATTATCGTTGCCACCAGAGGCGAGGTATCTGCCATCAGGGGACCATTTTAGTCCACAGACCTGGAAAAATACTTAACTTATAGGAATCTGGAATGTTCTCCAAATTGGAATCAAGGCGATAGTGAATAGGCATTACTTAGGTGTGCATGCTTCATCGTCGACCTCATCGTCATTTGTTCAATTTATTAAAAAAAAAAGTTACCAAGTTGTGGTCTCTCAATCCTTGTACTTCTGGGCAAGTGTTTACTTTGATATATTTTGTTAATCGAGATTTAGTAAATCACATTTAAACATTTACACAATGAACTAAACACAATTTGGCAGTGTTATTTCTATAGTCCCGGAGAAACCATATTTAAGTAACGTATAAATGAATAACTACATTATAAAAAATATATTATTTCTCTGCAAACTATAGTGAAAATCACAAGAAAGATTGTAACAGTAAAACGAAAACACGATTACGAGCCAATCTCGTAAATTTCATTATTTATTTGTGGTCCCTCAGTTTACACACTACAGCAATGTGAATTAAATAAAATATCATATAATCTAAGTTCTATTGAGGTTTCGTAAAAACTTTACTATACATAAGTTTTTCTCATCCCCGATATTTCTTCGACTCGCGTACCCAGCATTGGGACATATCGTCGCCTTACTTTCTCAAACTCGTATATTAATAAAGTAAGTTACTGAAATGCAAAAGAATTATTGTATATACAAATTTTGCAGCCTAATTTCACATCACATTTCCTTCATATTCACACACTAGCTTTTACCTATTCTTAAAGGAATGCATCCAAATGTACAAGATTGATAAGAAATTTAAAATAAATAGAAAGTTTTGTCGTCCCCTGAATATCACTCTTTAATAAGATACGAATTTGAGAAAGTAAGGCATCGATATGGCACCGTACCTCCTGCGTGTGCGCCTGGATGGTTGAGACGGCGTGGTCACGCTGGCGCACGTCATGATGCACGATGTTTCCGTCGCGCGCGCCGCTCGACACGATGTACATGTTCCACGCCAGGGAGCTCACGCGCCCCGTGTGCCCGTCCATGTACTGGACACCAAATCGGTATACAAACAATCTGACGTGCAAACGGTGTCTGTGCATTCTAACGCCTTAATGGTCCATTTAAATTCAATTCTGTACCGCTTACGCTGCGAACGGTTTCAAGTGTAACAACTTAATGTCGTCGGTGTTTTTCAGAAAGGGCGTAAGCGATATTTCGAATAATTTTTCAGGGGAGCAAGTTTTAGGTTTAAACGACTGTTTTAAAATATTTGCCCACTTTAGTTCTTGTTCTTGTGTGTGAGCAATAAAGTGTATATTATCTATCTATCTAACGAGAATGCCATGTTATGCTTATGTATGCTGTGTAGGAACTCCTGGTTTTGCTTCCCTCTAGGGGGCCGGCACTACTGATTCTCATACAATCACGTAGACTGGATGGAAGCCAAACATTGTGGCTACACACCTATATATATGTCAAAAAAGGTATCACATAAGTCCTCAAAAAAATTGTGATGTCTTCAACTCACGACCACGGCCTAAAAATCCCAGAGCAGCGTATCATAAATAGATGGTGATTCAAAATCTTTGTGTTTAATTAATTAATGGTAAGATAAATTAGCTTAAAAACATGTAAACTTACTCTCAACCTCTTCTGTTTCTCACAATCCCACAATTCAACAGTAGGCGTAGAAGTACCCACTGCAAGGTGTGGCGCTCCGCCCTGCACCCACGCTACTGAACAAACAGTCTCTGAGCCTTCTAAAGTGAGTAGTTCCTCTATCTGGCCTGTTCCAGCATTCCATAGGTAGACAGAGTTGCCCAAAGCTACGGCTAGAATGTTTGATTGACTCCAATCAACCAGGTTCAAGTCTGAAAGGTAGTTAACATGTTAGTGTGTCAAGTAATATTGCTACCATAATATCGTAAATAGACAGTCGAACTGCCTCCATGGTCAAACAGTTACCATGGCCGGACTGTCACGTAGAGGTCTCAGGTTCAATTCCCGAGCCGGGAGAAATATTTGTACGGCCTACATTTATTTCTCTCGTGAGTTTCGGTATAATTTGTGGTAGTCTATGTGAGTCCATTGTCCATGTTATTATTATAAACAAATGATATGTGATTGATTATCAATTAAGAAAATTGGTAACCTAAATTCTTGAGTGTTTGAAAAAGTAATCAATATTTTCTGGTAGGACCCTGAAACTTGAGCAATCTTTAGAAACTTAGGACTTGACTACCGTACCAGTCAAACCTGTAATAGGCTTGGCTATCGACTAAGACCCAGCAAACTACTATGGGAAAAACACTTAACGCTACATTAAAATGTCCTAAATATACCTACATAATACTAAATATAACTACATGCCTGACTACTATTACTTACCATACACTATCATTGATCGACTATAGAAAAACCTTATTTGAATAATTTTAGTTTAAGACTTTTTATATCGGGATGTAAATAAATTTTCGTTCAAATTGTAAGTAACATTCATTAGCGCTGTAAGGTACGATAGAGGAGACACTGCTGCCTGCATTAACTTGATTTATTTATGCTTATATCACCTGTGGAAATATGTAAGTGGTTCTAATTGTAACCAGGAACATAGCAAAGGATGTAAGATAACTTACAATAGTCGTCAACAAGTTCAGGAGCGTCAAGTATCCTTTCTGGAGCTTGTGGAATGTATCTTGTTGGATTCTTTACTGTGGATGGCACTTTAGCCTAAAACAAAGGTTTATTTTCATATCTCATTTTAGTTACATTAATACTTAAAATATTGGAGTAAGTAGTCTATAGGCATACCATAAATCAGAAAAAAGCCAAGAGTTTTACCTTAAAAATTAAATTATCATTATTTTTATCAACAGTTCTAAACCCATCAGGCATTTACAGACACCATGACCATGGTTGAAATTAATTTAAATTCAAAAGTTTTGTGATGATTTACATCACAAAAGTTTTAAATTAAATTCTTATTAAATTCTTTATTGCACAAAGAAAAGACATTAAAAAATTTGTTACAAAGAACATGAGTTTATTCTAGAAGAATAAATGTATGTTAATTATTAGATATGATAAAGACAGAATTTAGCATATTGTTATAAGATTGGATCAAAGCAAAGCTAAATACCTGTGAATATACAACTCTAAGTCTGTTCTGATACCCCTCTGGTGCTGCTGGTGCCTTGCAAGTGTACTGCAGAAGTCGACCTGGTTCGGTATCATTCAATGCACGGCCCAAGGCCTCGCTTGCTGCTGTCTGAGTTACTATTTCCTCGCCTTTGTCTTCTTCGCGAGTCATCTAAAAGGGATTTGTGATTAAGTTGCTGTGTTATGTTAAAATCAGAAGTAGGTTCCCACCCTCTATAGTGAAATTTACTTACCATGAAATGACACAAGTCATAATTTGAATTACTTCTCGAAGGAATAAATCTGTCAGCTTTGTTGGGAGTCTTTGAGGCTTTGTTAGGGGTGGGAGTCTTGGAGCGACCTGGGAAGCAAATAAAATAACACTGCAAGAAAAATATTCAAAGAGTACATTTTGTATTGAACAAGAGGCAGTCACTGAAAGTCAGTGGATTGGTAATGTTGCCCAAACACTCAACTTCAGTTATATGTATACAAAGTTGCCTGTGCACTCGTATACACAGGTATAGTTTACGGGTAGGGGTAGAGTTTTTGCACATAATATATATACACAAATCTATGCTTAGCTTCCTGAAGTATACTTACATTAAAGCTTGAGCATATTAATGAGCCTTAATCTTGGATTATTCATTCTCAATTGAAATAAAATACAAGCAGTTAAAACTTATTTTGCAATAAATTGAATGAATTTTTTTTGTTAATGAATGGTGAATTTTTGTAATGTTCAGGTTTAAACTGCCCGTTTGACCAGACGCGGGCCGGACCCGTCGAGAACGTGGAGTGCTCTCCACATTCTCCACGGGAGTTGTACTCCTTATTTATTTATTTATTTATTATTGAGTTTTGTGCAACCATCCACATAGAGCGATAACGACGGCTTACGGTCCGCCCGCACGGCCGCTTGACCGCTTTTCAGGCAGCACCACATTTGTGGCCTGACTTTTGACAGGCTTTACACAAAAATTCTTACATGCATATTGTCAGGTTCCTCTCCCAGTCTATGCAGACACCACAGTTCCTTCAGTGACTGCAACCCTAACTTACTTATTAGCTTGACTTTATGCCTGACTTGCACATATTAAGTGACAAAGTAATTAACAAAATTTTAACTTAATTTATGTGTGTAAACAATCACTTTAAGTAATCATTGATGGCTAAGTAGATTAAGAAGCAACCCTATTTGATTTTTTTTTAAATGGCCAACCCTCTCTTACAGATTATACATTCCTTGTTATGAGTGGCTGGATGTTTGAAGCATTTGATGGGGTAAAATTTTGTTTGCAAAATGTAAAGTTACTTAAAATTAAGGTAAAAATTTGTTGAAACTATTGACTTACAAATAAATGGACGACGGGTCTAATAAAAAAACACACAAAAAATGTCCCAATGAATATAAAAAACCTAAAACGTTGAATTTAAATTGTAATGTCATCGCAGTACTGTCTAATTTTGCTTGCTTTGCTGTCAGTCGAACAAACGAAGACTAAAGCGTGAATGACGCTCTGTATACGATTTTAACGCCCTATAAGTTCGGACACTTTTTAGCGCGGACCCGACGTCCATATAATTGTAAGTCAATGGTTGAAACTTACTTAATTACTTTGTCACTTAATATATGTAAACCAGCCATTACATGCAAATTAATATTTTTCATATAATTTTGACCAAATTATTTACCAAATTAACAGTACTATAGGATTTCTATATAGGTGTCTTCGTACACTTTGAAAAAATTATTATCATATTACCATGTCAAATAAAGCATTCAAGGGTGTAGCTGGCAAACAACATTTAAGATGCAACTACAAATATCACAAAATAAACTTAATAAATGATTATTTAATTTTGCTTATCTAACCCCTACTCTAAAATTATATAAAGAAACAAAATTATTGGATGTTATTACAACTTACTGATATGAAAAATAATATCTAAAGAAATACATACAAATATTACTTTTAAATACCAACAGGAAAATATCCAATCAAAGTGTCTAAGAAATGCAAATAAACTTGTGTTAAATCCACCTCGGACAAAGTATGGCAAAACAAATATTAAATACGAAAGTGCTCAAATCTACGACGAACTACCCAGTGTTATAAAGGAAACTGAAAATCATGTAAATTCAAAAAATTACTTAAAATACATTTATTTGACCAAAATAATAAAATGAGCAACAACACATGAAATATGTCATACTATAATTCTGTACTCGAAAAGTTACCACATTTAGTTATAGCTGATGTGTGTAACAAGTTTCACTGTCTTTGTTGGTTCAACTGCGTACTGGTTGGGTTTTTGTCATTGACTTACAAATAAATGGACGACGGGTGTAATACAAAAACCACGAAAAAAATGTCCCAAGTCAACCTATTCGAAATTTAAATTGTTATGTCATCGCAGTATCGCGCTGTCCGTAGAACAAATGAAGACTAAAGCGGAGTGTCGCGCTCTGTATACGATTTTAGCGCCTTACAAGTGCGGACACTTTTTAGCGCGGACCCGACGTCCATATAATTGTAAGTCAATGGTTTTTGTAGTAATATTTCAAACCTACCCACATTAACAAAACAAAAACAACATGACCAAATTTGTCTGTTTTTTTTATAGTAGTTTATTTATTTTTGATCATTGTAAGTAAATAATAGTTATTACTATTTCTCTAGTATGCAAAATATACTTGTAATGTTTTAGTTAGTCCGTAAGTTATCATAAAAGTGAATTGTAAATTCATAAGAGAATAAATATGTTAAGCCTCAACCTCAAGATAAATTGTACTAATGCCTTAGTATACCTGGTGATTTGTTCTTAGAAGGAGTCTTCTTCTTGTCATTTCTAGTAGGCGTCTTATTACTCGACAGCACGCTATTGTTGCAACTCTGGTTGGCCGACACTGATAGTTTTTGCATGGATTGACTGCACACACTAATATTATTAGAAATATTTTGAAGCGACGAGCTCGGATTGATGTTTTCGTTCCCAGATTTTTTCGCCCATCGCTGTAGCGGTCCTCGCGTTATAGGCCCATCCATTGTAGCTAGACTTTTTATTTCATTTAGATAATTGAACTGGGCCATCCTTTGCACAACTTTCAGAACGCAAAATTGTATTGTACGTTATTCTAATTTACTTAATGGCGGCCACTGGGCTTAGGCCAGTGTAAGTTTCAAGGAATGCAGTTTCGAAGAGTGCAGGCAGATAATATTGGTCAAAAGCGCTAACGTTAAGGCAGCAGCAAGGTATTTGTACTGTAACCGATAAATGACATCAGAAATTATTACAATACTGATTTAACAGTTTGTTTGTCGTATGTGCCACGTTAAAATATCAAATAAATAACACTACAAAAGCGATACAAATTCAATACCCAGAGAATACATTTGACAGTTATTCAAAATGTCCGTTGAAATTTGAATTTTTTTTTTTAAATTTATTAAGGCTTTGGCAAAGCCATAAGCCTAAACATGAAGTTTAATTATGTTCTGTAAACATGGCCGCCACAAAGAGGATATTCTAAGCAATTTGAGGCGGCGTGCTTGGATTGGCTCGGGATTCCTTAAAACGGCCGATACGGGTATTTTACTTCGAGATTCGTATAATTTCGCGTTTTAATCTTCGATTAAGGCACAGTAGCAATCCTATTCCACTTTAAACTAGAATTCACAAAATAATTGAAAGTCAAAACAACGCTTTTCCCTCCAAAAGGTCCAGAGCGAATTTTGAAATTTGAATTCGGCGTAGGGTCTCGCAGTTGAGTGGAATAACGTAACTAATATAATTATTTAATAAGTATTGAGTAACAGTTACTGCATTTTTTTTATTTGATCTATGGATACAAGGATGAATTGGAGAAAAAAATTTAACATTTTTTATAAAATTTTGTGTCTAAGTCTTTTGTTTTTATAATTTGTTAATATAATTTATAAAGTAAAGATACCGTAAATATAATAATATATTATGTAAATAGATAACAATAATAATTTTACATTTAAAGTATCTATCGCTGATATACTTTGTATTTGTCGCTAAATATGATTAAACAATCCAGTTATTGAACCCAATTTTATTTTTTGCATAAATATAATAATATTATAAGTACATGTATAATAAATTCACCATGATTATGTTAATTTATTATTTTATTTAGTTATAGTAGAGGTGCATGGAAAACTATAAATTATGAAAAGATAAAGATATACAAATATACTGCTAATAGGTTATAAAAAAAATATTACTTCATTAGAAATAAGAATATCATTTTAATAATGTATGAAGTCATGATTCAATTACGAAAAATCTTTGAAAAACCTCTTAGCAATTTCGTTTTATAGCCACCTTGATCGTGGGCGCGCGTGACATTTGATACCTGTCAGTTTTCAACACAGTTGGTACCTTTTTTATTGTTTACATTACGGGCTGCGATAACACACGTATAATATAAACACTTGAAACTCGAGAACCTATTAAGCTACCGTTAAAAGAATAACATGTAAGAGCACTTAAGTAGCTTTTGTTTAGACTACAGTCATGATTGTAATTAGACGGCTTTATTGTCGAACTTCCGAGTACATTGACACTTCTGTGAAATTTTCATAGTATTTTCGCTTTAACTTGTAAACACTTTGTATATTCACTTTGTTAAGAAACACAACATATATAAAGATGACAAGTATTTAAATACCTATCGATTAACACTAGAATCATATGAAAATAATGTGTAACTATTTAAGGAACAAGTTCTTTCTGAAGAACAGTGACAAGATGCAATGACCTTCGCTTTGACGACAATTTTTTCCAATAAGATTGTGATTCAAGTATGATATCTAATGTTAACGTTTTAACACCATCACAAATAGCATATCCTGACGCGATCATTTTGATAGGTAATAATTTCAGAAATTAATTAATGTCATCTATCACAATTAATGTCTTCATAGAACACTAAACGTCATCAATCCCGCCAAAGTTTTAGTTTCACATTTTTTTCTGTTATATGGAAGCATCATGAATATTTTTGATTTTACTAGGAATCGAGTATTTAACAGTGAAATACTAGTAAAAATTTGGTGTTTATACGTGTGGTAACACCAAAGTTATTTGTAAAAACAGTTCAGCAATCGGGTACTGTAATTTAGGGTAGCTATAGCCAAGGAGTACCCTCGGATGTATATATTTCACAAATATTTTATATATAATTCCATGAGAGTACCTTGAATATACGGAAAGCTATAGCTTAGAGGATGGAAGTTGCCATAGTCTAAGGGCTGTAGCTGCCGGTGACGTTTGACCGTCGTCGATGACGCATTCAGGCGTAATGGTAGCTATGGCTACCTGTGACTGTTTAATGGGACTGCATGGCGCCATTTCGTGAGTTTAATTTGATATAAAAATGTAATTAATACTTAAATAGTTCACCTCTAGTGTTTTTTTTATTATAGTCTTCTGGATACTTGGGATGTAGTTACCGTACAAACATTACATTTCTTGTGATACATTTATTTCTAAGTCAATGTAAGAAACTCACGTTATTTTTTATCAATTACCGCGAAAATAAAAAATAGAAATAAAAAGACGGAAATTGTATTATGTCAATGGAAAAAAGGGATAGAATATGAAATGAATTTATTTCAGACAGTAGCAATCGTTACATGTCCATAATATACTTATAGTTTTAGTAGGTACTTGCAATTATGTTAGTAGAATGCAGTGTTCATTTTTATGAACAAGGTTGGACATCCAATACTTAAGGATTGGACTGTCCATTCATCCTCTCTGTTACCACCTTAAGAAGACTGTTGGTGCTGCCTCTCACTCTGGCCAACAGGGCCTCTTGCGAACGACTGCCTGAAAACTATCAATCTTAGCCCTCCGCAAACATGCCTGAAACACTTCAAATTGTAATGAGGTCGACATATTTTTTGAAGATCGAGAAAAAGTAAATTCGTTTGTTCCGTTTCAAATCTGCAATAACAACATCAAAACTTGTCGAATTGTCTCACCCGCCGTATTCACCAGATTTGGTCCCATTTGACATTTTTGTCTGATTTGCATGAAATGAGGAAGTGATAGTTAAAACATTACGTGTTTTCAATTATTGTTTGTGGTGAAGGGCGTTGAATTTTTTGGCGACTAATTCTAAAATTTCGCGACTAGAACCGACTAATTCTCGACTTTTTCTGGGTGCAATTAGATCTAAGCTAGGAGTTGTGGTTCTCGAGATTCAAAAATGGTACCGTCGGAATAAGCATATTCCAGCGTGGACAGTAAAACACCCTTATAACTTTTGAACGGCGGATAGACTAAATTTAGATTTTTGCGACTAGAACCAAATTTCAAAATGGTCACACTGGAATAAGGCATGCTATTAGGGATTCGCTCTGGACCTTTTGGAGGGAAAAGTGTCGTTTTTATTTTGACTTATAATTATTTTGTGAAATCTAGTTTAAAGTTAACTGCCTCCGTGGCCGAACGGTTACCATGCCGGACTGCCACGCAGAGGTCCCAGGTTCGATTCCCGGGTCGGGAGAAATGTTTGTATGGCCTACATTTATTTCTCTCGTGAGTTTGGGTGTAATTTGTGGTTGTCTATATGTGTGTCCATGGCACCCGCGACACAGGGTTTCCCTAGTGCGGGGCTATGTTGAGTGTGTGCGTTATTTAAAAAAAAAAAGAAAAATAAAAGTGGAATAGGATAGTGCTATTGTGCCTTAATCGAAGATTAAAACGCGAAATTATGCGAATCTCGAACTAAAATACCCGTATCGGCCCGTTCTAAGGAATTGAGTCAATCCAAGCACGCCGCCTCAAATTGCCTATCCTCTTTGTGGCGGCCATATTTACAGAAAAACTTATTTTTATGTTTTCGGCTGGAGGACTTTGTTTCCATGGCCAGAAATAAATAAAAAAAAAGCATGCTATTAGTTTGTTTTTTTGTGGGACGGGACAAGATCTAAATATGAAAGATGGCAGAATATAATTCTAGGGTCGGCAGACTAAAGCACATAAGTCAAAAAAGTGCTTCATTGGTTAATATATAATTATATATTTTTTTGTGTTGTTTTTAGTGTTGTAAGTTAAATAACCTCTAGAATAAAGTTCGAAATTTATGAAGTAACAAATGAATTTGACTTATGTGGTTTAGCCAGTAGATGTATTAATTTAAATGAATGATGTTGGATTTTGACTTATGTGCTTTAGTCCGCCAACCCTAGAATTTTTATTAACCACAAGATTTTACTAACCAATTATTTATTTAATTAGATTAACTTACTTCATTAAAATAAAATTGGCTAGTTTAAAGTAATAAAATTGTGAAAAACGCCAGGCGCTATAAGGCCTGCTGGTTAATCACTTATCAAATATGTAATAATCAAAATTATGTACACATTATAAGTCAGATAACAAATTGTTTAATTTTTTGAAATACTATATCTACTTTTTTTTTTTTTTCAAAAAATTAACCAATATATGGTTTTCCAATAATTTATTGAATAAAAAACACACTAATTATATTTTGTATATTAAAATGTAAAGAATTGTTTATAAAATAAAATGCATTATCTAAAAACATGATCTAAAAATAGTTACATATTTTAATTATTATAATTGCATTACAACATTCTTTAAAAATTGATTTCAAGCAGATTGATCTTAAGTTTTATTATTTTAGAACATTATATAATTTATTAGTCGATAGGTAGGTATGCTGAACTTCGATAGCAATTCCATTGCATAATAAATGAGAGATAAAGGACATCATCATCTTTAAAAAAGCAATGGACGTTCAAACATTAAATTCTGTTGCGCACATTTCTAAAATTACGTGTTGACATTATGCCATAATTAAATATCTGTATATATTTTTTTACTTGCAGTTTTATTAACAGCTTAGTAAAATAAGGATTATAATTTTGAATGAATAATTTTCAGATTCTACATTGGTTATGGTGAAATATTGTTTTACATTTACTAACCGCGGCAAGGTGTACTTACTACAAGTATACTTGTAGTTAGTACAAGGCACCTTGCCGCGTTAGTTACTAAACTAATGAATTAGACGCTATAAAAGTGTTCCCTTCGACAGTACAGACTATGGTATGTTGGCTTTACAGTTTGGACTTTGGAGCGTTCGTCATGACATGACGTATGGAGTTAAATAACCCAAATGTAAAAGCTTTCCCGTGTTCATGTGGATTTACAATATAAATCCACATGAACACGGGAAAGCTTTTTCATATTATGAAAGTCGTACAAGGTGGAAATGAAATAAAACGTAAACGTAGGAATGCTTCGTTTCAAACAGCCTGGAATAGCCATCAACTGTCAAAATTAAAAGCAAGTATTAAATTCAACATTTCTTCAAAAAAGGTGCAATTCAAAAACACTTTCCCGAAACCAAAACTCCCTAGTTTCAAATATGTATTGTTTGACTTCTAACTTCAAACTTCATACGAGCTTTCAAATTATACTGTTACACTCGTAGACTATGCTGCCATCGTAACGACAAAAGGCACAACTATGCGTACTTTATACGGTAGTTTGCCTGTTTACGTTCCGAGGGCAGTATTATAGCCAATAGGTAGTGAAAGAAAGCTTTATCACTTAAGTTACTTTAAAAAGTAAAAGGAAACACGGAATAAGACTAGAAAAGTACGCAAATCAGAATTGAGAACTCCTTTCAGCATAGATATCATATCTTAGGAACACTGGAAGATTAAACATGACATAGAAATGCATATTTTGAGCATTATATCATCATCTGAATAAAATAAAGATTCACATACTTAACAAACATTGTTCATAAAATTGTTCATGTACATGAAATAATAGCATAAGTTTATTTAGCTGTGACAAGAAAAATAAGCTTATGCTAACACAGTTGACTGTTGAATTTTATGCTGCTTTGTGACACAACACACACAGAGATAAATTAGTTTTGAAGTCCATCGGTGCGCAGTAAAAGAGAGTGAGAGTTTGTATAATAAGAGCAAACGCTCTTAAATTGCATATTTGTGAACTATAATTAAGTACTAACGGGTGTGTAAACAAAACTTCGTATTACCGCATTATTTATGCAGAATGCGCTTACACAAACATTCACTAAGGAACTTATCGCACTTATTGACACGAAATCGCATTGAGCTGGCCGAGAAAAACTTTCTATGCATGTAATAAGAGTGAAAAAGACGTTATGCGTTTCGCGTCAGCGGTCCGTTCGAACAGTTTTTTTCTGACCGACAAGATGATGTCGCGACAATAATTGTGGTCACTCTCTAAAGGGTATAATGTCAGGTCTAGCTGTCTAAGTCCGGAAAGGAGTCAAATACCGATCAGCATTTCTATTTTATAGATTTTAAATACACCTCACGCCATCTAGTGACGATAACAATAGCTCTTACTGGAATGAGTTCTTGAGCAAATCATAGCATCTTCAATAACTAAATCACGAGTATATTATGAAAGATGTTAAATTAGACTTCCAAATGTAGACAGGCTTTGCTTTCCAAGTTACATAATAAACAACAGACAACTTACAATACTAAATAGTAATATTATTATAATGTAGCACCATATGATAGCTTATTCATTAAGTATAGTCATAGTTACTACTAAGAGATCCATCTGGACTTTCAATCACAATTGCTATTTATGTACAGACACAAATGGCACGCCCCTAACATTCTACTAAAGTAAAAAAGAATAAAAAACGCGTGCATAAAAGGGCATTTTTTGGTTATAATAAAAGTTGGAGATACGATAGATTAACAGTAACATATTATAAGTACATAAAGAAATGCAACAAGTTAAGAGACGGACAACTTCATCTACCTACAACATTGTAAAAAAAATTACTACATTTTAATTAATTTGTATTTGAAAATACATCTCATAGGTAATATGGCAGGTCATGTGGTAGATGTTATTGCCCTTAAAAGTAAATGATATTCACCAAAACAATATCAAAAAGTTTATGTAAAACAGGGCGCGTTGAGAAACGACGCCTGGATTTCCTATTCCCGCACCAAAATAACCTAAGAGTACATGATAGGCAGATTAACTAAAAATTTTACTTAGAAAATAAATAAAAGCTACAAATACGTATAAGATGAGGGTAGTGCTAAGTAGGCTATTGCATATTACATTACCTCGCATCGTAGGATACCAAACCGGCATCCTAAAGGCTTTTATATTTAGCGTAGACATTGTGAAACCTACTAGCTACAATTGAGTCAATAATTTTGTAAATTGTGCTATGACTAATGACAATCACATTTGCCCTAATAAAAGCACTCGGTGTACCGTGGGCAAATCATTCGTTGTATCGTAAAATGACATAGTGTTACGCATTTAACTTAATAAAGACTGAATATTTCGTAATTAAGAATATTAAAAACGAGAAGTAGAATAGTTACACAATTTCAAATCGATAAAAATGTCCTTTACTAATGCATTAAAATAATATAATTCTGCTAAGTTCAAAGCTAGAAAATTTAATAATATATCATAATTAATAAGACTATTAATAATTTTGGCTACAACTTTAAACTACTAGCTAAAGTTCAGTAATAAAACCTTAGCTGCTTGTTCATATTTAATAAATATTGGAAATATTCAAATATTCTGCTATTTCAAAACTCAAATCAAGATGAAGTGTATATGTATGTTATATGTATATTATGTATATAATATGAACATGTATTATGTATGATAAGAATAAAATATTTAATAAGTACAACAGTTACCTAACATCATCGAAAACTTCAGACACGTAAGATCCGAATTACGTAAAATCTCTTACAAACACACAATCAACAACCTTTATTGCTTCTTAGACAACCAATTGTACTGAAACTTATATACTTTATTATATTTTAACAATTTCTATTAAATCACATTCAAGCTGCCCTACGCCATTGCGTAAGACAAAAATAAAAGCTGCCGCCACATTTGATTGAGCCCATGTGTGCACAAAATTAAAATTTTTAAGACAAGACCAAACTAAATGCCGTAAGAAGTTCATGCGTCTCGTAATATACTTAATGGTCGTACAATGTGGTTTAATAACGACATCCATATTCACATTTAATATAGCTATTTCCATATTATTCGTTACTTACCGTGTTATTATTATAAAGTTATGTATTTTCATGCTTTAGTGGAACTATATTTGGTGTAGTCGAACGTCAAATGTGGTTTTCAGTGTTGCTAATTTATTATAAATTAGAAGACCTCATGACGTTCATAATGTGTATATGACCAGGGTTGTCAACGGTGACAAAGCAGGAGAATTTGTCGTCGTGAATGAGTTTTTTAGCGTTCATTCCTGAGAGCTTGATGCATGCGAGGATCTCTTTCCGCTTCGAGCCTTCTTTGTACCTGAAAACGTTATGAATGAAGGATTACCATTGCAATCACAGAACATGAAGTTCATCGCTAAAGTCCCGCATCCGACCGTAGGAATGTGACTTTGAACTGGCGTAAAAATTGCAACGAAAATATTTATATTGGAAATACGCACTGTCAAGAAACAAGTAAGTTTTAATTGAACGAGATTTCTCATTATAACCAAGTTGCGAAGGCTCATTGGCGGTTACTATAAAACAGCAATTAATTGTCTACACTCTAGGTCATTTATAAATTTATTTACTGAAAATGAAATAAGAAAAAAGCGTACAGTTTTATACTTTAATTTTTCACTTTACTGTTTTTATTTCAATATAGGTGGCTAAACGTAAAATAACTTACGTCTTCTTCTTCCAGATAGCTTTCCAGCAATCCTGCGCGTTGACAGTACCGTTGGCAAAGAAGAAGTCGCTCGGTGGACCTAGGATCAGTTTCTCCATTGGAACTGTCAGTTCAGTCCTGCTTTCCATTGGGCTTGCGACAGGAGTCACTACGTTCCAACCGGTTCTAGAAATTTAATTGTGGATATTGTCACAAGTGAGCAAAATAATAATATGTTTATGGCTTGGGGCTATAGACAAGAATCATGAGTATAGCGAGGGATTCTAAAGAAGATTCCTAACTTATGACTCCCGAATCAGAAGTAATTTTACAACGAAGTGAAACAATGAAATGAAACAAACTGCTTTTCATGCTTCCCTATGTTAAACAAGGTCAAACTAAGACTTAGGCAAAAAAATCGAACTTGCTCCCTTTCCACGGAGTGCGATGACCACTGTTCGAGTACGTGGAGTAAAAATAAGTAAATCATTACATATAACGCACGTGCTGTGATTATGACTGTGAATATATTAACTGCTTCCGTGGTCGAGCGGTTACCATGCTGGTCTGCCACGCAGAGGTCCCGGGGTTGATTCCCGGACCGGGAAAATTATTTGTATGGTCTACATTTATTTATCTCGTGAGTTTGGTTGTAATTTGTGGTTGTCTATGTGTGTGTCCATGGACTCGCCACAAAGGGTTTCCATAGTGCGGGGCTATGACTGACTATTTTAAAGTGGAACGAGGCAGGATTCCGGTTAGGTTACCATCAACGACTACCGCGGAGCCAAGAGCCGTGTTTGGTAGTTCGTGAGTTTACTAAGCGTCATAGGAATATTAAAATAAATATAAACAGCCTTCGATTGTAGGAACTTTTAAAAATCATATGGCCATATGGTGGGGGGCATATGGTACGTGTTAATCCATAGATTTAGAGCTTCAATTAGCTGTCGGTGGTATTTAAGTTTGGTTAATTCTTGCATCGGAGTATAAAAGACGCTCAAGGTATTTTACTCACTCACTTGTCAGTCAATCTATATACTAATGTTACGAGTAACGCATTAAGTAAAAGTTGCCATTTTACTTTTGAACTCTAAAATGATGGCGATAATTAATGGCTTTTGCACACAATATTCGTATTGGGTTGTTAGTAGATTAACCTACTTTTAAATTTCTGGAACGTGGCGAGGGTGAACAGCATGTTGTTAAGAAACTCACCTCCAATAAGCCTTGTTAGCTCTCATGTTAATCAAATAAGTCACATTCCACCAAACGATCTCCGACGCCATTGTAACGAGCACCAAAGGAGGTTGTTCATCATCCCCTTCAGCATAAGAAGGTAGCTGGTTGTTTTGTGGTGATGGAGAGTGTAATGCTGAGCTACGGAATAGGCGATCGGGGACGGGAGAAAATGAGCATGACTGTACTTTTGTTTTGTGCTGCTTTAGTAACCGAAGCTGGCGTTTGCCTTTTACGTACCATACCTGTGAATGTGAAGCTGGATTAAAACACAGAACAATAAATACAGTAGCAGTGCTTGCAGCTTGCAGTGTCAACAGTACGTGAAGTTCCACGTAATTAAGGTCAGTTCGCTTTGTACGTTATGTCCGTGTCAATTAGCTTGCGCAAATTTAAAAAAAAAAAATATTTTGCTACTTTGGAGTGTAAAATGATAGTCGTATTTGTAATTATGTCTATCGTAATATTTTTTTGTTACCAGAAACGGAAGTAAACCTTATACTGCCGCAATATGGTCGCTTCTTTCTTGGAGTACTAAGTAAACATCTCGAATTCGTCGTCGTTCAGCTATTGACTGCTAGATGGCACAACATGGATTGAAATTTCAATAGAAAATCAAAATGTCGTAATTTGCAATAATAGGTATTGAACTTTCAACAATATGCCAACAATTTAAAATTTAAATTATATTAGCAGTCCAGATTTGTTACTTCTTTTTAAATTAGAAACTACGACTCATAATTATCAAGATTTCATAATGTTTCAAATTAAGAATGTGTGAGTTTTGGCAACAATGGTTCGGATAGTAATCGGGGCTTAAGGCACTTTCATCAATTGACTCCATGGCCGAACGGTTACCGTGCCGGACTGCTACGTAGAGGTCCCAGGTTCGATTCCCAGGCAGAGATAAATATTTGTACGGCCTACATTATTTCTCTCGTGAGTTTGGGTGTAATTTGTGGTTACCTATGTGTGTGTCCATGGCACCCGCGACACAGGGTTTCCCTAGTGCGGGGATATGTTGAGTGTGTGCGTTATTATCTTCCGTGGATTAAAACATCCAAGGATTAGTTGTTGAGTTTTAGAGCTTTACTAGAAATGTATACAAATTACCTTCTTTTTTATTTAAGATTTTTGGTAAACTAAGAACTAAGCAGTGGAAAAACCACTCTTACATTTTAAATAATTTCATTTATAAGGGGTATTCTGAAAAGAGAATAACATAGCGTTAAGGACCAATAACTCAAGTGGACTGGCCAATCGCGACGGCGTAGTCCGGTATTTAGTACCTATTGGTACACCAGATGTCGCGACGAGTGCAAAATAGCAACTTTTTAAGTAATTGGTTTTACATTGACGAGCTGCAATTTATCAAAGCTACTCTAATTTCTAGTGGTAACAAACAAATCAACTAGATGGCGTGCGCGACATTTACTATTCCCGGCTATTGTTTTATTTTGTCTAGGATTAGCGCCATTTAACCATATTTATTAGGAAGCGTTAATTTATAAATTAGTATGTAACACACAGTGCCACATGTATGATTCAGAAAATCATTTTAGCTCATGGTCAGTATTGTATAATATTTCAAGGAAACAAACTGACTACTTGTATTTCATATTATACCGGAGTTAATTGATGTTCACGGCTATTTACATAATATAAACTACTTCTAAGCTTTAAATCGCGTATATTTGTTTTTTCAAACAAACCGACGTTTCGGGCCCTTAACACTTTAGAAAAACTTTCACTATAGAAAAAATAGGGTGGTTTGCATTAATATTAGACATAACTGGTTGAAGACTGTACCACCTCAGTCAACCGTGACCATGGGATCTGTAAAGGGCCCGAAACGTCGGTTTGTTTGAACAATAAATATACGCGATTGAAATCCGGAAAAATAGTTTCATTTCCTATGTGTAACAATCGCGAAAACCTAAGAACTCGATATACTTCTAGGCTATTGATCAGCGCCATCTAGATATGACGGGATTTTGACCTTTTTCAGAGTTACGATCTGTAGTATGGAGACTAGCAGTTTCTTGAATTATTGGTTCAAGATAGCACGTATCTTAAAGTGTAATATGATTTGCTAATGGGAACTAAAAGGAAATAATTATACTCACTACTACTTCACCCGTGTCCAATCCCATAGCCAAAATGTAGCCGTCAGAAGTCAAGTCACAAGACACAATCCTGCTATTCAACTTGTACTCCTGGATCAATTGCAAATTCATACCATCTCCCTCTAATGCGAATGTTAGGAACTTCTTATTGTCGTCACATATCACTAAAATGTTCTTTTGGAACGCCGCGCAGTTAATTCTCACGTCTATTTGGCGGCCGTAGAGCACTGATACAAGTTTTAAGTCTTGACTCCATAGCTTTATTGTTGCGTTGTGTTCTATTGTTAATAGGCCTGTAAATGATGTATTAATATATTATATAGTTGCGCAAGCTTGTGTGAAAAGATTGATGGAGTAAGTGGTATAAGTTTTTTTTGTCAGTTTCTTATTTAAGGTAGGCTTACGTGTGCCACAACCGGCATGCTATTTTGATGTTTGTATGGCAAGATCTAACGAAGCAAGTGACGGTTCTGTTTCCATTTATACAAAAAGATACATACAACGATATGTATTTATTTTTGTTACCTAAGTGTGTTATATGTAACGTATATCGACTTTTGTTACATAAGGTTACTGTAATTCAAAATACGCCAGCAAGTGGATTCGCAGGTTTAAAATCAAATTGTAGACTTTGAGGAATAATTTACTTAAAAATCTTATAAAAACCTAATGATGAGATTACCTCTGCCGTGTATCCAAAAACATTCAACAAGGCCACTGCTTGTGGATAAACTTCTCGTGTCACCGTTGGGGAAGAAACGATCCTTGGAAGCAATGCTACTGTCACTCCCCGAGTTTGACAGGTGTTCAGATGGGCTGATCTTTCTTTTGCCTGGAATTATTAATAGGATAGTGTAGGTTTGAGAGGTGTGTATTTTAAAAACAAACTTAAAATATCGAGTACTTTTTAAAGTGTCATGAAAATTTTGAACAACGGATTTTGGATGGAATACGGCAAAAAGCGATTAAAGTGTTACAGAGTGCTTCGTTAAAACTGTAACAGATACTGATGAATCTAATTAAGTGAGATTATTTTGTATTTAACTACACGTTGATGTTGACACGAAGCAATGCGGCTACTGCCAAATTCATTTTGTAATTTACCAGACCGATAAGAAAAGAATGAACACAAACGAAATTTGTCCTTTCATCGCGAAGAATCAATGCTATTTTGGCACAGACATAAAGTGAATAAACGCTAATAAATAAATATAATTTGGTAGACCAAAATATAACAACACAACATCATTCAAGTGGCTCTATGTTATGTTATTTTTATTAATGTTATGTAATACATCAGTTTTATGCAGAAAGTTCAGCAGTAGAGCTCCTTGTGAAACAGTTCGTCCAGGGAAGTACTGCTACCTTACCTAATTCTGTCACCAAGCAGTAATGTGAGCATTAATTCGTTCCGTTTTGAAGGCTAAAGGCTTAAGGGTGCTGGTGAAATTACAGGCACATGGGACTTGTCAACTTATGTCTCAGGGTGACGGGCGCAGTGGCAGTGCCCTGCATATCTTTGCGATTTAAAACTATGAGTGGCACTGCTACTGTTATGGACAGGCGTGAGCCAAGACTTGTTCGACCCGTCACTTGACATTATAAACAAAACGAAATTTACATTTATAAAATATTTTGTTACGCGGGTATGCATTTTTAATAGAGCTGAGGTATGCGTTCCCAATTTTTCGAAATTTTGCTATTTTTTCTAACGAAAATTTGAGACATTAATAATAATTATATAACTTAGAAGAGATGGAATTGTAAACACCGAATGACCAGTCAGCCCGTGACGGCCTGTGCAACCTGATCGAAAGGTCGGGAAACTAGGTAGGTGTGGAAAATACCTATTCGTATATGAACGCGTTTAAATGTTAAAAGTATATACTCCAAAAGGTTATCTTTATCAATGTAAGACACGAAACCTAAGTATAACTTACCTTGTATATCATTCAATATCTCCTGGGACCCCAAATGCGAATTCCCTCTTTGCAACATCTCAGGTTCCCAATCACCATCACTGGTCAACCTGTACGCCATAAGGCACCTATTCTTGCCAGCCACCATTAGCAAACTCGAATTAACAAATCGTAAGTACTGTACGGCGCTATTAACGTCTATTATAGCCTTGCTTTCTTTTGTTCGTAACGTGTATTTGATGACGTTGCCGGATTTCAAACCGTACACAATGTATTGGTTGCATGGGGATATTTTTACTATAGTGATTTGTTCGTCCACCTTCGCTGGTATTTCTGTAAGGACTTTTCTTCCGCGCATTATCTGAAACGTTTTGATAAATATTTGAGAACTTGTCAAACTTTATTCATATTGAAGAGGTAATAATAAAATCATATTTAAAAAGAAGAATTCAACAGAAAATTAATAGTTTCAGTATTGCAACAAATACGGAAACAAAGTATCACAATATTATACTGTATGGTGTCCTGCAAGGTACAAATTTGCGACCAGTACTCTATCTTATATATTTTATATTTGTAAAATATTAAACCTCGCAGGACTGTAATTACTAACATTATAAACAACAACCTTTGATCCATGACTTTTTACGAAACATAATAAATTTACCGAATATAAATTTTAAATTTTTGTTGTACTCTCTGACACTTTTTGGATTTGTATTTTTAGCAACGTCATTCATAAAAATATTTTGGTGATAGGTGCTTTCTTTTGCTACCGCACAGTGCTATCATTATCACCATTTGAAGCGATCTATTTACAGTCCATTTGTGTAGGTACTTAACAAAATGTAAGCAATCTTGATACATCTTTTTATTGACACATATACTTTACAAATCAATAGGTGTAAAAATGGCATGCAATTTCATATGGAGCTAAGTATTGTGTTTTGTGTTTGAAGGAAAGTAAAAATAATTTTATAAATGCATATTTCTTTAAATAGACATCTCTAGATTGTTTACATTTAGTTTAGTACCTAAACAAATGGACTATAAATATTTTTATTTTTTTAATAAAGTAAAAGCTGATGAATGACTAAAAGTAATGGAACTAAAGTTGTTGTTTATGATGTTAAAGTAATACTGTCCTGCGAGATTGTTACTATTTTCCAAACCGTGTATATATTAATGACACCCGTAAGGCATTTCATTACCCTACGGTGTTTATGTGAACAGCTATATGGTTACATATACAAAAGAAAAATAAATTAATAACAAATTAACTCATATATGTTTCAAGAAAGTAGATAGAACCATACTCTTAAATGTTAGATGAAGTAAAGTGATTATTAAGCAAAACGATGCGTTACTTTTTCAAACTAGTATCTTATCAGTGGCGATGCTTCCATATATCTCGATTCCCACCGGCTTGCCTAAAACTTTCCGCGTACCTATTACCAGTGGTTGCGCATAACCCCCTCCCACTTAAAAAACATACATTAAAAATATTCATTATTGAACGCGTAATAACTTGTCCCGATGCATCTCAACCAATCAGCGCGAGGTAAGCCGGCGGATCAGCGAGTTCTATTTCAGTTATGAAATCTACGCGCTCCCATAAAAAAATACGCAAAAATCCGTTTCATAACATCTATAGAAATGGCGACCGAAAAGCCGGAATTATTCGGGTTGTTGTCGAATAGCGTTCACTTAAATTTAAACCTTATTTCAACAAATTATAGTTTAATTTGTTTTTAAGTCAGAATCAGTGCCAGAAGTAAAACTTTTTTAAAATAAGTAAAAGCTCGTTTGTAAATACGAAGGAAATGTGATGTGAAATCAGCCTGTAAAATTGTATATACAATCCATTTTTTGCGTTTCAGTAACTGTGCTTTAAGATACGAGTTTGAGAAAATAAGTTGACGAAATGTAGAACATAAACGGACGCATTGGAGACAGATATAACTAAGGTATTCCCAAGGTACACATTTATCACAAAACATACTGGAAAACCCAATTAGAGAGTATTTGTCTAGACTTATACTTAAACATTATACATGCAAATTTGTGAATAGGAACTCGGTTTTTCAAGCATACCACGAAAATTTATTACTTATACATATATATTCTGATAATACGATCATCATCATCGGTACTTTATACGTCCTACTACTGGATGCAGGTCTGATCTAAGGAGAGGGTTTATGCTATCGCCCGCAACGCTGGTCCAATGCGGGCTGGGAATTTTACAAAAGGATTTAGAACACTTATTCACACACAGGTCTCATTACGATGTTTTTTTTTCACAATTTGCGAGAAGGGTAACCTATCACAAACACGAATTTAATTTTTCCGAACACGGTTAGACTTTTTTCATTACTGCGACGACTGTTATGGTATATGTATATTTGCAACACAGAAATATCTTACAGTAGAAGTATCGTTTGTTTGAAAAAGTGTTAGTTGAATAATTATTACATGTATGCATTCTTTTGGCAGAAGTGTGTTTGGCCAATTCATGTTCATCCTACTGTCTATTTTCCAAATAGTTTAGTTTGTAGAATGTCGTTTCGAGAAAATTATTATTCTTAGATAAAATTATATAGACATAGCAGAGTCGTTTTTTTGAACAAAAACAAAATATTCAATTAGGTACAGTCAACAGCACATCAAGTTACACATTGACGTATTTTGTTCCGTTGTATTGGAGGCGATTTTCGAACAAAAATGTGTAGTCTGATGCGCTGTTGTCCGTTACATTAGCCAAACAGTATGTTGGGGAAATGAAAATCTGGAAACGAATAACTTATCAATTGTGTCAAAATAGCGAAACATTAAACGATGTAATGAAAAAAATCGGAACGTGTTTTCGTGCAAATGAAACAAAATCTGTTGACAAATCAAACAGTCTGAAAAGCCGAGAAACAAATTTCTGTAAATCATGTTTCTTGCTTATGATAGGTAACCAGAGACAGGTATTACATATAAACATTCACAAATGTACGCAACTTAGAAATTAAAGCGTTACATTTACATGCGTCACTGGATTCGGACCGTCGACCTTTCAAATGAAAAGCAACTTCTCTCACCGCTACCGTATTAAGATACGGTGTAACTAATCAACGAGAGCAATTTTTCGATTGAAAAGAGATAGCTGCAAATCATATTTTAAGTCTTCGACTACTCACTGTTGCTTCGCTTTACATCTACGAAACTGCCGTGTACGTCCGAATGCACCCACATTTGTTCACACGTGTTCTAAAGGCAAGACGTTATGACCAATTTCGTTTAAATAGTTGTAAAACTACCATTGTGCATAAAGTACTTTTGTTATGGTGCATAAAAAAAATTATTATAAATTGTTCGAATTTTTAAATGCTTAATCCTTGCAAGTTTTTTTTCCCCCGATTAAGTTATTTTTTTGATGATTGGTTTTATTAGTCACGCCAAGGTATGCTGTATATATCCTCACCGATTTCAAGATCCCTGGGTTATTATTTGGAAAATTTAGTATGCAGTTCTATAAAATCAGTATATTTATTTGGTATCAATGATAAAAATCACTATACTCCGTTCAACCAGTTAGTTAACTTTAAAAATTCTAATAAATCAGTGATGTCTTAAGTAATGCGTTTCCGAGTTGTTTTTTTATACCAATCGATTTTATTTACGAAGAAGTTTAAATCGTGAACGTGGGGTAAAAAAAGAAGATATTGTTTGATTAGGATCGTGATGTTGCGTTTGACAATTTATTTATTTAAACTTAATTGCACACAAAACAGTACAAATGGCGGACCTCAATGTCATTAAGCATTCTCTACCAGTCAACCGGAGAGCTGGGTTCAAAATAATTAACAGGGGTGCATAACATGATAATTAGACAGAAGTTTATAAATAATTATTATATGACTAACTATATACTTATATAAGCAACCTATATACACACAAATACATACTATATAATACATAGACATATATATTCAATATACATATATATAACAATGTCAGACTAATGGGATGTAGATTGAGACTCCAATATGATATCGCGGACTAATTGCCCGAAAGCTAGTTTATTCGGCGCTTTTTAAAGTAGCCCAGTTTTCCTCAGACCTGGAACGTTTAAATTTACGAAAAGCTCTGTTACGCCTCCTCATTGCTATACGCACCAAATGAGTGATCCAGAGCGCAGGTGGTCTTTTCAGTTTCACTGAGCGTAATGGTGCATGCTTGTCGTAAAAACTTAAGGTGGCACTGAATGTTGTCAGCTTGCCATCTACAGTGGGCGCTGCCATAACTCCGGACCAACCAATAGTAGACGCATCGTGAGCAAGTTTGTCTAAGTCAAATCTAGCAAAATTTCTCAGTTCCCTAGTTTCTGGAGAACGTTTGTGAGGCTTAATTTTGTACATCACAAAAATCAAGTCATGGCCGGAAAAACCAGGGGCGGGAAACTGACCGTGCTTCACTACCAGGTCAGCAGAGAGACAATAGCATGATTAATCCATGAGTCCTTGGATTCAATGTTGTGATGAGTAGCAATAAGCTCAAGTACAGATAATGAGAAGGACTCAATGGTAGATCGAAAATTACGGGACGCGAGAGAGTCTTTAAGGAGTTCAGTGTTGAAATGACCCATGACTATGTGAAGCGTGTTGTCTGTTGCGAACGGATGTAACACAGAAGTAAGAGACGTGATAAAATCGACAGCAGGAGGACAATAAACAACTTCAAGAACCGCTTTAACCCCAGAAACCACTATCTTTAAGAAAAGGTATTCGATGTCATTTTCATTTTGGTCCGATGATGAGAGAGTCTTGAAAGGAATGGAACTGCGAAGATAGATGGCTACACCACCACCTCTCTTCACAAGACGGTCATTGTGAACCAAAACATAACCTGGTAAGGCATATGTAGTTGAATTATGACATGGCTTAAACCAGCTTTCAGAAACAAGCACCGCATGTAAAGAGTCTAAGCAAAAAGTATCAAGCAACTCTGTGTGGTGACTAGGTATGCTTTGGGCATTTATATGGCATACATTAAAATTTGGAGACGCAGTACTAAAGATATTGGAGACCTCGACACCCAATGCCTCAACTTCCATCTCCGAGTGATTCAATGAGACAAAAGAATCGGAGCTTGCACATGATAGAAAATCCTCAAAATCGTGTAAATCTGACATATTTATACAGTATACTAAAATAAATATATAAATTATACAAAATAATTTAAATAATAATAGTAATAAAAATATGCCTAAATTATTAAAGAATACAATGTAAATAATTGTGCACAACCCGCCAGCCAACCGTTACAATTGCCGAGAGACTAATAAAATAATACAGTACAAAGTTATTAAAATGGAAGTTAACAGATATTATCACAAAAAATATTGCTGTTCCACTTTATAACTTACTTTCTCCAAAATTCCCCCGCCCCATTAACATAAACAACCTCTTAACTTTAGTGTTCTCCCCCCATATTGTTACTCTATGTAAATTTATCCACTTAAATAACATATATTTATAAATATTGTTTTGCTGTTTTGTTTTACATTCTCAACTGAGTACTCCCGTAGTCCAACTTACCAACACCGGTTAATGTCCTATTAGAACTTAGCGAAATTTTTTTTTTGTTTCGTTTTTTTTTTCTTTCAACTGTGACATTGGCAAAATCATCAGTTCTCATATTGATGGAGCCATAAAAATAAAAAGTGAAGTGAACATCAAGTGAACTATTCTATTAAAAAAGGTACATGAGGTACTGGTCAAAAAACTTATCATAAAAAAAGTGAGAAAAAAAATCATGTGGCTGTATGAACGGAACGTATCTACGTTCCGTTCGTTATGACAGCTGTCAATGTCATTGTCTAGTTGAAAGTAACGAATTTAAGCAACAAAATTATTAAAACTGAAAGTTAATATATACCCTCAACAGCAGTAGTATAAAATAAGAGGAAAGAAAAATACAAAATAAATGCGTTATACCTCCTTCAAAAGTACCGTATCTACATCACGGAAATGACGACGAGGAAACGAAAGAAAGTTCAGAGTTCTAACTGCGAATATGAAGTCGATCCTAATTTCCTCACTACACTCTTGAGTCTAATACCCACCGGCTTATGTGCTACAGGCAGCGCTGCAGGCTCCTCTGACACTCCCCGTTGCCGCAGTCGTGTCACTTTGAACAGCTGTCGGATACCGATCAATCAGCATATTGAGATCCGGGTTATCAAACACACGGTTCAGTTTCCCATCCGGTAGCTTCACCACAATGTTTCCATGGCTGGTCCATACTCTCCGGAAACCAAAATGACAACACAAACACCTCCTGCCGATGACGAGTCAGGAACTCAGCCATAGCCACAGGCGATCCCTTCAGCTTGGTTTTGTTGCTCCAAATTTCTGCTTTGGTGGATAGAACAGCAATTCTAACCAAAACTGGCCGTGGGCGATCTTTTGAAGCGGCTCCCAATCTATAACAGCTTGTGATGTCCAACTTAGAAATCTTAGTGAGACCAAGCTTATTATGTGCAATTTCAATGATAGATGTACAGACGTCTTCATCTTTATTCTCCTCCACACCACTGAAGAACAGCCTTCCTGCGATGCCTTGTTTCAATTGCATCAATACTCCTCATTAAGACTGCAATTTGCTGCCGAAGTATTTTCAATATTACTCCTACCATATCCTTAAGCTGGCAGTACTCTCTGGCTAGGTCTTTGAGATCAATAGCAGGAGACGATGCAGATGATGAACCCGTTAAGAGTGTTTCAAAGTCAGAGCCATACTCTTCAAAAGTGACTCCTCCAGGGTTTTCTGAGCCTCCAGAACTTTATTAATAGTGGCCATAGTGGTGAACTGAGTGCAGGAGTGCCGAAATGTAGAGATGTGTAGTGATGAGTGTACAGAACAGCTGGCGTTGACAGGTTGGTGCACTAAATTTCCTCAATCCACGTATATGAGCAGTGCCCACATAACATGTTGGTTACTTAACGATAATATGATATTTACACTGTATAAAAACTTGTAATGTAATTTATTTTAATAAAAACAAAATTTTTAGCACAGTGACGTGTTTAACTTATGTCACACCTACCCGCGGAAAAAGTTTTTTAAACAATTTATGTACTCAGGAATTAATGATTGATGTTAATGAGGATTCAAGTGATGATTCCCGTTCATATGGAGAATAATCCGACGATTCATTATAGTAAACAATAAAAATTTACTATAATTATTTACAATTTATTTCATTTCATTATAATTTGTTAGACAGGTACCAAAATTTATCAACTTGAATAATCTTCGATACATAATCTGCTGGCTCGATAAATATCGGAGCTAAAGAGCACGTAGCTTCACTAAAACTAAAAAATAAAGAGTCCAGGAAGTATAGCATTTTTTGTATATGTTTGTATGTATGTTAATAATTATGGAACTTCGGAGTCATGCATATGTCAAAAGTTAAATAAATGGTTGGACAGAAGTATATAAGTGTGTATCTCATAGTGGCATGTTACAATGTACGAATTGATTTATGTTTTAACTGTTAGCTTTCGAATCTAATAATTGGTTCAAATATTATTTTTAGCAAATAGAAATATGTATATATTTTCGACGCAATTTCTTGTTTTCTAATGTGTCTATGGAAATCTTTAGATTAAATGAAAATATAACACACCATTTTTGTTTTACCTGTATATTGTTTTTGTCGTCGACCACAACCAGCAAAGGGTGATTGCCCTCTTCACCGTTTCCGTTGCAAATACCTTTTAACACAAGTGGTTTTAACGAATGCCTATCGAGGCTCATAGTTTTCTTCGCAACCTTTTTCTCTACATCTTTGTGGTTCACGAAGGACTGGTGTCTCTTTGGTGTAGTCGAGGTGCTTTGGGTGCCATTGGTTGGCGTATTTGAAGGTGTTTGCGGTGTGAGTGTATGCACGAAACTTACGTCGAATTTTGTTGTGAGGCGTACTTTGCTGAAATAAAACATCATAGTTTTTATTAAGGTCAATGTATAAACTTATGTTTGATTCGTATGTGGCATAGTTTTTAATTAAAGACGTGGTTTTTTTTTATAATTTATAATTATATTTTTTATTTAAAAAACCGATCTCAAAAGGTTGTCCAATTTTATAATAATAATAACAACAACGCACACACTCAACACAGCCCCGCGCTAGGGATACCCTGCGTCGCGGGTGCCTTGGACTCACACATAGACTACCACAAATTACACCCAAACTTACGACAGAAATAAATGTAGGCCATACAAATATTTCTCCCGACCCGGGAATCGATTCTGGGTTCGGCCACAGAGGTAGTTTATATATAATAATAACACAGACACTCACAGGCCCGCACTAGGGAAACCCCTATCGCGGGTGCCATGGACACACATATAGACAACCACAAATTACAAGTAAATAAATGTAGGTCTTACAAATATTTTTCTCGGCCCAGGAATCGAACCCGGTAATTGCATCGAAAGAATAATCGCGTAACATAAAAAAAAAAATTGTCGAATTGAGACGTTCCTCCTTTCTTTAAAATCGGTTAAAAAATAAAAGCACTTATTTTTACATCCATCTCACTTGATGGTAAGTGACGTTGAAGTTAACGATGTAGCATACAGATCTAGATAATGTCTATTCACCATCGCTTTGAAAAGGACAAGTTATAGTGTTCAGGAAACTAGTCTGCAGGCAGGGTATTCCACTCCATAGCCGTTCATGGCGAACGGCTGTGGAGTGGAATACTCTGGAATAAACGTGGAAGCGAAACGCTTTGCGCGAATCTTTAGAATATCCACAAAATAGAGGTAGAACCAACCCCAGACTACGTCTAGTACCCCGATGATACAAAGGAGAAGGCGGAATTAAATCCTGCAATATCTTCACACACAACTTGTGTTCAAAGCTTGGCAGCTTTGCCTCTACTAAATCCGAGACACCTATAAGCCCCTTGCTACGTTTTTCAATTAAATCCAAGGTTACAGTAAGTACCTTGTAAGCGGCACTGGGTTATAAGAAAGTAAGTTTCTAATGCCCTGGCTGTCATTATCTTTCCAATAAGAACAAAAAAGATAGAGCAATAAGTGTCCGCCACTAAATCAGTCTCACTAAACGCCAAAATAATGGTTTTTAACTTACCCATTTTTAGTGTTCTGTGAGACGTACGAAGCATCCAAGTACCATACTTTGGCTGTATTTTCGATTGTGCCCGTGCCCGTCAGCAGTACGTCCGCACCCGCCATGAAGTCCAATACCTCACTCATCGCCATGGAAACTACGTTACTAAAAAGTTACCAATGACAATATGAATAACAAAAAAAAACAATATGAGTAGGTTTTAAGAGCCCTTTCTTAGTCAAAACCCGGATGCCGGAGGAAAATAAAAACCCACGATAAAAAATAATAATAATATCTCTCTCAGACTACCACACCAATCACTTTGTTTCAAACCAGGCACTATCCACTCCAGAACCAAACACTCGGACTAGAACCAATTTAGAAAACTTAATTTCTCCAATTGGTACTATCGAGAATCGATCTCACGACCTCCTCCAGCGCCCGCAGTGCAAACCGTTAGACCACGGAGGTCGTCAAAAATAGGACCAGATCGGTAATGAACTAATGATCAATGTTATCTTATGTAATTAAAACAATAAACTCAATAAAATATTATTAGATGTAAAACAGCTGCCAGCATAAGTTGTCCAAGATATTTGTACAAAAAAGAGATCAACTTCAAAGTCTGTTTTCTCAGAATTTTTAGCAAATTACTCTGTGTAAGTTGTTTCAAATGTACAGTACTAAATAAACCTTCAAATAAACACACACTTACCCCCTTCGATTTTCAAGATCAAACACTCTTGAGTTGGTTTTCAAATCTACACAAATAACTCTACTATCGTCTGTAGAAACAAACAAGAGGGTGCCAGACTTGTTGACAGCAATCGACAAAAACAATAAATTCTCCTTCACGTCGTCACTTGATATAACTTTCTTACAGCGGCAAATGTTGCAATTGCTTTGCAAGTTCCGTTTGAATTCGTGTTCTTGCACTTCGTTTTGCTTCAGCGTTATTATTCTGTTGCTTCCTGTGGAATTGAGAAATGAATAAATTAAGTAATCATCTTTTGTTAGTATCGACTAAAATATATCGTTGTATTTTTTTAAATATTATGTAGACAGCAAACAAGTATACGGCCTGCCTGATGGAAAGCGGTTACCGTCGCCTGCAACACCAGGGGCGTGACGAGCGCGTTGCCGACCCTATAGAACCCTTCTCAAACCCTTTTTGAAGGACTCCATGCTGTATTCCTGTGGGAAAACACCGACAGGGAGTTCATTCCACAACCTAATTGTACGTGGGAGAAAGCTCCTCTGAAACCGTACAGTACGAGAGACTCGGATCCAGAGTGTGAGGATGGACTCCCTGCCGGTGGTGAGCGGTGCAATGGTAAAATGTTGCTGTTGGCATCATGTCAAACAGTTCTTCAGAACATTGGCCATTGTACAAGCGATAGAACAAGTATAGGGAGGCAAAGTCTCTCCTCCAAGACAGTGGTCCAATATCGTCTGTAAGCACAGGATCATCAACAATTCTCATAGCACGTCTTTGAATCGCGTCAAAGGTCCCAAGCTGGCATCCAGGAGCTCCCGCCCAAAGATGGCAGCAGTATTCCATGTGGGGACGGACTGTGACTTATAAAGTAGCAGTCTCTGCTCCGAAGTGAAATACTGCTTAGCCCTGTTGAGCACACCAAGCTTTTTGGACGCCAGCTTGACTTTGCCATCTAAGTGACTACGGAACTGAACGTCACAAAAGATCTCGACACCAAGGATCCCGATGCTCTCCGAGATATTTAATGGTTTGTTCTGGAACGGATAATTGGACTAAGTTTAGTCGTCCCCAATCAGAAACCCCTTCCAGGGTTTTTCCTGTTTGTGACACAAGTTGTTTACGGCTCTCCTCTAGACTAATACGCGTAACAGTGAATGCCATCAGTAGACAGAATATCATTGATGTGCAGCAAAAACAGCGTCGGGAACAGCACAGAACCTTGCCCCAGCACAGAACATTTACGCTGGTGTCCACCGTCGACGACGGCTCTTATGCTTCTGCTGGACAGAAAGCTGTCAACCCATTTGCATAGCCCCTCGGGTAGCCCGTATGATGGTAACTTTGAAACAAGACTTCGATGCCCATATCTAGGAGCTCTAGGCGCGTTAATACGGGACACAGCTCCGGAGCACACATTTTAAGCACCACTGCCGGTTTACCGTCCGTGGCACTTGCCTTATGAGTATTGACACTATAGACATTTTAATGAACAAAGGCTACGTCCAGTGCCTGGTTTTGTACTCTCGTTCTCCGTCCGAAATAATTACAGTTACATAAGTAATACTCGACCAAATGAAAAGATGCATGATGCGAATGAAGCTTCATACTTGACATTACTTTTTAATTTGGTCGAGTGTTACATATTTGACAGAAAGGCTTAAAAATTTATATTGCGGTGGGACGGAATGGACGTGAATTTTTTTAACGATATTGTACATAGCATGATGAACTTTATGGTCAATTGTGTAACGTACAAACTTGCCGAAATTTTCCGCGGAATTCTCGCGCATGCTCGATTGCTCGCGCATTTCGTGGGATCACCCATTTGAGCCTAATTGTTTCGGACGGATGTTGGACGGAGAACGGTCAAAGGAAAAGAGTAGACTCCTAGATATGCGTCAAGAATGTTTAATAACAAAACATTCTAGTGGATTTACAGGGTAAGCCAGAGCGTCCAACAAGTTAAAAAATTCAAATGTAACTTACAAGGTACAGTACTTAAAAACTAAACAAAGGAAAGAAAAGAGACAAGTACGCGTACTTTACAAAATTGATTACTATCTAACTTAAATCTATTTTAAATGTATCAGCAACTGGCTGAGGCAAACTTTTGTTTTATAAATTGGAGAGTATCGAAATAAATTGGAGCTATAAGATCATTTGAAAAGGTGGTTTTTTAAATAAGTTATAAATCTTATAAGTATTGCAAAAATTTGTGGTCGAACACTACAAGATCTTGTGCAGCAGTGTAGAAAAGTTCTGCGCCATAATAATATGGTGTATGCCATCGATACGCTAAGAACTCTATAACTTAAACTGAGATTTATTACGCGAATTTTGCCTAATTTGAAGCAAGAAATTAAATTAGTAAAGTTTACTTCATAATTTCTTGGTTAAGGCGAGTTACTGGAGGAGAAGCGGTAAAAACTGTTTTACTAGATCGAATGGTTTAGATATTTACTATTAAATAAACGATACACACAAGGGTACAGAAAAAACGTAGCTAAAAATTGATACCTAAATACAAATTTTGTGTCTATGGTATTTCATACCGTTACAATGTTTCCCTTGCCAAATCTCATTTTTGGAAATTACATAACGCAAAATACTAACCAGGTACAGTCAAAATATCAACGATAACACCACTCTCAGCAAAAGACATGATTCGCTCCTTTGTGATAAGATCGATAACTTCAACTTGATGACTGTTGGTCGCTATGATCGCGTGTTTGTCATTATTACATGGCACACAACATAGTATCTCCTTGTCCCAATCAATGACGTTTAACACTTCCCCAGTTTGGTTGTACAAAATGATGAGTTTTGTTGTATGTGCGATAAGAATTTCATCATTGTTGGCCCATCTGCAGTTCATGAAGAGTCCTCGCTTGGCTGGGATTGTTATCGTGCCCGGGTAGTTGTTGTTGTACGATTCCTCTGATTCTGTGGAAAGAGAAGATAGGTATTCAGAGTTAATTTATCCTCCCCATCAAACTACAACGGGAAACGAGTTAAACGCCGAATGTACGGACGGCAGCATATAAAGCTATCGAGTATATAACCAGAAATAGAGACGAAATAAGTACCATATATTCCTGGTAACACATTAGCGATACAGGTCTTATAAATATCAACTCTCATTTGCACTGAAATATAGACAAGCCAACTACTGACCTGTGTGTACGTCTCCGTATATTCCAAAAAATATTCTGTATTTATTGTAATAAAGATAATATCTCTAACAATGCCGTGCTGTTCTCTTCAGTGGTGTGGGAAAAACAGCAAAATATCTAATTTCAAAACAAACGGAATCACATGTCATCGGTAATTAAATATTAAATATGTAATTTTGCAATTTTCGTCCATTACAGCAAAGCTCAAGTTAACTGGTCGATTTGAAGTGAAACAGTTGACAGAGACACCCATTGACGACACCCGTGAATTGTTTCGAACTCGGGCTAGCCAATCGGAGCGCAGTTGTCACAGTAATGATATGGCAGAATAGTTTTCAAACAAATTAAATGACATTTCGTCTCTATTTCGATGAGCTACACTTTGAAGGATCTTGTTCCGTTCCTTTGGAGGCGATATTCGAACAAAAGTATATAGATTGATGAGCTGCTTTCCGTACATTGAGGTCCAAGCAAGCATGCCTTCATGTATGAAAAACATATTAAGCGCTAACTTTGAATGCGATATTTTCACCTGGGTTTGAATAAAAAAACAATAAATACAGTAGAAGTGCATAGTTTATATTTTGAAAGTAGTGAAAGTGTTACTTATTCCGTTTATTGAATGATTGCTTTAAAATTTTATCAAACTGGTTTGTTTATCTTTCTGGCACAGGTGATTGGAACAGACTTTACACGAAGCCTTAGGAGATTAAATAGACCTTTGCAAGAGTATTATTTCCTTAACGCCTAACGGTAGGACATAAGTATGGGTCATGGGTTGATGCGATAACAAGTCACAATGTGTAACAATAACACATAGTTGTTCTTTCTTTCAATACAGTTGTTTAGATACATAAACGAAGGTATTACTAACCTTCTTCAATAATTTCATGGTCATCTTGTTCGACGTCATCGATGTACCACACGCGGATAACGCCGTCGTACGACAACGCGGCCACGAATGGCGGGTTTTTGGGACACGCACCGATCCATTTTATAGCCGAGTCAGTGCCCGGCAGCTCCTTTTTAAGTTTGTTCGTGGATATGTGAAAAAACTGTAAAGAATATACAGTTTTGGTTAATCAAAGATCACAAAATCATAAAGAACAGGGCCAAAACAACTTTAACAATGAGGTCCGTTAAAATTATGAAAAAAATTACAGATGGCCTGATAATATAAAATTGAGGTCTTTATCAAATAGACTGGTTCTAAATAGGTTTTAGAAATAAACTTACTTTGATAGCTCCCTTCAAGGTTCCGACGAGAGCATAATCACCTAGGAAGCAAACTGATGTAATATTTTCTTTCACGTCGATATTAGATGGCTTGATTTCTTCTACATTTTGTTCATGTCTGAAAATAAATGAACATTACAAAATAATTATAATTTCCATTTATAATAATTATACTGTTTCATTTAATTGCCACCGTAGCCGAATGGTTACCATGTTGGCCTGTCACGCAGAGGTCCCGAGTTCGATTCCCGGACCGGGAGAAATATTTGTATGGCTGTGGTTGTGTGTCCATGGCATCCGCGATACAGGGTTTCCCTAGTGTGCGTTATTATCATTATTATTTATAACAAGCATACAAATGTGTTGTCTGCAAGTAAATGAAAACGACGTAATGGGAACTTAAAAGCAATTTTCAATGAATAGCATGTTTAACTACTTTCCACATTGACTTACAATTATATGGACGTCGGCTCCGCGCTAAAAAGTGTCCCCACTTGTAAGGCGCTAAAATCGTATACAGAGCGCGACACTCTGCTTTAGTCTTCATTTGTTCTACTGACAGCGCGATACTGCGATGACATTACAATTTAAATTTCGAATAGGTTGACTTGGGACATTTTTTTCGTGGTTTTTGTATTAGACCCGTCGTCCATTTATTTGTAAGTCAATGACTTTCCATTGTAAATTGTCAACATAAAAAATACTTACAAAAATTCGAAGTAAAGTTCGTGAGCAGCACAATTTTCATGGGCCACCTGAAGTGCTTTTGTGAATAGTCTGCCTTTGTTCTCATGTTGGAGTATGCTCTGCACTATGTCCGTGCATGGATATCGGTAGAGATCTATTCCATGCGTGATAAGGTAACTCTTTATGCTGTATAGGAGTTCTTTGTCAAACTCCTGTAATTATATTTTTTAAGGTTGATAAAAAAATCATATACGCATTATAGCCTAGTTGGGAGAGACCTTGCTTTGTGGCAGGTCTCGGGTTTGATTCTACCAACGGTAACGTGAGCGGAACACTATCGCTTTTAAGCTTCAGCTTCCGTGTCCCCAAAATACTTAAAATTTGTAAAAAAAAATATATACTTAAAGTCAGCCCACCATGCCGTACAGGATTAGGTTTTTGTTATCATTAAACATTTTTAGTTAAAAAAAAATAATTAAACATTCCGTAACTCTCATAAACATGTGTTTTATTTTTAAAACAATAATAAATTTACTGGCGTCTCACTCTGAGGGTAAAAATAATGGTCACGTTGACCAAGGGGCCTGCAACACTGCGACTTTTCGAAGTCGAGTCAAGTCCCAAACTCGTTTTGACCTACCGTGGTGGACTATACTCTAAATACTAGGTCCTTAGAAGAGTCCTATGCCTAACAGTGTGACGCATATAGATTGATGTTGACATTTATAGATTGCTCGTGGTTATGCTTTGAAAGAGATATTTCTTGTTCAAAATCGGAAAAATTGGTTAACTTTTAAATCAATTTGTTATGTCAGACATAGAAAGTTACTTCAACAAGAACACTGTTAACATAAAAATACGAAACGAATTTTTCAGCAAATCGAAACAAAATTAGTAAAGTAACACATAGTTTGATGTTTAATGTAAAACAAAAGTAGTTGTTATAGAGTTTATGAATAACTTCCTGACCAGAAAATTATTCATATGAATAATTTAATCATATGAATAACTGTTTTGCGACCTCAAAACAATTACGATGACGTATGCTCCGCCATCGACTACATAACCAGAAATAGAGACGAAATACCATTTAATTTGTTTGAAAATTATTCTGCCAAATCATTACGATGACAACGGCGCACCGATTTGCCAGCCCGAATTCGAAACAATTGACGGGTATCGTCAATTGCTTTACTTCAAATTGACCAGTTTAACTTGAGCTTTGAAATGTGATTCCGTTTATTTTGTAATTAAATGTTTTGCTGTTTTTTCCACACCACCGAATGGGACAGCACCCCATTGTTAGAGATATTGTCTTTATTACAATAAATACAGAATATTTTTGGAATATGCGGAGACATGCACACAAGTCAGTTGTTGGCGCTGTAATATTTCAGCTTTCTAATTAGTGATTTCAGGATAAACGAGAGTTGATATTTAAAAGTAATATAAGCCCCGTTGGCTGATGAGTTGCCAGGGATGGATGGCACTTATTTCGTTTCTATTTCTGTGCATAAGCTCGATGACGTAACAATACGAAACAAGTGATTCAGCAAATCGAAACAAAATTAGCACAGTAACACATAGTTTGATGTCTTATGTAAAACAAAAGTAGTTGTTATAGATAAATAACTGTTTACGACCTCAATACAATTATTCACATAATTCAGCGAATCAGCAATGCTATTCTTAAAAAAAAATAATGATGACAAGTGCTCCGCACTAGAATGTCTAATTAATTGATACACATTTAGAGATAAAATCGTTGTAACTTACGTTATCAGCAATGTAGTTCTCGTATTTCCCCAAATCCAATATCAGATCAGCTTGACCAGTTAACCTCACTTTGTTCCCCAAAAACTTCAAATCCATGAACAACTTATTGAACAACTTCCACATATTGTTATAGTTCTTCGTGTTCAATATGTGATATCCAATGTAAAATGCTATGTATCCATCATCGACAATTTCAACCGGCGTATTGTCATCGTAGTTGTAACTTTTTAGGAATTCCGCGTGTAACCTTTTTACTTCCTCTTCGTTGGAACATGTTCTCAAATAGTTCATTATCAGATCATGTATTTCGTATATGTAATTTCTTTGTTCGGGATCGTAGAATTCTATTATCAAAGACTTGCTACGTAATTGCTTCATTATGGATTCTACTTCATTGACATCTTTATTCCATAGTTTAGCAAGCACCGTGGCGGATACTTTGGCATTGTCCGGCAGTATAGTTAGCATTTTAAATAATGGCAGTATGTTTGGCTTCAACGAGTTTATACACATCTCTATTGTTTTCATTGGGTTGTAATTGTTTCGCGTTGAGCTGAAAGTACGCAGTTTTATGTAAATGACTATCGGACTTTGAAAACAGCCTGAAAATTGTTTTCATATACAGCTTTGAGTGGAAGAGTTTTCGAAAACAAAAGAGTTTTTTTTTATTACATTAAGTGATGGGACGAACAAGTCGTGTGTCTGGTGGTAACCGACACACCTGTCCATAACAGTTGGAGTGCCACTCAGAGCTTTAAATCACAAAGATCTGATGGGCACTGCCACTGCGCCCGACACCCTAACACATAAGTGGACAAGTCCCGTGTAAATTCACCAGCACCCTTGTTTTTCGAAACCGGAACGCAGTAATGTTCACATTACTGGTTGGCGGCACAATTAGGTAAGGTGGCAGTACTTCCCTGGACGAACTCTTTCTTAAGGAGCTCTACTGCTACCAAAAAAAGTACTGATGGATTTTAAAGTTTTGATTTTGGGCCTAGAAAATCTATGGTACAATTAAGGGGTATTGATAACATTAAGGTTATCATTCATTGAATACATAGTAACAGATCACCAATCCCTCGCCTCAAAATAGTTGGTAATAATTGTTAAACAGAGTGGGGCCGTGCCAAGGCGCACTGCCGTCGGTTTAAAATCTTAAACCGACGTTTGTGGGTCTCCTCAAGTTAGGGTCAAAATTTGTATTATGATACCCACAGGCTTCTGTCCAACTGTGAATATTTTTATGTCAAAAACAATGTAATGTCGTATGATTTAGAATACATTTTGAAAAAATAATAGAAAACAGTTGGGAGCGCGTGTCCGCCATTTTTTATTCAAATTTTAATACAACAGTAGCAACAATTAAAACGTTAATTTTCATATAACATATAAAAATACTTACAAAAAGAATTCTTTCCTTTCTAACGTATTTAAATAGTACTTCCAAGCCCTAGGGTCATGATTCAATCTCTCCTTATTCTCCGCTAGCTGGGCTCCTATGAGAGCTATATGGAACGGGCTGCCTTTGCATATTTCGTGAAGTTTCTTGGCCTGTCTCGGTAGTTGATTCACGTTTACATCGAGGCATGATGCAAAAAGTTCCAGTGTTTCTTTTTCGGTGAAATTGTTTTCGATCTGTTATTGTGAATAATAATGTTTTTAAGTTTGGGGAAAATTATATTGAGTGTCTAAAAGTAAAGCTACAAGCGTCTAGATCTTAGTTTTCCAAAGCGGTCCCTATCGCCCCCCAGTCGGTGCTGAAGAATCTTAGGGGGGCGACAGGAATCTCGGAAACAAGTTGATGCTGTCTAGGCGGTGCAACTGCATTTAAAAAAACTACATTATCAATGTGTGTAAACTACACAACATATATTTATAATTTCTTTCCTTGTGATTTTTGTATTAAGTTAATTATAGTTTTTGTGATGGTGGGCGTTGAAATTTTTTTATCTAGCCTAAGTGAGCCAAAAAGTTTGGGAACCTATGGTCTAGAATAATAAAACTACACGAAAACTAAAATTGATTAAAAATACATACTTATAATTAAAAAAAAATAATAAAAAATAACAATGTTTACAGAAATAATAAAACGAAACAATAAATACTTACTTTTATGATCTGCGGACGAAAATTCGCCACAACCTCTGTGTCTCTCGTAGTAATCAATATCTTGCAACCGATATCAAAGGCCTCTACGCATTTCTTGTCATTGACTTCATCCAGTATCAACAGAGATTCCTTTATAGCTTGGTCGGCGAACTGAGTTTTCAGTTTATCTCTAAGTTCAATCCAAGTCCAATCATAGCTGGATAGGGAATGGCAGTCAGCGTTTGAGCCCATACTGGACATAGATATTGAGGAGTTCATGTAGGAGTTATGTGAGTATATTGACGAAGTTCTGCGATATAGCCTGTAAATGAATTTAGGATAAAATTTATTAATACTGAATAATTTATTATGAAGGGTAATACGATGGTAATTCTATTAGAGTTATTACTTTGAATGTCAGATGGCAGACATATAAAGGCGTATGAGATTTCTAAGAGGTGACTCTGCCCATCAATATGATCGCGGAAAAAAACAACATTGCTCCATATAATTCTATAATAAAATCCCTAACAATAAAAGATGAAACAGGAGTTTTTTTGGCAAAAGGGAAATGTGTTCAAATTTTTGTTAGTATTTTAGTTATTTCTTTTGATAATATTGAGTCACAAAGATTGCAATGAGCAATAACAACAAATACAGAGTTGTGTACGAATAATAATAATGTAATATGAACGAAGATTAGGCTACCCTTTAGGCTATCCATAAAATGTACATGTATGCAATAAATAAATAAATACATTTCGGTCGAGTACTTAAAAATAGGTCTCTAAAATATAAAAGCTGTTGTTTTACCTTTTAAAAAGATATTCGTATGGATGAGGAAAATCTCACAAGACCTTTCGAGGTGATGAGATGGATAGAAAATTATTTTTTTAAAACTTTGCATATTTCTTATTTTACTTGATAACAAACAGGTTTTCAAGAGTAACGAAATATTTTACCATATAAATTAATCATGTTAGCTGTATTCAGTTGTGACCTAGTCGGCGAAGAATTTAGTTACTTTTGTCTTAAAAGTTTCGCATGTTGAAACGGGTTCAATAGACTCGTTCTATAATAACCAGCAATCATATTATAAAACACAATAAATGCAACCCTACAACGCATACAGTGCCCAACCCGTACATGAAACATCAAGTGCAGCCCACAAGTGAGTCAATTATTCTCCTAATTAGACCAAATAACCAGATTGCTTCCAACCGAGTTCTGTAATTGAGTCATGAGTTTACTTTTTGCTCTAACTGGTCCAAGACGATTTCCTGTGTGTAATTGTTTAATAGTGGTTGTATAGGCATGTACCAAGTAGATAGGTTATTAAGGAGTGTTTTTGTTAGAGTACGACGTGGATTAAAATTAAACTAAATAAATGTAAATGAGTTCGTTACATAAAGCAATATACAACCTGGTGACGTGGTCAAAAATGCTACATATACATAATTAATTATGGAAAGTTGAGATTCTGGGGGCCTACCACAACCTCTTAAAACAATATTACTTTAACCTTACATTGACTTTTCGTACCATAACTCGCTTCAAGTAAGCTTATTGTAATGTTAAAACTATAATGTTTTATTGGCAGCTTTGATTATTCATTCACTCAGTTCGTACTACGACGCGACTATAACATTAAAGTAATATTGCTCTTATGTCAAATTTAGCAATCTTAAAATAGTTACACGGATGCAATGGAAACAATATTATTTTCAGTTTTATTGTCTTAATATTGATTTGTAATGATTAAAAGTTAAGTTGAACTTATTTATTTACACATATCTCTTCAATATTTTGTTTATTTTTTTTAATAGCACGTAGGAAATAATTTCTCGTTAAATAAAAATACGCGACGTTTATTTTGTAGACTATAATTCCGAATCACAACGTGACAATGAAGACTCAGCTTGTTTTATTTATTTTTCTTCATGAAAATGCGGAAAAATAATTGAAAACAACGTAATTTTAATAGATGACATTATTACATACTTTTCTTTTTTTGGCAGTTAAAATTCTCTGAATGTAAATATTATTAAGCACTTTACAACATAACATAACATTACAATTTAACATTATAACTACGATAGGACGATTCGGAACATCACAAAAGTACGTGGAATTACGTCTATTTGCTAAGTTTTATTGAAATATCTATATATATAATATACTTATATATATATAATATACTTCGCCACTATACAGGACTTGACACTGGAGATAATAAAAATAGGTTCTCACTACGACACTACACAAAGTATATTGAGAGAAAAACGCCTTGAATTGGAGAAATAGCAAAATCAACCATTAAAATAATTGCTCCTAAATTAGGCGCTATCTATAAAAATGAATCTTCATGCGTGAACAGCCACCCTTCGTGATGGATGATTTTCTTCAAAATGAAATGGGACCAAAAAGGAAGTACCCCCTTTCAAATTTGGAATACGTTAGTTATAAGTTATAAGCCCTCCTTATAATGCACAAGGCGTATGTTTTACGCGCGGACGTTTGTTTGACGCGAGTTCACGACGCTGTACAGGCTCAATAGCACGCAAAAGTTTACTGATGGCGACTGAATCCCGATTGAATTGCGTTCAGCGCAAGTAAACAATACGCTGTGTGTATAGGCTTTTAGGAAGAGTGCTTGAGGTGTCATCTAACTACGCTTAAAAGGAGGCTCCAGCCACTATACTTTACGGTACCATACGTTTAAAAAACGAAGGTTATTATCAGTATGATAATTGGTACAAACAATGGTGTCGTCGTTTAGCACTGCGCTGGAAATATATAGATAGATATCAATGAAACTTCGTCGTTATTCACCTCACGTGGTTAGTGGAATAGACTGTTATGTGACGTCAATTTATTGACAACATTTTTGTCGTAAAGTAATGTAATAATAATAACAGACATCAACACTAATTGCCTGATCTCAAACTAGGGAATACTATTTGGTATTTTGCGTATCAAAGAAACGGAATTCACTCTGGGCACTTCCCAGAACACCCAGACCAGAACCAATTTAGAAAAGTTAATTTCCTCACTGTGTAAACCGTTAAGCCACTGAGGTCTTCATCGTCAAAGTATCAGAACGTCTGTTGACATGATAGCTTAGACATTCATGGCAAACATGTGCGATGATAAATGTGGATACTTAAAAGTATCATTTCTAGAACTCAACTCCACTAATGTCCATTATCTTATGCTCATTAAGTAACATGCTTTTGTTTGTTTTCAAAAAACAAAGGACATCTTTAAAGACACGTAAAATTTATGAAAATAATTACTGATTCAGCATTTCGATATAAATGAATAGAGGATTCTCAGAAGTAGAGCTAGTGAGTTTAAGTGTTGATAAGTAACCTAACCAAATTCAGTCTATATTCCAAGAACAATGCGCTAACAATATAAACATTACACAGGAAAATAATTGTCAAAAAGAGCAAACGCGCGTATCTTTAAATAAAATCCTGTCTCTAGAGTTGCTTTAATAAAGTAAAAGACTATTGTATACATTTAAACTTCAGTCATTTTTAGTTCACTAATTGTGACCGAAAAAGTGACGTGCGCGTGTCGCGACAATTGCCCCTTTACACAGTCACTCTATTGCGCGTGATCAAAAGTGTACAGGATTGCGCGCGCGAAAGTACACACGCGTAATCGTGAGCGAGTGTTCGGTTTTGTTACAACGAAAAGAGCGTCTGTGTAAAGACTGATCGCGCAGGATAGACCGTGAGAAATAGTATAGGGTAGGACATGAAATTAAAATGAGTTTGTTGGGAGTACCTCATTTGAACAAATGAGGCGGTACAATGTCCTACTTTAAATGAGGTGAAGCAGTGGTAGGAATGTTTGCACCTACACTACGGCAATGACTCAACAGACAGGTAATATTAAGCACATTTTCATAACTTGATGGTATTAATCAATTGGATAACTTAAGTGTTATGATACAGTATAAATAAATGCTAATTTTATTTCGTACTACGGTAGTATAATCATATGATGTAAAATCAGCTAAAAAACGGGTAGTGCAGTGTGACATGAGTGAGGCTATGAGATGGGACATTTTTATGACATGAGGTTTTGTGACAAAGTAACCAAGCTAGTGGTACAAACGAGTTGCCCCGTGTATGAGTAACTCAACACTAGTGTGAAACTGGCGCGTGTTGGAGTGCGCGATTGCGCGCGCGACAGACAAGTTCAATTGCGCGGTCTTTCCCTTTTCCTTCCAACATCTTTACACGCACGGTTAATCGCGCATGATTGCTGTATCACGCGCGATAGTGTGTCTGTAAAGCACGCTAATGGCGCTGCAACTGCACTTCTACAAGCATTAATTCCAATAATAAATAATAAAATCCAATTTCCTTAACCTGGTGCACATTAACGCGCAGAGTGTTCCTGCACACATTACTGAATTAAATATGTCATTCAACAACGGCATAGTTGATGGAATCTTAATCTCAGAATCTTGGCTCAAACCCTCTCTACCATCCCCCCTTTTTACACTTAATGGGTATAAATTATATCGAAACGATAGAGTTGGAACTGGTGGTGGAGGTGTATGTATTTACATCAAGAGCCACATACCGTGCTCCGTCGTCAGCCAGTCTCCTAGCACTTATACTGGATCTTTAGAGTATCTATTTCTAGACCTCAACTTACATCACACCAATATCTTAGTTGGTGTTACTTATAGCCCTAGTGTTAATGTAAATTATTTTGACTTATTTGAGACTACCCTTGAATCCTTGAGTGCCTCTTACGAACATGTAATATTGATGGGTGATCTTAATACTTGTTTATTAAAGAATAACTTTCGGTCTTCACGTCTTAACTCCATGGTATCTGCTGTGAACTTTGTATTGCTCCCACTTACTGCCACCCATCATTCTCCTAACTGTCAACCTTCACTTTTAGATGTTCAGATAGTCTCTAAACCTCAATCGGTTCTCCTGCATGGACAAACCACTGCCCCGTTCTCATACCATGACCTCATATATTTGTCTTATCGAGTACGCACTCCCAAACCCAAAATTAAAGTCATTTTTCAGCGTAGCTTTGGTAACATTTCTGTGGATCGCTTGAGAGAGGAATTTTCTAATATTGATTGGTCTGCTTTGATTGAAGCTAGCACAGTAAATGAGAAGATCAAAATTTTTAACAAACACTTAATAAAGTTGTATGATTCTCATGCCCCACTCAGACCAGTACGTGTTAAGCATCTGCCTGCGCCTTGGCTTACACCAGCAATAAAGAAAACCATGAAACGTAGGGACAAGGCCAAGTCGATTCTCAAGAGGTTTCCAAGTGAAGACAATTTGTTTTCTTATAAAAGGCTGCGCAATCTCTGCAATAGACTGTGTCGTGACGAAAAGCGGCGTTACTTCCACTCGTCGATGGAAGGCTTGTCTATGGGTCAAACTTGGAGGTTCCTGAGGTCACTTGGTGTGGGTAAAGATCGTGACTGTACTGTTGACTTGCCTGACCTTAACTCACTCAACAAATACTTCACCAACTCACCATTTACTGTTGCTGACTCTATCAAAGCGGACACGCTCACCTCACTGGGCACTGCTACTCATCCTGATTGTGTACCTTTTTCTTTTCGCGAAATCACTGAGGGGGAAGTTAAGAAGAGTATCCTATCCATAACTTCCAAGGCTGTGGGTGAAGATGGTATTTGCCGCGACATGCTGATACCTATCCTGGATGACGTTGCTTCAATTATCACACACATTTTGAATACTTCTCTTGCAACTAGCGTCTTTCCTAGCGATTGGAAATTAGCTCATGTCATTCCCATCCCTAAATCCGCTACTCCCACGGCTTTCTCCCAATTTCGTCCTATCTCCATCCTACCATTCCTGTCCAAGGTCCTTGAAAGCACAGTTCATAAACAACTTCACTCATATGTCTCTCGTCATGAACTTATAAGTCCGTATCAATCTGGTTTTCGTCCTGGTCACAGTACTGTAACTGCTTTGCTTAACGTCACCGATGATATTCGCCACGCCATGGACAACAGGTTGTTTACCATTATTGTTTTGCTGGACTTCAGCTGTGCTTTCAACTCTGTCGACTATGACATCCTCCTTGCCATTCTCTGCTCTCTTAACATCTCCCCTGCTGCAATTGCTTGGTTTTCGGATTACCTCCGCAATCGCTATCAAAGGATCAGGAATGATGACATTTATTCTGATTGGTCTCCTTTGACTTCAGGGGTGCCACAGGGTGGTGTACTTTCACCTCTTCTCTTCTCGCTGTTCATAAACGAGCTCACTAAATTAATTTCTCCTCCATTCCACTTATACGCAGATGACCTGCAAATTTATAGACATTTTGATGGAGCCAATACCCAATCTGCCATTGAATCTATTAATAAGGATCTTCTTGTGGTGAAGTCTTGGGCTGATGCGTTTGGTTTGCTTGTAAACCCTAGGAAATCACAGGCAATAATTGTAGGTAGCAACAGACTTTACTGCAGGTTGGACATTAATAATCTCCCCAAGGTCTCGTATGATGGAGTGAGTCTTACATATGCTGAAAATACAAAGAACCTGGGTCTGATAATCGACCGTACACTGTCCTGGAGACCACAGGTAAATGAGGTTAGTCGACGCATGCACTTTTCCTATCATTCTCTCAAGCGGCTTCAATTCTTCTTACCGTTCAACACCAAGGTTATGCTTGCTCAGTCCCTACTACTCCCTCTTCTCGACTATGCCGATGTTTGTTATTTGGATGTTACTGAGGAGCTGCTTAACAAACTAGAGCGCCTACAAAATCTGGCAATCCGTTTCATATTCGGTTTACGTAAATATGACCATATCTCTGAATTTCGGACTAAATTGAAATGGCTCCCAATCCGACTTCGCCGAGATATGCACGTTCTTTGTCTTCTTTATAAAATTTTAAATTACCCCCAGCTTCCTCATTATCTGTGTTCCCGTTTTTCCCCCTTATCCCCCAATTCCCGCCCAAAACGTACCTGTGACACTAGAACACTTTTATATCCCCAATCCAACTCCAAATTCTTTCACAATTCTTTTACCGTAAGTGCAGCTCGTATGTGGAATAAACTACCTGCTAACATTCGTGATAGTCCATCGGTGGCATCTTTCAAACACAAATTAAAAGAGCACTTCCTGTCGAACGCGTTAGATAGTTTATAGGTAACATATTTGTAAACAAATGATCTGTTATTATAATATATATTCTGCTTATGTATGTATTTATGTATATAAAGTTCGTGTATGTGCATATGTATGTATATTATTATCATTTATATTTTATTCACATTTAAATTTAAATTTTGTTGTACATTAATTAGTCCCGCAGACTTCATTTTTGCACCACGGCTAGGGTTGGCTGGAAGAGATCTCTTATAGAGATAAGCTCACCTTTGTATATGTCCATTGTAACGTGTGTTTCATGTGTCTTTTCTTTGTACAATAAAGAATATTATAATTTGAGGGCCTTTTATGTAGAGTCCTAAAGTACAGATACAACAACACAAGATCCAACAGTCGATACAAAAAGGAAAAAGCTTAATAAAATAACCAAAAGTACGTACTTGTTTTGTTGAGCAATGATATCGTCCTCAGTCTTAGTATTTCCTAAATTCACCCAGAAGACAACGCCATTGAAGTTAGTAGTGATGAGATTTGGGTTGGCCCGTAGTACACTGGTCACAATAGATGTCTTTCCAGAACCTGACATGCCGTGGAGCACAAGGAAGTTATGTCTTGTTAGGAGGTTCAGTTTTTCTGCTACTTTTTCTTCCTGGAAATGGACAATAATTTATAACATATATATTTTGTTTTCTTTGGATTTCTATAAGGACCTGTAGGGTGTGGAGCGCTGGACTGACTTTTGCGATTGGATTATACTTCAGCTGGTGATCGTAACGACGAGAATAAACAAAAGCAAAGAAAAAAAAAGCATTTTTTCTGTTCAATACAATTTTTTTCTAAAATGTTATATAAAAATTTCTTCCAGGCATATAAGAGTTAATCGAGTACCTGATACAATTCACATATTTCATTTTAGTAGCAGTAGAGCTCCTTGTGAAAGAGTTCATCCAGGGAAATACTGCCACCCTACTAATTTCTTCCGCCAAGCAGTAATGTGAGCATTACCGTGTTTCGGTTTTAAAGGGTTAAAGAGTGCTGGTGAAATTATAGGCACATGGGACTTGTCAAGTTATGTCCCAGGATGACAGGCGCAGTGACAGTGCCTCTCAGATCTTTGTGTATAAAGTTCTGAGTGGCACAGCATCTGTAAAGACAGGCGTGTCACTCACCACCAGGCGCAAGATCGTCCCGTTACTTGGTATCATAAAAAAAAATCAGAAGGGTTACCTTCCATAATAATATGTTATACATATATCTTAAATAATTTTATTTATGTGACTTCTCTAACGAATTTGGTTTTTGCCTGTAATGTTAGTGTTAAGTGGTATGTAAAGTCATTCGAAATGACAGTATTTTTTCGGCTACAAATCGCGTGTGTTTGTCGTTTGAAACAAATGTTTCGGACCATTTACAGGTCATATGTGTGATGCTGGCTGAATAAACGTTTCTTTCTTTCTTTCTTTCTTTCTATATTATGGTCACGGCTGACTGATACAGTAGTCATCAACCCGTTACGTCTAATATGAATGCAAACCACCCCATTTCTCTTTATTAGTAGACATTAAGAAACGTCGTAATATAATATCTAAACATCTAGGTACTTGTAATATATTTCGAATAAGGTTGTTGATGGTAATAATAGTTTTGAAAAGAACTTGAGCTCATGAATTTGTAGCATGCCCGTTCTTAATGTTGATGATATATATTCAAATCTGTGTTCAATATAACTGTTATGGTGCGTGCACAAAATTCAGACCAATATGATGAGATCATCGTAATAATGTACCTACTGTTAAAACAAACTATAAATATAAGTTGGTAATAATCAATCGCCCACATGGGTTCAGTAACCGTAGTTTTCTACGCGTCTATTATTGTCTGAATCATTTTTGTCTAACAAAATTGTTTTAACGCATGATAAAATAATACACTTTAGTTGAGTGAGTACTAAGCTTATGTGATTTTCGATCGATTGTTAACCATAATTGCAGACGAAATGCAAAAAGTATACTTAATTTTATATTGTGTATAAAACAGAATAGTCTAATTATTTCGCTCAACATTTCAACTGCACTAATAAAATTAACAAAAGATACATGATTTTGGAAGGCAATTTTACCAGCTGAGAGACTAATGATCACTCTTAGATTTTTAGCTACAGGTATGTGTTTTTTAAGTTCTCGACTTATCGTTTCACAATGATAAGTTGCGGTAGAATTCCGTGAACTAAATTTGAGCACGTTTAGAATTGTAATTTTTCAGTTGAAGTCGTGAGTGTAGTCGTAACTTCTTACAATTAGTGGCAGTTTCCACCAATACAACAAGTGTTTAATATTTGCACATTTACCGTAAGTTACTTACGTGAGTAAAATTTACAAATGAAAGGCGAACTAACAATGATTATTTTTATTGCAAACATTTGTTTTTTGACTCTTAGAAGTAATATTCCGACTATGTCCTACAGGAAACCGAGTGGAGGCTTAAAAACAGCATTACACCTTGCATAAAACATCTAAGGTTAAACCTTGTGGTGTACTAAAATGGTCCACATGAACACATGTGCATTAGGTAAGAATTTTTATAACATACGGTGGCAATGAATAAATGAATATAAAAACTACAATCGCCGTTTAACATCAAAGAACATGTTTCAACCCTGTCTTTTTCATTGGCATATTGGTATAAGAAACCCGAGTAGCTGTTCGAAGCGCTGCGAGCGAAGCTGTCTTGGCATGTATCAAATTGCGCAATCTACGAACAGAATTACTTGGCTGTTACTGTACCGACATTCATGAAATTTGAGACTAGCAAAAAAATCCATAACTCTAAAAATTTTTCATTTTTATTTGTGACTTGAGATAATTGAGGTCATAAGTGGAAAAATACTAAAATGTACAATTTAGTGCGCGGTCACGTGCAGAACTGGGTAGAAAGAAAAATTAATGACGATCTCGATGGCCTAACGGTTTGCACTACGGGTGTTGGATGTGGAGGTCCCGGTTCGATTACCGGTAGGACCAATTTTGGAAACAAACTTATATAAATTGGTTCCAGACTGGGTGTTCTGGGCAGTGCCCTGGAGTGATTTTCGTTACTCTGGTACTCATAATACAGGGTATTAGCTTGGTACTGTAGTCTAGGCTCTACTCTATGAGCAGAATCACTGGCTGAGTGAATAGATTCATAATTAGAATGCTTTGAAAATGAACTAAGAGAAAAGTATGGAGCATCTTGACATTATTGATTTGTAACCCAAAAACGAGTAACATGTAAAAAAGTGAAATAAAGTATATTTTTAAAGATTATTCCAGTTTATATTCATAAAAGTACCTCTCGCTATGCATTAGAGCTATACCCCTCAGTACAAGTGGTATAGCTCTAATGCATAGCGAGAGGTACATTTGGTAGAGGAGACAGCGCGAGATTTTGGTGCGGTTATGGTGCATACTACGGCATTCAATGCGAAGTGCAATGGTTTGTGTGAGAGATTTAATAGGACGCTGTTAGGAATGTTAGCAAAATATATAGGAGGCGAACAAAGGAATTGGTGTAGCATGTTACCATTGGTGTGTTTTGATTACAATTCTAGTAAACATAGCAGTACCGGGGTGTCACCATTTATGATTTTGTTCGGTAGAGAATCCTTATGTGCGTCAGATATAGAATTGGGGATTAATTATGTCAATGTTGCGGAGAGCTTGCAAGATAAAATTGCAAAACAAGCTGCGTTGATCGATGTTGAGGAACGAATAGTGAGGGCGCAGATAAAACAGAAGCGAAATTATGATAAAAAAGCAAAAATAGTTGTATATCAGCCAGGGGACTTGGTAATGTTATATTGTCCAAGGAGAGTTTCCAATAAAAGTGTGAAATTAGCTAGATTATTTAAAGGGCCATATAGGGTAGTAGACCGATTAAGTAGGGTTAATTATATTGTGAGAAAAGTAGGTGTAAATAGGAATAGATCGGGTAGGCAGGATCTAGTCCATCTTAATAGAAAGAAAAAGTTTTATAGAAGATAATTTAATGTTTTCTTGGTTTCTATTAGGTTAATTAATATTTTTTATTTATTTTTCATGTGGAACCACAATGAGATTATCCAGCAATGATTGATGATTTTCCAGCAATGCAGACTTGGAAGGACGGGAGGAGAAGATATTCTATCAAACAGATAAAACTTATTTCTTATTTTTTATATTTTTTAAATTTGATAGATATATTGTCCTGTATATGCGCATAGTTCGTGCTCACCCTCCCAGTTGAACAAGGACTGTCTGCATTCGGGGAAAATATATTTATTTAATTAATTAGGCGTCTTTCATATGGGATACCCCCATCCCATATGTATGTTAGGATATGTTGTTAGGGTTATATGTGTGTTGGTTCTTGTTTGTTTAGAGAAAGTGAGAAAAGCTGATGGAACGTGATAGCTGCAGGATGAGGACTAAGGCAGCTGGGAGATCAATAGTGATGTAACCCAGTGATCGTCCGATGGATGTTCAAGCCTGTGTCGTCGGTGTGGCAGCATGCACGTTTATATTCATAAAAGTACCTCTCGCTATGCATTAGAGCTATACCCCTCAGTACAGTACTACTTTGAGACCTGCTAATCGGTGTAGTTGTTAGGCACATTAGATTATGTTGCATATTACATAAATAAAAATAAGAAGTAAGACTGTTGCATTTCGGTGAGAAATCGACATTATACGCATAGTATTTCACAAGTATATTCTGTATTTATATGCATGTGATAAATAGTGCCCTACTTATTTATATATTTATTTTTAAGCAATGACTCGTTCCCCAGATGATTAAAAGGACATCAAAAAATTATTATCTTGTCTTTTGCGAATTGTACGGATTGGCATAACGATCAAGTAACAAAATATCGACGTGAGAATATGACTCATTGTTTGTTTAACAAACGAGACTAAATAGTACTCTACAACGTTTATCGAAGTACATATTGCTTCTCTCTTCTCCTTGTCGTAACTTTTTGTCGTAAATGTGCTAGATGTACGACCTTACTAAGCTTTCAAAAGCGAACATTCTCTGCTAATCGTATTTTATTCGTAACCGTTTTTATTCGTGATTACAAATAATTGATAATGTTAGTAGAGATTTAACGGCTTTGGCATAAAGCTACAGCACATATTCTTCTTCATTTCTTTTCTTCGTTTAGGTTTCACTTTTCAATTTTCATATGGTATCAAAAGTGGTAATGATGTAATTGTAAATAGTCTCCTAATGTAAATGAAACCAAAAATATCATTGAACGAGTTTCACACGAGCAATGGTTCAAGATGTAAAGTGGTAAACCAAAAATATACACCTACAAAAATTATTTGTCTCGTTCGTCAAGTGAGGTGCATTTATTTACTTTTACGTGACATGACACAGGCTGAGATGAACGAACTTTGATTATGACTAAATTTTTCGCATTTACGAAACGAACTTTGCTACGTTTAAGCGAGAAATTTAATTAAATTTTGAGTTACTCTCTCAACTCAGACAAAGTACGTTATATAAATCTCAGCCATAGATACAATGAAATACAAACCACAGTGGCTTACGTATTATATATAAAGTTTGAATCAAACTCCTATCGCTTAAATCTAATATAACCATAATTATAATTAATTACCCAACATAATAAATAATAGGTACCATGTGTTAATAAAACAAATGTTTTAAGCAAAACGTTTATCTACGCGGTAGTGTAACCTGGCCAGTGGCTTTCTAAGCCTTAACAAAACAAATACTAATGACCTGTCTTTTTCACTCCAGTGATAAAATGTCTATATTTGGTATTGTTTTTACACGCCAAATGAATGGCAAAGGTGAGAAAAATCGAGTTATGACAGAGTTAGAGAAATTAGCAACGGACACGTGTGAGAGAGAATGGTAAATTGACAGCTGCATCCCAGTCGGGAGTTAACGAATCCAAATAAAAAGACTGGAATACGACCATAGTAATATGACACTGTGAAAGTAACATTTAAATATAGCAGGATTACAATGTCAGCTCATTTTTAAATGGACAATTTAGGAGTACTGTAATGCTCAATTTACAATTTTTGTAAAGGAATTTGTACATATCATAATGAATTTTATGTAAATTGTGTACAAGCTAACAAAACGCGTGACCTGTTTTTTGGTTCTTATCTACAGACCTACCGCTTAACTGAGTATGTTCCTGTGGTAGCTGCGCGGTGCGGGAGGAGTGACAGTTTACGTAACTTATGTCGCGCTGCACACGGGATAATTTCAACTAGATTTTTCTAACGATATTCAATAGCAAGTTAATCGCAAAAAGGGCCTACCAAATTAGTCAATTATTGTTACGTGAAACGATAACAAAAAAGCTATTTCATTGATAAAAGAAATGAATAGACAAGTCATTTGGCACTATTTTCAATCAACTTGTTATTGAATATCGTCAGAAAAACCTTGTTGAAATTATACCGTGTGCAGCGCGTCGTCTGTTACGTAAACTGTCACTTCTTCCGCACCGCGCAGCTACCTCAGGAACCGACTCAATAAATGGTAGCCTACAGTTTGTCCGTTACACAATTGACATAAAGCTCATTACGCTATGGTAATAAAAATTCGTTTCTATTCCGTTCCGCGGCAAAGTAAATTGAATCTAAAATTGAGATATTTATTTCTAAACGATATTTTGGTTGGATAGATATTTGTTTTGTTTTTAATTAATCATCCTATCACCTTTGGGGTCCCTCAGGGAAGAATTCTGGGTCCTTCTCTTTTCCTGGTGTATATTGATGACCTTTGTAATTTACAACTTCAAAACTGTAAAATTTTCTCATATGCTGATGACACTGCACTGATATTCACCGGGGTAAATTGGGATGAAGTTTATCAATCCGCTCAGTCGAGCTTTGACGTGGTGAGGGAGTGGCTAGAAGACAATCTGCTCACACTTAATGTGGACAAGACTAGAGTGGTGCCTTTTTCTATACGTAACCATACTCTACTGCAAAACTAACTTAAGTTTGCCGTTATCTCCACCCAGGTGCTGCATCAGGAATCTGAGGCTGTCGTTTTGAAAACTGTCAATAGCATAAAATAACTTGGTTTGCTACTTGACTTTACACTCAACTTTAGACAATACATACATCTACTGTCAGCGCGCATCCGTAAGCTAATTTATATTTTTAAATGTCTTCGTCATGTGGCAGACGCCAACATCATGAAAATGGTGTATCTTGCTCTAGTACAAAGTTTACTAACCTATTGCATTACTAGTTGGGCTCCTAAAGGTAATTTTATTCTTATAGAAAGAGCGCAAAGAGCTTTACTAAAGGTTGCCTGTTTCAAACCCTACCGGTTCCCAACGAGAGATCTTTGCTCTTTCTGTCAAGTTCTAACTGTTAGACAGTTATTCGTTCTCTGGACTGTATTGAAGCAACATTCCCTCACTCCATACGACAGCGCCTCTAATAGACGACATTGCATAGTGGCTACTTCTGACCGTCTCAGGACTGCCTTCACTCATAGATTTTTCTGTTTCGTGGGATGTTTTCTGTACAATGCACTCCACCGTGAACTAAACATCTTTCAACTAAATAAGTTCGAATGTAAAAAGAAATTGGCAAACTGGCTGCAAGGATTCAATTACGAGGAAACTGAAGCTTTGCTTCATCCGATTGCATGACTCAAGGACCTATTTATTTATTTATTTTTGGAGCTTTGGGTAGAGTAGGATCTCTATATGTATATATATATCCGTAACTACGCACACGCGCGCACGCACACATACACAAACACACACATAATACAACACGCACTCATAGTCAAATATCTTTAACGTGCAAAAAAGTTTTTAAATTTAATTTTAATTTAAGTTTGAGCTTTTAGGTGTATATAGTTCAATAATATCAAATGTATTTTTTCACTATTTAAATGTTTTTCCTTTATAAATAATTAATCTTAGTAATACCTTAAGATTGTCATGTGTCATTTCAAGGGTGACAGCCTGGTGACTTGTAGTACAGGCGTTAAGCCTTTAACAAGCACCAGCTCCCAAAAATAAGTTATTGCATGTATCTTAAATTACTAAGAACTATATATGTACGTATTTTTGTGGAGGAATAAACGTTATTATTATTATCATCCTGTAATAATATTTGTTTATGCTCTTACGTAGAAGTAGGTCTTACGGAAGATGTTATACATTACAGTGTTTGTCGGGCAATTTTAAGATTAATTTTCTCTAACTAATTTCGGTGGCAAATTTTATATATTTAAGTATTCGAGTAAATTATCGTGAAAAAATAAATAATATTCCAGATTATTACACTCGAATATTAAATAATACTTTTAATAATATTCTACAATCATTAAATAACAGAAATTGCCACCGTAATTAAGTAGAGAAAACTAACCTGAAAATTACCCTGTCGTGTTTTTCGGCAGATCTTTACCAAGACCATACTCTTCGCCACTATTGTACATGCCATAATGCATACAACAGATATACGCTTATCTATTCCAGATACTTTAGACAGTTATTTATTAAAAGTAATTTTGTAAATAAGAAAGAATAGTATACAAACTTACCACAGCCATTCTCCTAACATAATGATCCGGTAGTCGCGGCACGTCGCCTCTGCTGAGACTGTCTTCAAAGCTATCATGCAACATCGGTTCGTTGTTTTCTACAGCCAGTTTCTCCCATAACCACCTGTAATCCTTAGACAGACTGTCTACAAACGCTTCGTAAACTTCATTGGTACCATTTTGAAGGATTACATCAATTAGATAACGGACTTTTTCTATGCGACCCGGCTGAAAATTAAAGATAGAATAAAATTAGCCAAACCGTGAGATAGAGATAGATAAGCTCCCTATCTCTCCCCGGATAAACACCCCAGAATTGTAAGTATTACATTTTTCATATACATACGTATAAGTTGCGGAATAAATATATTAATAAAAAAAATACAACTCACTGCTGCTTATTAGGGGCTCTATCATTTAATCGACTATGTACTATATTTGACGACCTCAGTGGTTCATTGGTTTTCACTGTAGGCAACTGGACCAGGAGGTCCCAGGCCCGATTCACGGTAGGACTAATTTGGGAAATGAATAAATTGTTTCTGGTCTGGTTAATCTGGTTACTCAGAGTACAGGGAATTTTCTAGTTTGAGACGAGGTAATTGGTCTGGTTGTCTGGCACATTGTTAATATTATTTGATATCCTCAAGGCATCAAAATTATTATATTACAATAAAATTGTAATATCAGGTATACACGCAAAGAAAGTATTTTTTAAAACGTTGGTTGAATCAGTTTCTGGCGAAATTCGTTAATCAAAAAGTTATTATAAAATGTATAGGTATTTGAATTTTGAAATAGTACCAAGGTGTAAATGTGGTCGAAATCTGCAGTCGAGATAGCGTTTTTGGTGAAGAGTTCGTCTAGTATGTAAGTGACGTCGAGGTCTTCAATGATGTCCTGCTGGTGCCTCTGCAGCAGTATCCTACTCTTGATGTCCATCTTGGAGGGATAGAGGGCATCTGGAACAATGGCATGGAACTACATTAACAGGCGGCACTAGCATTCAGTACAGACGAACACTCGAATTGGTATCAACTATGATATTTTTTGTAATGTCAACTTTAAAAACAGTGTTTACATTTTCTTGGTATGTCAAATGTTTCATATACACTTGTAGGGTTTCGAGTGTATGATTTCAAAAACAATTTACCGTGTCATTTTTAAAACTACAACCGAAAATCACATAATTAAACACACGTGTCACGTATTACATACAGCATGCACTACAATATATACAAATTACAACAATCCGTACACAAATAGCTAGCGTTCGAAAAAATGCCACGACTTCCTTCCCTGTTTCACTTCGACTACAGTAATTCAAACGGTAATAAGTCTGATGTAACAATTGAAAGAATCGCACACAAAATGAGGTAGTAAAAACAGTCAGACACTACCGAACTGATTCAATTTAGCATTCCAACTGAGTCTTGCGGCCTTGCTGATTAGTGCCACCTACATAAGACGATACGTAAACAGCCGAAAAGCGAAACAACCATGTCGTTGACCGATCAGATTGTCAAGGCCGCGACATTGGGTTACCCAGACTGCTATTGAGCAAAATTGCTTAAAATTTGGCTGGGTCGGAGAGTGTTAAAATATATCAATTGACGCGAATGAACTACTGCTGTAAGCAGTACAAATAACGCTCGTCAAGGGGCAATCATGACACAAACCCATATAGGTTAGTAGGTACAGAAAACAAACGAGAAGCTTCGGAACAAAAACTGATAAATTTCGAATTCTAATTTCGTCGCTTTGATTTGCCCAACCTAGTATATTTGGACTGGTTGTTATGACTTCTTCTCACGCGAGCCATAAACGATACAACTGTTTTTTCGTATTATTGTATACTTTGCATCAATCAACTAACATCACACAAATGTTATCCGTATCACATAAATATCGTTTTTTTTGTACAAACTACGAAAGATCAAAATGACCGTTAACGATCTACAGAAGTTTTCTTGTAAACCAGCTACATATTGTTAATACTACAGTAATTCTTCTTTTGCTTCTTTCCATTATTAATTGGATTCCCTACAACTTCTGGGTCTGGCGGTTACGTTATCAAATCAAACAAATACGATCAGGAAAGAAGTCCAATCCAATCAACAATTATTGATAGAATTGTCAGTTCTACCTTAATCGCGAATCAGAGCGTCGGAAATATGATAAATATCTGTTTTTTATGTAGAGGCCAAAGTCCAGCAGGACAATATTAGTTTGACGTGTGGACAGGCTTTAAAACTTCGTCATCGCCGAAACAAGTACAGTATTATAAACAAAAGATACACCAATTCTTTGGTTTACAAATTGGGTTCCACATTTGACTGCGTTAAGTTATTAAAGAACCTTGACAGTGTTAATTCCTACTTATGTTGAAATTAACGTAAGGGAGAACATTGATAAAATTCGAATTATATAATATTAATTGTAAGTAAAAAGATGAAATTACGGATAATGACTGGCAGCAAACGTTAACTGATTGTACGAGTTACCTAAATTATACGTACGCCTTTATCAGTGCATTTCAAGTGACTCATTACTGTTTGTGAAGGTAGACTGTCATTAGCAGGTATGATGCGTTCCAGATGTGCAATTGCCCTAAAAAGGTACTTAATGATGCCCTTAATGTTGCTGTACACAAATAAAGCACAATGGCAATCGTTCGTGTCCTCGCATTGCAAAAAAATTATACGACGTGACTCAATCCCTGTTTATATAAAATAGGAATTACTCAAAGATATACTTCGACTAATTCTTTAAAGAGTTCTACTACATTTGAATTTCACTTTTTGTCCTCGAAATTGAAACATTATGGAAATCTATTCCAAGAAGTTTTAATGAAGGTTACACCTTAGACTAGGTCAAGGAATGTATGCAGAAGACGATTTGTTCACTGCATTAAGGGTAAGAGTTCTTATGTGTACATTATGCAGCACGTGTATATGTTACCAGTGCAAACGTTGATGTGAAGTAAAGGCTTTTATTTTGAGGAAGCTTGTATTCCACATTGAGACTTGAGAGTACTAATTATAAAAATAGACAATACACGCTATGAATCATCCAAACGAGTTTGTTCAGTAAATTAGTACATTGCAAAACGAGACAGAAAGGACAAGCTATCTTAGAGGGGAGGGTACACAATCGGAGGAAGACACTACAATTTTGATTTTAAACCGACTGTACCTGTAAAAATGGTGCCATAAAGAATTAAGTATGTACGCAATGCACTAACATGAACCAAAACAAGATACTTTGAATCAATGTGCATTTGGTCAATTAATTGGACCTTGCTTGCACGGACTGGTATCAAATTACTTTCTTATTTGTCTAGGTTCATCACACATATCTTTATATGTCAAGGTTTCTTTATAAATAATAATAATTACTTATCAATTTGACAGGAAGTTGTGGTTGCAATGTGATAAGTAAACAGCGCGCTTTCGGACGCCATTGTAAACGTGATTCGTAATCGGAAAGAGCAAATATTCGTTATCGTATATTCGTCGTCGTATTCGTCGAGGGCTTGTTTGTAAATTTATTATCTTTTTTTAGTGAAAAGAGTTACATACACAGATCGAATAAGTTTTTTACAATAATGGAAGTAAGTTACCATGCTTCTCCGAGAACCGTAAGGTAAGGAGTGGCAAGGCAGCTTACTTCCATATTTTTTAATATGGATTTCCGCAAAGTAACGCTTGAATCTATAAAACATCTGAAGTGTTTTACCTTTTTCATCTGGTATGGTTATTCTTTATGAAAAAAGTATAGATGTAACTGGTTGTTACTACATTGTAATAAAACAATGCTATCATTTTTATAAACTTCTGTTATAAACGGTTTTCATTGTTTTATTAGTTACATTTTTCAAAATTACGATTGTGTTATTTTTATTGCTAGTTATTATTATTATCAAACCCTTGAAATACTACATCAGACAGGTAGTTACAATAATCTCTCAATTTTTCAAATAAGAACTAAACATTCCTGACACAGTGATTCTTTTCTGGAAAAAATATATTGTAAAGTGATTAAAAGAATAACTATTTTAAGCAGTATTTGAAGAAGAATATAATCCAATAGCAACACCTGTATGCTGCCACGAAGCTTCGACGACTCAAGACAATGTATTAGATGTAGTAGTAGATTTGGTCAGTACGTTTTCTGTATATCCTAAGAACTTGATAAACAGGCAAATTGTGATTTAGAATGGCGTCTTAACTACCGGGTGAAGAAATCTGAGGGTTTTAATTAAATATGTAGTTGTTTTTTAACCCTTCAACAAACGCGAGTCTCGATGGCGTACATGTATACGACTTATTGCAGTTTCCCTGGTAATTAGGCTCGTCGACGCCATTTCATTTGTAGTTTTTTTTTTTAAAGTAACATCACGTTTTCTTTTGGTGGTAGATATTTTATCATTATACATTTAGAATTTGAGAACTGAAAAAAAGAAGGTGGTAAATAAATTTATGTTTATTTGATTAAGGGTTATGTTTTTTTTAATTTACTCTTACATATCGAGTTATTAGGTTTTCGCGATGGATGCCACAATGAAAATGAAACTATTTGTGACAATGAGACTTGTAAAGGCTTTGTAAAGGACACGAAACGCGGGTTTGTTTGAAAAAAAACCAAACATACAATCTCAAATTTATCAGATTTACTCTAGTACCTAACAAATTATTATTCATATTTTATTTATTATTCTTTGTCTTATTTGAGACTATCAGTAGCATGTCTGACATTGTCTTCTTACTTTGGGTTAAAATACGCATAATCACTGAACTTGAAACGCAATAAAGTATATAAAAATCACTGCAAATATTCCGTGATTTGTCACGATATGAATAAACGTGTCATGCTAAGTATGTAAGTAGATATGTTATTGATAAAAAGATAATCCAATTACTTGCAGTAACGGTCATAGTTACAAAACAAGAATCAGTAATATTTATATTGAAACTGGTCACGAAGCACAGTTAGTTAGAAAAATTTAATTACCTTAATCATGTTGCAAATGGTTACATATAAAGAAATAAACAATAATGTTCATTTCCTTATTTATAAGTGGTTGCGCAACACGGTTACGTTCAAAGGACAAAGCAAGTCCAATAATTGCTTTTTTTAAAAATCTCGCAATTCATGTTACATTGAAGTATCAGTCTTAATTTGTGGTAGGTATCGACTTAAAAAAGTCAAATGGCGTCATAAGTCAGTCAATTCTATACAATATTTTCATATAACTTAATATACATTTGACTACCTTAATGGCCCTATGGTTTGCACAATGGGCGGTGTATCAAGGGGTCCCGGGATTGATTCCCGGCAGGATCAAATTGGGTAAATGAAGTATCCTAATTAGTACTGGTGTGGGTGTTCTAGATAGTAGGTACTTTGGAATGAATTCCATTACTCTCTAGTTTGAGAACGGGGTAATTGGAGTGCTTGTCTGGCATGTTATTATTATTTACTAAGTCAATTGAACCATTTTCCAAAAATATCAACAACTTGAAATGCTCATAAATATGAAGAATATTTTATTTATTAATTAATTTATGAATTAAAGTATAGTGGATGAAGTTCTTAATGTAAAATTATTCAAGTCCACTTTGATGCTCGAAAAAAATTTATAATATACCCAATTTAATTATTTTTTTCCTGAAGTACAATTTTCCAGCTGCCCATGGTCGCGCCATCGAACAAAGGTCTTTAACTTGTAGGGAATTTCTAAACTACACTGCAAGTCTTCACTGGACGATAAATGCACTTCAAATGGAACAAGTTAGTATAGAAAGTCCATTCTTATTAAATCAATTTATGAAAACTCAGGTAAATATGACCCCAATACTGCATGGGCAGCAAAAAGTGGTCAACTTGATTGTTCTTGTTTAAACTTGTCAAATAATCTTTTTCCTGGCAATTATTAACCACAGGCTTTATAAAGTGTAAAATGCAATAGTAAAAAGACAAAGAACTTGATGATTCATTGATTGTTGACAATGCTTATATAATAACTTATGAGATAAATTACGTATTTACAAATCGGGATAAACTAATCCATTAACATTATAAATAGCCATTTGAAAATAAAAAAAGTGTAGAAAACCTCTTCTACACTTCAATTTCCCTGGGTATTAAATTAAAACTATAACTTAACAACAAAAAAGGTTATACCAACAAGCAGCAGCATGAACCACACGCAATATCTTCTTCAGCCATTTCCTTATTGAATTCATGTGATCATTATTCAATTGGCTTTGATTCAAGCGATTGACCACTTTGATTGATCATTTCGATAAACATGGAGAAGCCATTTTTGGGTCAGACTTTTATAAGATGTTCAATGTTGTTTACTGTCTACGTTACTTCTCCTTTATACTTATAAGTATTATTTTTATTATTTTAGCATTAAAGGTCTGCAAATACTTTACCGCTCCGCCCTGGCTTTCTTTGGCTTATATTACATATTATTATTAGGGTGGTTTCATTCAGGGCCTATGCAGCCCCACATCACTGCGACCATTAAATTGATCTATTGTGATCACCACTAATTACAGTTCGGAGCCAAAGCCAACAGCATTAAAGAACTAAAGGATTTTCTTGGCTTGACAGTTTTCATGTACTCTTTAGTCTGTGTCTTCCCATTGTGGAACTACATACACCCTTACTTTATATATTAACTCCAGTTGCTGGATTATTCCAGCAACTGTATTATTACTTAAAGTCCACTTTTGAATAAATAATTTGTATTGACTCAGGGCACAGTTCTGTAGTCTGTACAGACATTCAGTGAAGTCATATAATACAATTACTAAAAAGGAGATATGGTATTATATTATGGTATTATCCCCATTATACTGGGAAAAATAATTATTTTCCAAAATATTGACTTTGACATAAATGTAAACAAATACCATGGTCATCCACGTTAATGTGTAACAGATGATTGCACATTGTACACTTAGCCGAAATTAATATTTGCATTTTACATTTATAAGCACTTATGTCGCATTTCGCTGATAATTAGTTTTCATAGTATAACGAAGATATATTGTATGGTACAGTGGATTGGTTTCTACAATTCAATTGTGTAAATTTGCATGACAACCTCGAGATAATATGTAAGAAATTAAATTATATTACTAAAAAGACATAGGGATACCGTAAAAACCTGTCCATGAACTATGGCCTACGAATTTGACTCTTGTGATGTCCCCAACTTATCTCCAAGGATCTGTGGCTTACATTTGCAAGTAACACGTTCCAGAGCCATTGTTACTGTGATAATAGATTGGGGGTGCATATTAAAGTATTATAGTGCCATTTATATCATTAGATTTTCTTTATTTCTGCTAAGAATACAATATGAGTAGATGGGAATATAATTGGTTTGCTATTGGCCATCCTTGAAACTAAGACAAGTAATTACTTGAACTATGAGTCTTGTGCATTTTAATAAACAATGTGAGTAATGGGATAAAAAAGTTTAAATAGACTGACAACATGTCTGGTGTCATACTGGTGTCCCCCGAGCTTGGTAAGGTAATGTATGTTAGGTACGAGTTATTGTACATTGTAGAATTGAATTTTGTACAAAAAAGTGGTAGGCAGGCATATACATCTTTAAACTTAAAACAGAGCTGATATGTGAAAGTTTAATGTGCAATTGTAACATGTAATCAGTCAGAATGAATTAGCTAATGATTTATTCATCAATAACCTTTCATGAATTCCTGGTTATGTTCATTCAAGTAGCAAGTACAGTAAAGTAACTGGTTAAAAGTATTTTTTTAAATATAACATGTAAGGAAGATACCATGGTGAAATTTCCGAGATACAAGGCCGTATCGAGTATGAGCTTACAAAGCTTTGTGTGGAAGATTAATATCACGCTTGTTTCAAAAGAAATCGGAGAGAAATATTGTATTAACTTCTATAGCGTGTAGATTTGTTAATTTATACAAATTCGCATATAGTAAGTGATATTTCGCTTAATGCATTATGTATAGTTGCAATTAACCGTTCAAAGTTTTAAACAAAAAAGCTCAACTTACCCCTTTCGTAAACAAACGATACTAGGAATATGGGAGCTTCTTAGAGAGCGACGTGAACATTTTCAATATATGTGTCATGAAAATTACAACGTTTCACATAAATACTGCGAAAACTTAATGTCTCAAAATAACAAAGCAAACAAACAAGTGCATTTACTCGATCGCACGTTCAACGAAAGTGCATTCCTTTGTTTTTATTTCCAACTACTGCTGCATTGTACCTAAGAACTAGGAACTTTATTGGTCATAACGAAATATTGCTGCGCTATGATTGGTGGATCTGTGGTATACCATTTGACAGTGTTACTTTATGAACTCATCAGTAACTCATTTGTTTGTTGGCGTCGTTTGGTGTATTGTCCTCTTTCTGTTTGGCTTCAAATAAGAGAGACGGAGAGTATATATAGGAAACGAATACATAGTGAGATTATTATTAATAGTTGAAAACTGGCGTCGCTTGTCAAAAACAAAATACAGAGAAAAAATATGTGCATGGAAAACAAATTAATAGAGTTGGAACTTTTGGTGAAGCTTTACGATTAATGTACCGGTTTTTTGTTTAGGTTCATAAAAGTGTTTAATCTTAGGTTATTTATTGAAGAGTAACTCAAACTATTAAGATAAAAAGTCGATGTTCAACAAGGAAGACCGCGCAGCTGCTGCTGTACATTGGGTTCTCTACTATGGAAGATAAACTTTCACTTTTATGTTTTCGCTCTAGGCCTTTTGGAGGGAAAAGTGTGGTTTTTATTTTAACTTTCAATTATTTTGTGAAATCTAGTTTAAAGTGGAATAGGATAGTGCTAATGTGCCTTAATCGAAGATTAAAACGCGAAATTATACGAATCTCGAACTAAAATACCCGTATCGGCCCGTTCTAAGGAATTCCGAGTCAATCCAAGCACGCCGCCTCAAATTGCCTATTCTCTTTGTGGCGGCCATATTTACTGAAACATAATTAAACGAAGACATGGCTCAAAGGACTTGTATCCAAGCCAAAACTATTAATAAAAAAATATCACTTTTATGTGTATGACGTAAGGTAATTACAATTTTAAAGAGTTTATTTATGGCCCTTTCTAATTTGCCACTAAATTACTAAATATCACATTGCATAGTGCCTGCAACTTTGGTTATCGCAAATCGTCTTTGCGGCAATTAATAGTTATTCATCAGGGAATGCAATAATTGTAACTTTTTCGTTGAAAAAAAATCAACCTCAAAAGTTTGCTCGGCTTTTTCGATTTCCATGGGATCTTCTCATCAGATTCTGACTTCTTGGTGACAATGAATGGGACTGTTACGAACTCCTTTGCACGTTTTATATTTTCTTTTCTGGTTGTCATGGTAACGATTTTGGTAATTGATTACATGTATTGTGTCAAGTGAAAAGTCGACTTTTATTTCCGGAAAATAATTAGTAATTTGTGATAGCCGAAACGAACCTAGAACAGCATCAGGCAGAGAGTATACCCTTTCAAACAAAAGAAGAATTTTCAAAATCGGTCTGCAATCGATGGAGATATTGGTGAACACACGGACATGCCTGTAAAATTTGAGGATTCGTTCGATTTTCATGGGATCCCCTCATCAGATTCTAACTTGGTGACAATGGGACCACCACGAGAGAGCACCCTTTCAAACAAAAAAATTTCAAAATCGGTCTACAATTGACGGAGATATCTGAAAACATACGTACAGGCGAACGTATAACATCATCCCTTTTTTGAAGTCGGTTAAAAACGAGGCGGTCATACATACATAGGTACAGTCGACAGTACGCTAAGGTGTATACTTAAAATTTTAATTCAATGTCGACTTCTTAAGTTTTTGCTTTTGCGTTTTTGCTTCTTAAGTCTTTGAAAATGGTTTTCATTACTATTTGACATAACTGATTGATTATTTTACAATTTCATGAAGCCGTGACTTTGTGATCTGTAAAGGGCCCGAAACGTTGGTTTGTTTGAAAAAACAAATATACGCGACTTAGGGTCGTATTCTAGAACTATACTCAATGCTCAAGTCAGGATTTGAGTATGGTTTAAAGCACTCGAAATCATATTCAAGTCCCTAAGGGTCGTATTCCAGAACTCTACTCAATACTCAAGTCAGGACATGAGTATTGCAGTGAGCACTGAAAATCATATTCAAGTCCTTGCCATTAGGGTCGTATTTCCAGTGCTTCAAATCATACTCAAGTCTGCTCAAATCCTGACTTGAGCGATGAGTAGACTTCTGGAACTCCTGGAACCCTTAGGGTCGTATTCCAGAAGTCTACTCAATGCTTAAGTCAGGACTTGAGCATGATTCAAAGCACTAGAAATCATGCTCAAGTCCCTGCCGTTAGGGTCGTATTTCCAGTGCTTGTGTTTCCAGTGCAATCCTGACTTGAGCATTGAGTAGAGTTCTAGAATACGACTCTGACTCGATTTAAATTCAATTTTATGCCATTTACGACAAGAACGATCCAAAGTCCAAAATAAATCCCATCATGTCATTAATGGTGATAGATTTTAAATGAAGTGTTACTTACCAAGATCGTTAGGATTATTAACGAACTCAATCATGACGGTCGCATAAACCTTTTCTGCAATAGCATTATTAAGAATATAAAACTACTATGATGACTTCTTATCGAGTGACTGATTATGGCGATTGTTGTATTCTCGTAGATGCGTTGTTTTATTGTAATATCCTTATGTACATTTAAGGAGAGTTGCAATGTGCATGTCATATATATCTTTTTTTTTCGTAGCAGTAGAGCTCCTTGTGAAAGAGTTCGTCCAAGGAAATAACTATGTATTGTACCTAAGTATATACTGCCACTTTACATATTTCTGTCGCCAAGCTTTAATGTGAGTATTACTGCGTTTCGATTTTGAAGGGTAAGCGTGCGCTGGTGACATTACAAGTATATGGCACTTTTTAATTTACGTCTTAGGGTGACGGGCACAGAGGAAGTGCACCTCAGATCTTTGCAATTTAAAGCTCTTAAGTGGCACTGCAACTGTTAAGCACAGGCGTGTCGCTTACAACCAGGCACACGAATTATTCGTCCTGTCACTTAGTGTAACAAAAAACTCTTTTTTATTTCGAGCGACACACGACCAGTTCAAGGTCAGTTCCATTACTTGGATATGAAAAAAGAAATACTGGTATAAATTGTATCTAGATAAGAGACGTTTTTCTCTGAATCTTTTCGATTCGTATTTTATGACTTAAAGAAAATCGACCTAACCACACAGAGCGACTTTAACTCGTAGATATGCTGTTTCCTTTGCGAGTTTTTACGTTTCGGCACTGTAATTGTCAGATTAATTAGTGGTTTACTAAATGATGTCAATATAAAAAAAACCCAGTCGCATTGTATAGCGGTAAAGGACATCCATATAAAAATGCTTTGCATTAGGATACCGACATACCAGGTAGGAACCGTAACGTTGGACAGATGCAAAACCACAAAAGCTATAGTGTAAACATTCTATTGAATCTGTAGTCGATCAAAGCCATGAATGGCGGAACTCAGAGCTGAGCCTTTAATAAGATTTATTGTAACTGATCTTGTTTTGACATCCACAATAGCGGCACACAGGCTTTCTTTGTGTGGTCTTGAGATATTGTTGGCAAAGTCAAAATTGTTTATCTTAACGCACCTGGGTATGGAAAAAATAGAACACTTTCGTTGGCTCTCTGAATATTTTGGTGTTTTAATAGACGGTATTTAATCGTATGGAATGTAAATTTGTATTGTACCGTCAGTGCAGGATTGTTACTCTTTTAGCTATATAGAGTAGAAACAAGAATACAACGAAACTCATTATCTAGAAACTACACTATGTAGGTATTGTAAATACAATAAGAACATCATATAATACGATTTTTGTTTCTGTGATGTCAATATCATTTTCTAAATTGGTTTCGACATAAAACGCGAAAAAAAATGCTTTTGTGGTTAGATAACGAAAAGTTGAAATTTGCGTACGAATAAGGGATCGTACAAATTTTGGGGTTTATCTTTATTTAAAGACAAAAAGGGAACATTATATTTCAAATCAATAGCGTATTTCGACCAAAATTCTACAAATTGATGACAAAGAACCTACAAATGTGTAGATTTGCGAGATTAATAAAAATACAACTATGTAGATAACAACTTAAATAGGCAGCTACCACTGTAACAGTAAGAAAAGTAAAGTTTCTGGGGTACAGCTTTCAAAAAGTAGAATCAACCAAATAGGTAGGTCCCTATTTGTTTGATTTTTATTATACATATATTATATACCGTTTCTATAGACAATCTCATATGGGAAAAGACTTGCAATAGTTTTATTGAGTATTTTTTATTCATATGCATTGGATGCATTTTAAGTGACAGGTCACACAACTCACGAATGTCTTGATAGCAGAGAAACCGCGTGAGTTATGGTAATGCATCCTGCGATACCTCAGAAACCACAACCCGGTTCGAACAAACCATTTGTATGAGGATAGAAGAAAGTCAATTTAGGATCGCTCACTGTAAGCTCAGATATTATAGTGCAGATAAAATCAATTGTCGTACAGTCAAAATCATTTGTACAGGAAAAAGGAAGTTTGAATTGGATAGCCTTAGGTCTATCCCAAATTATTATCTCTATAGATAGCTGTAAAGGTATGACGAAAAACAAATTTATGACGAAAAACATAGATTTTATGTTGTATTATATTAAACGTTTACAGCTTCCTTAGGGTTTTATTTACGAACTTGGTTCTAATGGAGTTGGTAATTAATAACAATGATTATGGTAGGTAATTAAACGATGATGCAGACTTCGAAGTGCGTTTCAAGTTTAATTTGATGTTTATACCGTTAGTGGATTCATTAGTAGTCTACAGCTAAATATATCCTGTAAATACTAAATGCGGTGTAAATAAATTAAGGAAAACCAGAAATTTAATTGATTTCTAACTTCGTGTAACTTATGATAACAATAATATTTATTTTCAGAAACTTACTGCGCACAAATATAATTCTTTTGTTTCAAGTTAGGTTTTTGATGTGGACTTTGT